AAAGCTTATGGTTTAATAGTGATGTGTTTGTGTGTCAGGTTGACAAGGGGTCAATTGTGCTAGATAGCTTTAGTGTTAACTTAATACACCTGGGTTGAGGAAGCCACAATTGGGGCATTGCCTCCATTGGACTGGCCTGTGGCCATGTCTGTGGGGCATTTTCTTGATTGTTGAGTGATGTGGGAGGGCCCAGCCCACTGTGGGTAGTGCCACCCCTGGGCAGGTGGGCCTGTGTTGGATAAGAGAGCAAGCTGAGCAGGGGCCAGGGGAGCAAGCCAGTAAGCGGCATTCCTCCATGGCCTGTGCTCCAGCTTCTGCCTCCAGGTTCCTGCCCTGAGTTCCTACCTTGGGCTCCCTGATGAACTGTGACCCAGGATATGTAAGACAAATAAACCCTTTCCTCCCCAAGTTGGTATTGGTCAGAGTATTTTGTCACAGCAATGGAGAAACAAACTAAGATGCTCCCCAAGCCCGGGGTCCTCCTGAGTGAAGTCCCAGTTCCCAGTGTGAAGGGTACCATAGGCCCCAACCCACCTGTGCAGAGCCCCTGCTGTGGGTTCCCACCCCTTCTGTGACTGCTTGCACTACCCCAGCCCTCTGCATTTGCCGTCTCCCTCCCTTAGCATCCTAGAGCCCTCTGCTGCAGGCCCAGGCACACCCCTGGGAGGCCCCTAGATTTCACCTGGAGAGCCTCTCCCTTACTCCCTCCAGTCCACCTGGATAGGGAGAGCTCTGCATGGAGCCTTCTCTCCAGCTTCAGCCCTTGGGGATGGCCTGCAGCTTCAGCAAGTGGACCCGTGTGTCTATGGGACAAGACTGACATCCCTGGAGGGGGAGGGAGGGTCTGTGTAGAAGGGAACGCCCTCTCATTCTCACGGCCAAACTTTGTCTCTCTCTTGCCCTGAAGCTCTATGTATCATCTGAGTCTGACCTGGGAAAGAAGTGGATACTTCTGCAGGAACGAGTAACCAAGGACCACGTGTTCTGGTGAGAGCCCTTTCCACTGGGGTCTTTGTCCCAGGCCCTACCCCCTCTTCACCCCAGGGACCTTCAGAGTCCTATGTCTGCCCCTGGAAGCTCGCATAAGAAACAGGTAGGAGTCCGGGGCTCAACATCCCTTGGGCCTGGTTTTCCCAGTGGCCCAGCCTGTGGTATTGAGAACCTCGGGCTCCCTCCTTGTCCTCCATTTCCTCCTAGTGGAAAGAGGTGTGAGATGCAGGGGCCCTGACACAACACAGCAAGCACTGGGTGGCTCAATGATCCTGGCCCCCCTCTCCCAACTCCTCCCCAACTCAGCACCCACCTGCTTCTGAGAGGGGCCCTGGGGGCAACTGCATCCTCCCCACGGCTGCCTGGACCCTGTCTATCTAGGTCCCCTTTTCTGGCCACAGCATCACTGTGTTCAGCCCTGCCAGGTAACCAAGGAGAAGACGGACTGGGTCAGGGTGAGACAGGACCCAGCATGCCCACCTGGCTTGCTGAGGGACAAAGCAGGGAAAGTATGAATGCAGGCAGGCTGGGGTGCTGGCTCCCCATTTTCATGACCTTCTGGGAGTCCCACAGGGACTTGGGCAGCATTCCAGCCCCACAGCCCAGTAAGGCAGCTGTGAGGGTCAGGAAACACACACTGACTGCTGGAGCAAGACCTTAGAGGACAGGATTCTACCCGGGTCCCAGGCAGTGAAGAGGGAGTAGGAAGCCAGGGCAGCTGCCTCAGAGCCCACACCTGCCCCCAGCTGGGACCATGATTCCCTTTCTAAACATGTACTTACCTGCAGTGGCTCCCTATCACATTGCTTTTTCTTTTGCACACACACACACACTTTCTGTCTTAGCACATATGGACACCAGACTTTGTACTGGCCTCCAAGCCAGGCCACAGTCCTGTCTCCAACAGGGATGCATGGTGGGAAATGCCCCTTCCCCCACTTGTAACTCCATGCTATCCTGGCAAGGCTTTGGCTCCTGAGTACTGGAAGCTGGTTCTGAACTCTGGCTCGACACATCTGTGCTCTCTGTTCCAGGGGAAGAGTGACGACTGTCCCTCTCTGGCAGCCCATGGGAGTTCCCATTCTTTCCTTGAGAGCAGAGAGCTGCTATCAATCACAGGCCCAAAATTGGTGTCACTTGTTGGGAACAGAAGCTGCAGGTTGAAGGGCTCCCAGGAAGGGAACCAAGGTCAGGAAGTGGGATTTCTCAGGGAGCTCTGCAACCTCTTCTAAGCCAGGGGTGTCCAGCTCCAGCTTGGCTCATGGAGATTCTGGCTAGAGAGAAAGCAGCCCTGGGGTAAAAGGAGCGGGCTAACTCTAGGCATGGTCTCAGGCTAATCTGATTGGCTCAGCCTACATGTTTCTCCAGTGGCTCCTGGCTCTGCTGCTGCTATGTAGGAGAACCACAGGAAGCCTGGCAGCAGCCAGCAAGATCCCTTTTCTAATGTGGTGTCAGGCAAGGGACCGCCCCTGTTGTAAGCAGTAGATAATACTGCTTTGACAGTTCTGTCCATGGACTGGCAGCAGAAACTGCCAAGGCGCCTGCTCCTTCTTGGGCCTGACTCATTAGCGTTGTTAAAGCTACACAACATGCAGGCTCCTTAAGGCAGCCTTGAGGGGTGCAGCAGGTGCTTGTTCTGGGCCTGTCGCCCTGCCCGCCCCAGTCAGCAGCCCTGGAGAATAAGCTTCCAAGTAGAAACCAGCTGCTACCCTGTTTTGAATGAGCAAGTGAATAAATGAATGAGTGAGTCAATGAGTGGGTGAGTGAGTGGGCCAACCTGGGACATTCTTGGGAGAGATCTTCCTCAGGGTACGCAGTGGTAGACAGCTTGACCAGTCAGCTGCCAAGCAGAGGAGAGGGACAGCCACTCAGATCTAGAACCTGATTGGAATCTCAGTGAATCTGAGACAGTGTGAACCTGAACAGGTCTCTGTGTTCCTTGGAGTTTCTGTGTGCACAGCCCCCGCCCCATTGCCTCAGCTGGGGAGGAAGCTCCTGGTGGAGAAGCTGGTCTCTTATAAACAGCCCTATGGACAGGCTGGTGACAGCTCCATCCAGACTTCTGTTGGAACATGTGGCTTTGGGGAGGAGGGAGCTGTGAGCAAGGGTGCATCATACCCAGGGAGGCCGTGTGGTCAGTGCAGCCCAGCAGAAGGGCTTAGCAGTGCTTTCGCTGGTATCAACCTCGGCCCATTCTTTTCCAGGGCTGTGTCAGGGGTGGACATCGACCCCAACTTGGTCCACATGGAGGCCCAGGACCTCAACGGAGGTAAGTGGATGGTATGTGGTCACAGGTGTCCCTGAGAGTTCTCATCCAATGGCACAGTGCAGCCTGTCCCCTGCTTACTGGTGTGTTTTCCGTGGCCAGCCCTGCACAGTCAACCTCGCTGTATTCTGACGTGGCATAATTCTAAACACACTTGTTTCCCGTTGGGGATGAATTGAAGAAACATGCTCAGTGGAAAGTTTATTAAAAGGGCAATTTGCTCCTCCTCCTGAGCACTGAGTGTATCCCACCGGAGGCCCCACCCGGCCTGGCTGAAAGCCGAAGTGACTAGGAGTCTCTGTGGCTCCTCTCCCCCAGGCAGCAATTGTGCAGTTTCCTGCCACTGACAGACCTTCTTGCTGTGAGGAAGTCCTCTGTGCGCCTATGGGGCTGGAGGAGGTACTAACGGTGGTACCAACTCCACTGGCTTTTAATCATAGGGTGTTCCAAAACTGAAACGTTCTAGAACATCAGAGGTGAGAAAGATTGTACTTTTCATCTAACAAATGCGTTTTGAGTCCCCATTATTCCAGACCCATTGCTGCCCCTGGGGGTACTGTGGACAGGAATAAGTGGCCCTGACCCTGACTCTGGGACAGTGGTACAGATGCAGTTCTTGGGGAATCCTTAGTCACAGATGATTTAAATTAGCCTGGCTGTACTAGGCATGGGACAAAGACCCTGACAGGGGTGGGAAGGAAGGATAGATGAGAAATGGAAGGATGGACGGGTGGGTAGGTGGATGGATGACGGATGGGAGGGTGGATGGATGACGGATGGGAGGGTGGATGGATGGGAGGATGGATGGAAGGGAGGATGGATGGATATATGGATGTGTGGATGTATGGATGGGAGGATGGATGGATGGGAGGATGGATGGATGGGAGGATGGATGGATGGGAGGATGGATGGATGTATGGATGTATGGATGGATGTGTGGATGGATGGATGTGTGGATGTGTGGATGTGTGGATGTGTGGATGGATGGATGGATGGATGTGTGGATGGATGGATGGATGTGTGGATGGATGGATGGATGTGTGGATGGAAGGGAGGATGGATGGATGTATGGATGTATGGGAGGATGTATGGATGGATGTGTGGATGGATGGATGGATGTGTGGATGGATGGATGTGTGGATGGATGGATGGATGTGTGGATGGATGGATGGATGGATGAGTGCATAGGTTAATGAATGAGTGAATAGATGAGTGAGTGAAGTGGATGAGATGTGAGAGTGAGGGAGCAAGTGAATGAATGATTGAGTGAATAAATGAATGCGTGAAGGAGTGAGTAAGTGAGTGGGCCAGGGCTTGATAAGTAGGCTGTCCTCTGAGTGTGGCCTTTTCCACTGGCCCTGGAAACTTCCTTTCAGGGTGGATACAGTGGCTTCCTGGCAAAGCCCAAGTTCAGTTTTCTTTGTTGGATCTGAGTAAAGACAGAAGCTTTGTCTCTTAGAGGGAAAGAATAGAGCCACCTGCTCTGGCCCAGTTAAGTACCTAAGTGTGTGAAGGGCCTGGTGCGGTGCCCACAGGGTCTGGCTGTCTCATCCTGTCTGGTGACTATGGCTCTCCGGTGTCCCCTGCAGGGGGTTAACAGGCTCTCTCCTCAGTGCTCCAAGCCCCCAGTAGTTCCTCGGCGCTGGCAGGGGGCATCACGGTGGGGCCCTTGAAACACCAAGCCACAGTCCAACCCCAGGGCAGTGGTGTTCCCAAGTGGCTGTAGCCCAGAGACCTCTCGGTTCCCACTTCTCTGCTGCCTGCAGTGGAGTCTGCATGGGTATCTCGTGTCTCCCACAGATTTTCGGTATTTCACCTGCCAGATCCACAACTGCTCGGCTCAGTCCCACAAGGTACCTTTCCCTGACCCCGTCGACCAGGGCTCCCTGACGGTGCAGGATGAGTACATCTTCCTGAAGGTGAGTGAGTCTCTCTGGGAAATAAAACATCACAAGAGGTGGTAAAGGGGCTACTTTACTTCAGAGTGCCACTTGGCAGGTCAAGGCATCCCTGCATCTGTACTGTGACTATAAGTACCCACAGAGCCCCTCCCTGGCAACATCAGAGCCTTGGTCCAAGATTGTTGCTGACTCCTCCCTCTGCCCACCAGGAACCTCCCCTCAGTCTGGGGTCCCCAAATCTGAGCCCATTTGACTCTACTTGTTTCCTTCCATGCTTTGGGACTGACACCTTTGGGTGCTCTGGTCATTACATCCTTGTAACCAGGACACTGCTGTGGTGACCCCCCCCAACCCCCGTACCCTCAGGCCACAGTTCAGCCACCACATGATCCAGGCCAATTTGGAAACTCATGAACACTGTCTGGCAGCTTCTTGATTGCTTCCGTGGCCCCAGAGTGGCACAGTTGTACCCATGGTAGAAGGGCAGGTAACCTGAGACCACCACTTCCCCCGACAGAGACATGCCTCCCACATGACTAATGCCCATAACCCTTTGCTCTGATGATGTCGTATTGGCTTCTGTTACTGGAGAAAAGAACTGAACCCTAGAAAACCAAAGCCTTGTCAAGCATCACACTTGGAGGCTGCCCTGCTCCCTGTGCATTCCGTGGTCAGGTGAGGCCCAGCTGCCTCTCCCTGCCTGGCTCACATCAGAGAGGCCCTTTCCCAAGCTCCCAGGACCTCTGTGTCCAGGTCCCAGCAGTGGAGCTGGCTCCTTAGGACTGAGAGGTGGCCTTTCAGGGGTGGCCCCTAAGGAGTGATCCCTCGGGGGCTTGGGTGGCCCCTCAGTACTGGGTGGTGACCCCTCAGGGGTGGGGGTGGCCCCTCAAGGCTGCTCCATAGGGCCCTCAAGAATGTTATCCCCATTTCCAGAGAAGCTGAGCTCAGAAAGGCTATGTTACCACTGGAGGCAACATAGCCAGACTCAGCTGGACTCTGAAGTCCTGTGTGTGTGCCAGAGCTCCATGCTGAACAGTCAGTCACCCGCATAGGAACCTGTGTACACAGGGGACTCACACACAGGACTCATACTGTCTCATACACACACACTCACATGGAGCACCCCATAAATGCATCACACAGATGTGTGCTCATATGCATACACACTTACATGGTATACACAGAACATGAGCAGAGAACATGCATGTGCACAGAGATGCTCTCTCAGAGATAGAGGTGCACGTGGTCCTACACGTGCTCTGTATGTGCACATGGACAACCTAGGGTTACAGAGAGCTGCCTCCTGAGGAACCACCACCATCCCATCCCCCACGTCCTTCCCATCACTCATTCTCAGCCTTCGATGCTCAAGGAAACAGAAGCCTTTCCTCCACCTCCTCAGCAGTGCAGGAGACCAGCCACCAGATCTCTAGGCTTCAGTTTCTCCATCTGTGCAAATGTCCACAGCTCATGGGACTGTTTTCTGTGCAAGGGTCAGAGGCACCGCCCTGGTGGAGCACTGGAGTGGTGTTGGCCAGGTGGTTGGGCCTTGGGGAACAGGGCCTACTTTGGTTCCCATGCCTAGAGGCTTGATGGTCACCTTCAGTGACTCTCACTTGTCCTTGACCTGTCTTCCACCCCGACCCAGAGGCTCACTGAATAGCTTTCTCTGAGAGCATTCTGGGAACCGGAACTTTCCCCACCTTGTCCTGTAACTGGAGTGCTGAGAGATGGGAGGAGAGGGCAGGAACTGCACAGGAAGACTTCCTTGGGCAGCGGCTGTCCACAGGGGGCTGCCAGTCAAGAGGAACCATCAGGGACCTAAACACAGTTCATGGCTGCCTCATACCTTCACTTTGACAGGAGATCACATTCCTTAAACCTGTTTCCCCCCTTAGGCGACATCAGCAAACCGCACCAAATACTATGTCTCCTATCGCCGGAGTGACTTTGTCCTGATGAAGCTGCCCAAGTATGCCCTGCCGAAGGTGAGGTGGCCCGTCCCCATCCTGCGTCAGGTCCAGAGGCTGTGAGGCCTTGCACACTGGGGCTCAGGAGGGTTAGGAACAAGTGAGGCCACACTGCCTCAGCCCCTCCCTGCTCGTCTGCTGTGCTAGTCAACCAGGCCTCAGACTGTCGGCTCCATCCTGTCCTAGGCCTCTGCCAGGTGTCCCTTCCATCCCCTCTGCCAGCCTTGTCCTGCCCCCACACTACCACATCTCAGTAGCCACCTCACTTCCTGGTGATCCCAGACTGGCCTGGGCCTTTGCACACTGCCCCACCCTGGATGTATGTTCTCAACAGCCAGGGATTGGGGTCCTCCTGAATCTCCCTCCCTGATCTCACCTGCCAGGGTGTTTCTGCTGTGTTACACAGGAAGGAGACTCGGGTTCAGAGAGGCTGAGTAGCCTTTTGGAGGTCACACAGCTAATTAGAAGCAAGAGCAGGCCTCCGACCCAGGTCTGGGCGAGTCTGAGCTGAGCCTCACACTGTCTCCAGAGGCCATTCAGAGGGCTGCCTTTGTAGCTCTCCGCCCCTGGATGTGATGCAGAAGTGAGGCTGTACCTTCCCTCCTCTGCACATTCATCCAGTGCCAACGTAAGCCAGGAGCTGGGCAAGGAGGGGCTGCCACAGGTAGGAATCAGACACTGGTGCCTGCCTGCTGCTATGGTGTGTTCAGAGAGGGACAGACAGGCCAGGTGGACAGACCAGACCAAGTAACGAGTGGTGATGTGTGCTGTGAAGGGAGCAAGAAGGAGAGAGAGAGGAGAGAGAGGGGAGAGGGGAGAGAGAGAGGGGAGAGGGGAGAGGGGAGACGGAGAGGGGAGAGAGATGGAGAGGGGAGAGAGACGGAGAGGGGAGAGAGACGGAGAGGGGAGAGAGACGGAGAGACGGAGAGGGGAGAGAGACGGAGAGACGGAGAGAGGAGAGAGACGGAGAGAGAGAGATGGAGAGAGGAGAGACGGAGAGAGAGAGATGGAGAGAGGAGAGACGGAGAGAGGAGAGAGGAGAGAGACGGAGAGAGGAGAGAGACGGAGAGAGGAGAGAGACGGAGAGAGAAGACGGAGAGAGAGAGACGGAGAGAGAGAGATGGAGAGAGAGACGGAGAGAGGAGAGAGAGAGGAGCACATTTGTGCGTGAGAATGACTCAGGCCCAGCAGCACAGGCCCCTCGGCACATTAACACAGAGCGGCAAGCCTGGGAATACAGTAGCTTTGGGTTCATAGAAGGCAGGGCATGAGCAAAGGCCAAGGGCACAGAGCGAGGTGACAGAGGACAGCTTCTCAGGGCCTCCATGCCCAGGGTCTGTGTGTTTTAACGAACGGAGACTTTCCGAAGCCAAAGGGGAAGAGGCCTTTCTTAAACGTGTCTTTACAAACAGGAAAGAGAAAAGGTGGGAGGGGGAGGAAAGGAGCCAGTTTACTAGATTAACGCAGGCTTGGCTGAGAGACTAAATTAAAAGCTACAAAGCAGGTGCCCTGGGGGTGAGAGGCTTTCCCGGGCTGCTAGGGTTGTAGCACAACCCCAGGGCTTTGGGCATGGGCCTGGTGGAGGGAGGAAGGCACATAGCCACCAGCTGCCTTACACTCCCTGCTCCCTGCTGGGTCCCCAAGGAAGGAGCCTGTGGCCAGGGTTAGGACTTTTGTGACCAAGGCTAAGTCCCTGAACCTCCCAGCACTCTGAGCCCTCTATCCAGGGGCCTGTGGGCCTGCTCCCCTCTCTTCACCAGGCTCAGCAGAGAGCAGAACTAGGTCCCATCAGCGACTCAGAGACCTGCTTATTGAATTTCCTAATCAGATTTTGTTGTTTTCTGGTGAGTTTGTAACTCTTGCCTGCTTCCTCCCCACAAACCACCCCATCGTTTTGTAAATTGCCTGGATAATACCATGAGAAACAGGAGTAGCCGGGGGGAAGGTAGGGGTTCATGTGCTCGAGAGCCTGTTCCCCTCTTACCAACTCCATTCTGGTCCCCACTTGTCAGATACCAGAGTGACTTTGGTATCGCCAACTCAGGAGCAGGGTCCCCAGCATCCAGGTTAACATGACATTGTGCCCAGATGTTTTTCTAAAATGATGCATGATACCCACTGTAAGTGACTGACAGCTGGACTTCTGAGAGCCTGTGTCCTGGCTGGCCCAGCTACAGCCAGCCTCTTGTTCAGACATACAGGGGATGCGGTGACTACATTTCCCTGCTAGGATTGCTGGGGAGTTTTCTCAGGACAAAGTCCAAGGAGACCTTCCCAGCTGAGCACCCGGATGTTTGTGCCTTGCAGTTGGTTTCTAATGGCACTCCATCCTGCCACCCACCCAGCTGGACCACTGTCAGCACCGTGTGGCCCAGGTCTGTGTTCTACTGTGTTCTCCATGTGCTGTGTCTAAGGGGCCATGTGACACCATTCTGTTTCCATCTACCTACCCTCAGAACGTATTAAAGGGACAGTTGTTAGTACACGTCAGCATCCTTGATTTGAATTGTTGACTTGTAATGAATCTAAAAAATACTGAAGCTTCCTAACAGAGAAAAATTGTTCAAAGCTCTAAACAAAGGAGCTGAGGAGTCCAAATAACTATGAATTATGTAAAAACATTCATAAGGACAAGAAGGATGCAGATTTACTTGAAAGAAAAATACTCCTGTATTTGTAATGAACTTATTTAAAGTAAAACAAGATTCCTGACACAGAATAGAGGAGAGGGACGCTGGGAAAGGTGGCATGTTCAAGCTCCAGTAGATGCCTCCCTACTCAACACCTGCACTTCAGAGTGTAGGCACGTGGCTATTCTGGACTTTTAGAGTCTTTTGTAAGGCCTCTAGTGTCCAGGCATTTGATGGTATAGCCAGATTACTTCGGACAATTTAAGCTCTTGGCCTGGGAGTGGTACCCATGCCTACCCTGTCCCACAGCAGGCAAATAAATGCATGTGAACTCCCAAGGCAGCTGGCATGCAACCTAGGTGACCGAGGTGGGCAGTGCAGATCTTGTCCTCCAAGTACCAGCCCTGTGCTCTGATGTTGATGGCCACGACCAGCGGAAGCAGAGCCAGAGGCTATCCCCATTCCATCAACTCTCTTTTCCCTTTGGGAGTCAGACACGTAAGGGCCAACAGACCCAAATGCAGCCATGTGTACAGGAGAGAGCCTGACAGGGCCAAGCTGAGTCCTGATGAGGAATAGCCCATGATAGAACAAAAAGCAAATGGCCATCTCTGCAGAAAACAGACAGTTGAACTTTCAGAGTTACAGTAATAAAAATTCAAGCATCCAGTTTTAGCTGGACATGATGGGACCTACCTATAATCCCGGCACTCGGGAGGCTGAGGCAGGGGGATCACAAATTTGAGTCCAACTTGAGCTACAGAGTAAGACTTTTAAAAAAGTCATCCAAGGGCTGGAGAGATGGCTCAGTGGCTAAGAGCACTGACTGGTCCTGCAGAGGACCTGGGTTCGATTCCCAGCACCCACATGGTGACTAACAACTGTCCTGTAACTCCAGTTCCAGGGAATCCAATGCTCTCTTCTGACTTCTGTGGGCATTGCATGACATGAGTGCACTTACCTACATGCAGACAATACACTCATACACATAAAATAAAAATATTTTTTAAAAACTCAACAAACAAAAGGAAACAACCACAAATAAATTCCAGTTTCAGCAACCAAAAGTCACAGAGAAACAGGAATGAATCATCCACCCAAAACAAAAATCAACAGAAACTATTCCTGAGAAAGACCATCTAGCGGACCTACTAGAAGACTTTAATAGAACTGTCTTAAGATGCTCAGAGAACTATAGGAAGACACGGGGGAAATCAAAGAAACGCTGTCCGAACAAAGTGGACATGTCAAGGAAAAGACAGGAAGCATTAAAGGAGACCGAAGAGGAAGTCCGCAGCAATAATTGGAAACAATTCAAAACTGGGGAAGGAAGTTCACTGGAGGGATTCCAGGACAGCTTTGGGCAAGCAGAAGAAAGAATCAGAACGTTAGGCAAGGCGATGGGACTTACTGCATCTGAGGCCCTTTTGACACCACTAGACAGAGCAGCATATGCATTATGGGAGTCTGGGAAGGGGGGAGGGGGAGAGGGCAGACAGTTTTGTGAGACACTGGCATATCCCCAGATTCATGAAGCATGTGAATATAAATCTCAAAGGTTGCCCAACACTGATGTGCTGAACACACAATCACACACAAAGGTGCGTATGGTGCAGAGCCGAAAGTCAAGGAGCCGGTCTGGAAAGGAAGCGATTTGTCACTTACCAGGGATCCCTCGTGAGACTGCCTGCAGATCTCACGGAAACCCCCCGGGGGCAGAAGGCAGAAGCCAGGGCAGTCAAAGCACTGAATAGGAGTGCCAACTCACTGGGGTGTCTTGTGAATTTCCTATAAAAATCTATGGACAGGCTGGAGAGATGGCTCAGCAGGATCTTCTAGAAAATGCAAGTTGGGTTCCCAGCCCCCACATCCCACCACTCACAACCTCCCATAACTCTAGTTCTAGGGGATCTGACGCCCACTTCTGGCCTCTGTGGGCACCTGCACACATGCGGCATACTCAGACATGTTTCTATGTGTACATAAATTTTTTCAATCTGTGCAGACATTTCTGAGATTTCATATAAAGGTCCATGAGGGATTTCTGCTATCATGTTTGTTAAAATCTTTTTAAACTTTTCCACATATGTGCTATATAAATGATTTAGGGGGCTAGAGAGGTAGCTCACTGGCTACTCTTGCAGAGGGCCTGGGTTCAGTTCTCAGTACTAACAACTGTCTAACAACTGTCCATAACTACAGTTCCAGGGGATCTGACGCCCTCTTCTGAGCTCCATAGGCATTGCGCGACATAGGTGCACTTATATACAAGCAGGCAATACACCCATACCCATAAAATAAAAATAAAATTTATATATGAGTAACTGTAAGTACAAATACATGAATTGTGTAACTTACGCATATACGACTTCTGCCTGCATGCCTCCTCCTTTTTTTTCTGACCATCTCCCTTCATTTCAAGGAAAGGATTTGTAGACATCCTTCATCTTAGTTTAACCAAACTCACCCTAACACTTCTGCATGGCTTCCCTGGGAAAAGGCCAATTTCTAAAAGCTGCCAAAGAGATATTGACAGTTACCATGTGACTTCTGAGAACACACCATTGGAGTCCAGCCTTTCTCTCCCTCGTCCTGCTGCTGTGCATTTAGCCTGATGGCTGGAATTCCAGTACTCATCTTGGGCCATGAAGACAAACACCATGTCATGGGACAGTGGCCGGGCCACCCAGAAGGAGCCCCTGTCCCTGGGGACTTTACAGGGCTTCCACGCTAGCCTGCCTCCCACTGGGCTTCTCCTGCAGGCAGGAGAAATGAGCACTTGTCTTCCTGAAGTCACCTAATCCACTTGATAACAAATATGAACACCCTAACTATGTCCATTTACATATCTCTCGGGGCTTCATGTGCTGACACAGACACACACATGAAGGTTTTCTGCATCCTTTACCAATAGACTCAAGAAATGTTCTTCCTTGCCTAGAAATTGCGGAGGATAAATGTTTATTATGAAGTGGCAAGGTACTTGCTATTCTAATGAGTGAGGATTTTGAGCGGCCCTTCTCGGTCCTGGCCCTCATGAAGGGGAACAAGTGGCCTGTGTGCCTGCAGGGAAAGGAATGAATCTGAACTTCAGGATGAAGCATAACAGCATGCAGTGAGCACATTAGAGATGCGCTCCAATGCTCCAATGTGGTGATTTTCCTGCTTAGATTTATGGGAAGGAAATAAACAGAGAGGCGGGGAGGGACCGGGTCTGGAAACGTCCATGGTCCTGAAAGCATACCGGTGGGTCCTAGGCTCAGTGAAATACGGCTCGTCCACAAATGGCACATCATGCAGTCATTAAAAGTGGTGTTTATAAATAATGTTCATGGCAGAGGAAAAGACACCCGCACAGTATGTTGGGCAAGCTATAAACCAGTCGTGGAAAGTGTGTGAATCACACTTAGGCGAAAGCCTGAGTGTAAACAGGTTTAAGTGTTAATTCCAGGTCTCTCTGGAGGAGTCGTACAGACAGCCCTGAGCCACTTCATAGATTATAGGAAGCATTTGCCTAGGGCATCTACCCAGCTTGTGGAAGTGGAGTCGAATCAGAGCAGTCACCTGTGATATTGCATTGGGTTGTGCTGGGCTCCCCTGTGTGTACTTCCTGTATAAGGTGGGGATCCTGCCATCCCTTCATGTGGGAAGGGGAGCCTCGCTCTCCACCCCCATATGCTGGGTCTGCTGTTCTGTCAGAACCAAGGCTGATGGGCATGCCCTCCCTGGTGGGCAGCAGAAAGACCAGTGCACAATGGCGGCACGTCCTTCATCCTGCCCACAGCTCAGGGAGTGGAGGTGGACAGATGAGTGATGACCACTAGCTGGCTCCCACAGGCACTCCACAGACTCCCAGCACCCTGCTGCTCCATTTTGCAAGTGGACACCCCCCAGGCCCTGGATCCTGTGTAAGCCTTCCTGAGCTGTGGCACCTCTCAGTTCACCATTCCTGTGTATCAGGTGTATGTCTGTACACACAGGGCCCAGACTATGGAGTCCCTTGCTATGGGATGCATGGTAGGTGCTTTATGCCCTGCACCCCCCTTTTTATTTTTTTGCAAAGTCTCTCTTTTTTGAAGAAGGTCTTGAGATATATCTCCCAGGTTGGCCTTGAACTCGTGATCCTTCAGCCTCAAGCTTCTAGGAGTTGGATTCTAAAAATGCACTGCCATGCTTAGCTGGGAAAGACAGCGGTGAGGGGAAGGACTGGGTCTTCAGGTGATGGCACCCAGCCCCTCTCAGAATCCCCCATGTGTCTTCAGTTCCCGCATCCTGGCAGCCTTATGTCAGAGGGTTGTGAGAACTTCAAAGGAAAGCGCACAGTCAAGAAGCCTGCAGAGTAAAACCTGTGTGACCAAGGTGGGGCTGCTCCGCACCTGGGCAGCACCTCCCTCAGCAGTGGCACAGGCCCCCACAGAGGGAAGCAAGCAGCCCAGTAGCCTGGCGAGTTTTTCCACTGGGGTAGGGATCTTTCCTTTTTCTGAATTGTACATTCTGGAACAGATACTAGAGACTGTGCTGAACCCCACAGAACTGCCTGACTCACAAGGGGAAACTGAGGTCTGGACTCATTGCCTGGGCTGCTGTTCTTTCAGCACTGCCTGTCTTTCAACTGTCCGTGAGGCTAAGGGTTGGGTACAAGACTGGCGCAAAGGAAGGTAGAGAGATGGCAGCTCACGTGTTGAGGGGGTGCCATCTGAGCACACTGAGCTCTGTTAGGGGAGGACCCTTTGCACAGTTCAAGGCAGAGGTTGGGCTGACAGCAGGGTCTGCACTGCCTGAGCCTAGCACGGGGCTGGGGCTTCATACATCAATGTTGGATGAATGAAGGTTCACCTGACCCCAGGAAGGGGGAGCCCAGCCCTACATCTGCCAGTTATTCTGACCATGTGGGGTTCACTGTGGGGGAGATAAACAGATGAACAATGGGGGCAAGGAAGAAGAGGCATCCCCAGGCTACCCCACAGCTTGGTGTGGAGGATCTGAACATCACCCCCATTTCAGAGGTGTGACTTGGAGGCCCAGGGAGTAAAGTCATTTGTCCAAGGCCATGGAGCCAAGTATAGCCCACCAGGATGCCACCAGGATCAGCCTGGCTTCAGGGCAGTGGGGTGGTGGCGCCTGTGCCCCAGGCCACCATCTCTGACAGCTCTTCTGTCTCCAGGACCTGCAGATCATCAGCACAGACGAACAGCAGGTGTTTTTAGCAGTACAGGAGTGGAACCAAGCAGACACCTATAACCTGTACCAGTCGGACCCACGCGGCATACGCTACTCCCTGGTGCTGGAGAATGTGCGCAGCTCGAAGCAGGCAGAGGAGAGTGTGGTCATTGACATCCTTGAGGTGGGCATCCCGGTGAGGTGGGGACAGTTGCCCTCTCCCTCCCTACTCCTTCCCTAGGGCCACAGATATCTGGGAAGCACCAGATGTTTCAGGCTTTAGGGGCCAGAGGCTGTTGTGTAGGCCATTAAGACAGAAGAAACCTCTTTTTAATGAGATTCACAAGGCAGTATTTGCTAATGAGAAGGAAATTCCTAGTAGGGAGCATTTTGCAGAACTAGGCTGAGCCTTAGCATGCAAGGCTATCCCTGTGCCTAAGGTAGCCACAGCCAGATATAGCCTAAGCACCTCTCCTGAAGCCAGGAGCCTCTCTAGTCTGTCCCGCTCTCCTGCCACATGACCCTCTGTCTTCTCCCTCTGTCCTTAGAGATGGAGCCTCTCTCCTGTGCCCAGTCCTCACACTTCCCACCTCAATCCTCCCTCCATGGAGTTAGGCCTCTGCAGAGTTGCCACCTGGGTTGCTGGGGCAAGGCCTCTCTCTTAACTCCCTGAGATGCCTGCACCACCCCTCTTGGGGGGGAGGGTCCTGGACTCACCTGGCCCTACATAAGTCCCCATGGGCTCCCACACATGCCAAAGCTTTGGCCCAGCCTTCCAGCATACACACCAAGGCTCTCCACCAATGAGAGCAGCCTGGGCCCCATGTCCACTCCATAAAATTCTTCAGGCTCCTGATATGGGCCTGGCATGGACATGCTACTCACAAGCCTGTTTTTTCTTATGGGCACTGTGGCCAGGGGTGAGGGTATTTCTTAGCCCATGTAGAGGTCAGACAACAGACTCAGAGGAACCCACCCCTGCCAACCTGCCCAGAGAGACCTGCTCACTGTCTGCTCCCAGTCCAACCAGCCTCTTGAAATCCTCTCTGTCATTGTCCCCCAATTCTTCCTTCACATCTGCCCTTGGGACCCCCCCCTCCCCCGGCAGGTGAGTGACCCGCTGGTGCATGTGTTGGGTGGTGAGTCTGGCTCGGATGGTGGCCCTTGATGGACAATGGACTTTGTTGCTGTGAGTGGGAGGAGACCTCCCAGATGGAGGAGCTTCCACACAATTCCCAGCTGTCAGCAGCAGCGGGGAGCCGTTGTCCCCTGCCAAGTGATGAATGGGATCGTTTGCTTGTTTGTTTGTGAAGAAAGTCCATTTGTCAAGGCTGCCTACCAGCTGCAGAGGGACAGTCCTGGTCCTGCAGTCCTCCTCACCCAGAGCTCAGTCCTCGGAATGCCCCTGATAGTATCTGGGCACTAGGCCGCTCACCAAGGGTGCTGCAGCCCAAGACTGGGGTGAGCAGTGATGGACAGGAGGGTCTGACACGGGGAGGTGCTATCTGCCCTATCCATGGGTATCTGTCACATACATACTGCTGACCACACTCTGGGCCCTGCCCTCAGTCACTGACAGGGATACCCCACCAGGAAGATGCCTCCCTGCGGTGTCTCTAACACAGCTGCCTGTGCTGGACACAGTGCAATGCTCTTTGGCCAGTGAAGGTGGGATGGGGGGAGTCCCGGTGGGCTTCCAGGAGGAGGGGAGCAGCACCAAGCTGCAACTGAACAGGAGTCAGCCATGCTAGGAAGCAGTGAGCTGAACCATGTATGGACAGCACAACCTGGCACAGAGAGCCCAGAGAGAGCAGCGAGGACATCAGGAGGCTCATGGCAGCCATGTGAAAAGGGGTACCCACCTCCCCCTTCTGGTGCCTGGGAAGTGACTTTGCCTCTCTCATGTCAAACAAAGATCACAGAGTAGGAATAGGTACAACTCTGAATCTACCCATCCACCCATCTATCCATCCATCCACTCATCTATCCACCTATCCACCCATCTATCCATCCATCCACCCATCTATCCATCCATCCACTCATCTATCCACCTATCCACTCATCTATCCATCCATCCACTCATCTATCCACCTATCCACCCATCTATCCATCCATCCACCCATCTATCCATCCATCCACTCATCTATCCACCTATCCACTCATCTATCCATCCATCCACTCATCTATCCACCTATCCACCCATCTATCCATCCATCCACCCATCTATCCATCCATCCACTCATCTATCCACCTATCCACTTACTTTCCTTTCTATCCACCTACCCATCTACTAATGCACCCATCCACCCTCCATCTACCCAACCACTTACTCATTCATCCACCCATTTACCCATCCACTCACCCACCCATCCATCCACTCATCCACTGATCCATCTATCCATCCACTTATCCATCTATTCATCCACTCATCTACCCATCCACTCATTCACCCATCCATCCATTTACTCATCCATGAATCCACCCATCCATTCATCCACCGATCCATCCATCTAGCCATCCACTTATCCACCAATCCACTTGTCCATCCATCCACTCACCTACCTGTCTACCTACCCACCCACCCATCCACCCACCCACCCATCCATCTACCCTCCTGTCTGTTCCTACATGGGTAGCAGTGCATCTCTGGTGGACTGCCCACATGCACTGTCCTTGCATAACTTCAATGACCTCCCAGAGTTATGAGACTCAAAGGAGATCATGTGTGCAGAGCAGAGCCTGTGCATAGAAAGCGCCAATAGTCAGGTGTTAATTGCATCAACACAATTATAATCCTTGGCTCTGGAGCCCTGGGTAAAATGCACAACTCTCTAATCCTGTCTCCAGAGGGGCCTTGTGAGCAGCAATACCATGCTGTGCCCAGAGGAGTGGAGACACCTCTGCTATGGGGCGTGGATGAAAGTGGGCATTCCTGTGCCTGGCAAACCACTCTCTGGCTCCCAGGGAATGTGACTTTAAGTCCCTTATCAGTAAATCCCTTCAAAGGTCGTCCCTGTGAGAGCGCTGCTGCGTTCAACTCAACACAATGTCTGGTTCGGCTCTTACACATTTCCTACGAGTCAACTCAGTGGCCTCCCGTGGATGCTGGAGCCCTGGCGGGGCCTGGTAGAGGAGAGAGAGAGAGAGAGAGAGAGAGAGAGAGAGAGAGAGAGAGAGCTGGGAATGGTGGTGTGCCCCCTTGTAATCTCAGCATCAAGGAGGCAGAGACAGCTGGATCCCTGGGACTCAGCGGCTGACCAGCCTAGGCTACTTGGTGAGTTCTAGGCCAGTGAGACGCACTGCTTCAAAGACACAAGATGGACAGCATCATCTGAGGAATGACACCTAACACTGTCCTCTGCCCTACACACACACACACACACACACACACACACACACACGTGCAAAGAGAGAGATTGAGAGAGTGAGAGAGAGAGAGAGAGGGAGAGAGGGAGGGAGGGAGAGAGGGAGGGAGGGAGAGGCAGGGGGGAGGGAGAGAGAAACAGAAAGACGGAGGGAGGGAGGGAATGAATGCAGTAAGGGCATAGTGGAGCCATCAGTGCATGGCAGGGTAAATGGAGGCTTTCCCCTTCCCATCATGACATTGATGTATGGAGTTCCCTGAGGAAAGCCCAGAAGCAATCACCATGGCACAGGCCCTGCGGTCTGGTAGACACAGGGAGCAAGGGGATCTGAATTCCAGGGTCAGGCGGGGGAACCCCTCCAACGTATGCTCTGGTTGGTCAGGGGACCAGAGTTCTCCCTGACATTTGATAGCCAACAATTCTAGACAAGCAACCAAGTGTCCTAGAGGCACCCCGGGCCTTGGGGAAGACAACTCCTCCCGTGTAAGCCTGGGCTGGTCTTCCTCCCTCAGCTGCAGGCCCACTGGCCAGGTGCCAGGCCACAACAAGGACTAGGTAAAGCCACCTTCCAGACACTCAGGAGGGCAGTGTGGGGCCACCATGACCCTGGGTGACCGGTGTGCGGTCTTATGGTCCTTTTTGTGTGTCCTCAGGTCAGAGGGGTGAAAGGGGTCTTCTTGGCAAACCAGAAAGTGAACGGTAAGGTGATGACACTCATAACCTACAACAAGGGCCGAGACTGGGATTACCTGAGGCCGCCCAGCACCGACATGAACGGGAAGCCCACCAATTGCCAGGCGGTAGGTGCTCTGCCTCGTCACACACCTCCTGCACGGTGTCACAGATGCCATTCCTGTGGTCTACCAGAATGCACAGGCCACCAGTTCCTGCCACATGTAGGGAGGTATACAGAGGTCAGTCATGGCCATGAAATTACAATGAAAACCTCCCCAAACCACAGCCCTCACTCAGTCTCAGCTCCACCCCCTTGTCCAGTGGCTCCAGGCCTAGGAATCAGTGACCTAGACTGGCATGTTGTCCACACCGGAGTCCCACTCCTGGCTAGCACAGGAGTGACCCCGTGACATCAGCAGAGGTCCAAAGGAGCAGGCAGACATCTTCCAAGCCTGCTACTGAGCATCACTGAATCTTACTGGGCAACACGGAGAGCTGGGGAAGGATGGAGGAGGGTCACAGGGTGGTTGCTGCCACCAAAAGTGGCCTCACCACTGTCACCAGTGGGTGCCACGTGCCCTGAGTCCTGGGGTTGGTATTCCACATGCAGCGCTGTGGCCTAGAAAGTCCCTTGACTGCTAGAATCGGGGTCAGTGCTGAAGGAGTGGTGGCTCCCTGGGGTTCTGTGACTACCTAGAGTCCATGTGGTGCATAGACTTCATAGGAAAGCACACCGAGGGCCCCAGCCGTCCCTGACACCAGCTGGAGGAACATGCTCAGAGACTGGTAGCTGCCAGAGAGGAAGAAGCTGATGGGGCCACACACTTCTCAGAGTCTCCCTTTCCCTGTGGGTGCCTCACTCCTGAGCACCGTGCCCCCCTGCATGCCACATGGAGCGCCCATCTACCAGCACCCCATCCCCACCCCGCGGGGCTCGGTCATCTGCTGTGATGTTGGCAGGATCACACAAGGCCCCGGGGATCCTGTGGGAGAGGGAAGTGACAAAAATCTGTGGTATCACAGGGGCGATGTGAAATGGCGTAGTCCAGCCGGGAGCAAGCAAGCGAGCGTATGATCTCACTTCCTATTCCATCCCTGAAACCGAAGATACCTCTTAACTTTTTTCTCTCAGTAGACTCCTATTGATACATGAAAACCCTGCTTACATGCCCCACCCTAAGAAAACTTCACTGGGCATCTTTGCTGCTCTGTCAACCATAAGCCCCTCAAAGCAGGGAGCACACACCAGGGACCCGTGAACCCACCAATTGCTTCGCCCATTTCCTAAAATGTAAAAAAGAAAGAGCAACAGCCTGTTTTGCTCGGGGATTTCATCCAACAGACACACAGAACACCCTTATGTGCGGGGGGTCAACAAAGTAGAAATTGCTGCTGCTTTGCGGGGGAGGGAGCACAGTGTGGAAGTAGTCATGGAAGAGCCCATCCCTTCGTCCACACAGCCCCCGACTCCGAGAGCTGGGGCTCAGCTCTTCGGGTGGTACCCTTGCCCAGGCAGGAACCGGCCCGCTCTCCAGCCTGATGGTTGCCTGCAGACCACTCTCCACTCAGGCCCTGCCGTGGATGGGGGAGATCACAGCTCCCGCCCACCTGCTTCGGGAATGAATTGCCTGCCATTTATAAATGGGTCTAGAATTGCTGTGAAAGGCTAATTTTCGTATCATCGCTGGGAAAGTTAAGCCACATTAATCTGCCAAAGCAAGTTTCAGCTAAGAGAAGATTCTTGTCTGCAATTACACAGCTCAGTGAGGAGGCAGCCTCGTTGAGATTTACGTCCTGGCCTGAGGATGATAGGAAGTGGCCCAGACAGGTGCAGAGTGCACAGGGAACCACAGCAAAATGTCCAGGAGTCAGCAGGCCACGGGGGCAGACAGGTGGCCCGTACCCTGGCCCTCACACCTGAAGAGTCATTCCCTCAGCCACACGTGGTTCAGGCCTCAGACAGACTACAGCGGCACGATGCCTGGGAAACACGGGGCAAGGGGAAATGAGCCTGCAGGTGTCTGTCTGGGGCCAGGGACATCTTAGCCTTCTTCCTTCTCTCCCTTTTGGTCACACACTGGCCCCCAGACCTCTGGCTCTGCTGAGGACATCTTCCAGACATGGGGAAGCAGGGCATTGTGTGTGTGCGTTATACACGTGTGTGCGGGCATACTCACGTGTGTAGAGGTCAGAGGTCAAGGTTGAGTGTCCTGTACCACCCCCTTCACTGAATGCAGAGGACACTAATTGGACGGGTTGGCCAGCAAACCTCTAGGGTCCACCTGTCTCCACCCTGCCCCCTGCATTGGGGTTAGAGATAATGCAGCCTTGGCCAGCTTCTATGTGGTTGCTGGGATTGGGACTCAGGTTTCCATACTTGCTTAGCAGCACTTTACCCACTGAACCAACTCCCCAGCCCTGATCAGATCTTTCAGCACGATGAATCTCAATTGGGAAGTGGATTTGAATCCATTGACATCTGGCATTCTGAGTAGAAACCCACACACTCTGCAGTGCCAGAAAGTCTTCTAGATAGGGCTGAGTCCCAAGCTGGGGCTGGGTGGCCAGGGGTCAGACTTCCTTCTCTCCACCCCATGGTCTAAGATTAGATCTTCCAGTCACTTCTGTAGAGTGTACCTGCTGGCTGCTGCACAGGAAGGGGCAGAGACAGGGAACTCACCTGCCACCGGGACTTGCTGCAGCTCCTTGGGCCTGGCCTCACCCCGGGCAGCCTCAGACGCCCTGCCATCTCTGACCCTGTGTCCCATGGGGAGCCTGGCCCAATATGTCAGGCCAGGAAGAGAGAGGGCTGATGGAAGCCCAGGAGATGGGCTACAAGCTCAAATACTTCAGGCCCTGCCTGCCCCTCTAGGAGGCCCAGGCACCAAAGCAGGGCTGCATCTCTGTCAGCTCATTAGGACTGTGCTGTCCCCACTCTGGGGTTCTTGCACAGGGGCTCTGTTCCTGCTGCGGCAGAGCCCTGCCATCCAGGGTGGTCTCCAGCTTCCCAGCTGCCTCTGTGTGCCTCTGTGGAGGCCACGGGGCCCTTCTGCCCACCTTGTACTGCTCATTAACCATTTGACTGTCACCTTCTCTTGTTAATGTGTCACCATAGGATTGTGGCAGGGACATTCATCACAGCTGTGTGGCCATCTCCCTGGTCCACTTCAGAGCATTTTCCTCACCCCAAAAAGAAGCCACGCTGTCCAGTGTCCCCTGTCACCCAGTCCTGGCAGCCAGGGGCCTGCTTCTTGCCTGCTGTGTAGGGTCCCTGTTCTACGTCTATGGAGGGACGTCTACAGCATGGCCTGATTATAGAACCTGGGGCAGTCACAGCCCAGCTACCACATAACAGCCAATTAGACAGGTTTACAGTTTAGCTCAGGAGAATCCCTATAAATCACACTAAGTTCTAGGGCAGAAGAACGTATTAACGAAAGCATGAGAAGGAATAGAGGCCTCCCCACAAAGAACCACAGCCCCTGGTCACATATCCCTGGAGCTACCCCTTGCAGGAGGTGAGCAGGCGGTTCCACTGACTCCATTTTTCAGATGAGGAAACTGAGGCCCAAAGTTGCCCCCCAAATTACCAGCACAACCTAAAAGAATCTGGATCTCTAAGTAGCCTACTTTAAGATATTCCCAAACTGGAAGAGTTTTGTTTTCCTAGAAAAACTAAGAGGAAAAACAAAATGTTTGCCTTGCTTCTGAGTAAGCAGATAAGCAGTCCATAGGGGTGCCGGGCCCCAGACTCTGTGCTGTGTATCCAGCAGTCCTGTGGAGCAGAGGTTACATCACCATCTCACAAAGTACCTCAGGCACAGAGGTGCTCAGCATTTTCCCTAAGGCCACAAAGTCCTCTGAGAAGTCAGAAAACCCCCAGCCCTGCGTCCTCCCACACTCTGGCCCTCAGCCACGCTCACTGCTCTGTGGAATTCTCAAAGTGGGAAGCACAGAGGTGAGACAGGTCAGTGCCCTGAAAGCCCCCCAACATCCACCACCCATGGGCTTCTGAGGGCTCCTCTGCCATCAAGGTGGGCTCAGCTGATCAGGCTACAGTCGGTAGGACAGATGTCCAAGGCCTGAAGCTTGGTTCTAGCATCCCTCGCATGAGAGGTGATCCAGCGTTCCTGATCTAGGTGCCTGTGAACCCAGCAAAGGTGGCATTAGACAAAATCCCTGGTGCTAAGGCTAGAACCAGGGCTACCCTGTGCTAGGCCATGCAAGGAGCTACAATCCAGCCCAGGCCTCAACTAAAGGCTCTGAACAGAGGGATGGATGGATGGATGGATGGGTGGATGGGTGGGTGGGTGGGTGGGTGGGTGGATGGATGGATGGATGGATATGGAGAATCCTGCCCTTCGGGGATCCAGGCCCTAACACCCCCCCTCTTGGAGAAGGTATAGCCACACTGAGGCCCTCCCCAGACTGAGAATCTGTTCTCCAGCGTACAGTGGGACAATTCGTGGGTTCCTGGCTGGTCCCCACTCCACTCCCTTCCCCCCAGGCTCTCAGCAGCCCCTGCTGAAACTGTCCTCATCCTTTGCAGCCATTGCCCAGAGGTCAGCTGAGTGCTGCTTCCGACCGTCTGTCCACTCTACCAAGACACCCCAGCCCAACTTTCTTCCACAAAGGCCATAGATCTAGCCACAGAACTGGGTTTCCTAGGATGATCCCACCCTGTGCTGATCATCCCTCTTCCTCTCCTCCCCAGCCTGACTGCCACCTGCACCTGCACCTGCGCTGGGCAGACAACCCCTACGTGTCAGGCACAGTACACACCAAGGACACTGCCCCTGGCCTCATCATGGGTGCAGGTGGGTGACCCCAGCACAGGTGGAAGTGGAACTTTACAACCCGAGGGAAGCTTTCATCGCATGAGCTACGAACTGGAGGCCATGAGCCCGAGGCCATGGTGTGTCCGTTAGAGGCAATGCCACCTCCTCTGAGGCAGCATGGCTCCCCTGGAAACCTTAGGGGTGAATGTAGGATGGGGGGAGGGAGTTGTGAATGGGTGGACGGATGAGCAGATGGGGGGTAGATGGATGGGAGGTTGAGTGGGTGGATGGGTGGATGAATGGGTGGGAGGATGGGTGGGTGATGGGTAGATAGTGGATGGATAGATGGGTAGGTGGGTGGATGGATGGGTAGATAGATAGGCAAGCAGATGGGTAAATGAATGGATGGATTGATGAATAGATGGGTGGGTGGGTAGTAGATGGACAGTGGGTGGTGGGTGGATGGGTGAGTGGAGAGATGGATAAGCAGGCATATAAATAGATGGATAGGCATGTAGATGGTCGGGCAAATGATGGAAGATGGATGGATGGGTTAGTGGGTAATTGGCAGATGAATGGATAGGTGGGTGGAGGGATTGATGGACAGATGGACAGGTGGGGTAATAGGTGGAGAAGTAGGTAGATGGGTGGATGGATGGATAGATTAGTGGGTAGATGATGGATAGGTGGGTAGGTGAATGACAGTCCATCCTGATACAGACATTTTAGTTCAAGAAGGCCCCTGTGCTCATGGTGGGATGCTGGGGAGCCCAGGCCCAGTTTGGGAAGCAGCCATGCACATCCCATGTTTTGAACCTACAAGACTGTAGCAGGCCATCTGGGGCAGCTGCTCTTCTGTGAGCTGGGCTAGCCTAGGTCCTCTGTAGGCTGTTTTCCATCTCAAGTAGCTCCAGGCTGGGATGCAGCTCCTGCCGCCTGGCTAGTCTCCCTCGCATCTCAATGGTCCCCTCAGCAGGCATTTAATGCACATCTGCCGTGTGCCTGCCTTTTCACATGCCTCGTGCTTCACCAGACTCACTCTGACCTCCCCGCACTTGGCCTCTAGGACATACATGTAGCCTTGCCTTGCCGTGTTTAAGTCCTCTCAAGATCCACAAATCTCTGCTGCCCATGTCCTCCACCTGACCCTGACCACCAATGCCACCTTTTTCCCTCAAGGTCCCTGCAGGAACTTGGCTGTGTTGAGCCTTTGCTGCACAGAGGGGACCAGCCTAAACTCAGCAGCTACATCAGGGCCACTGTCCATAGAAGAAGACAGAGAGGGGCCCACTGTAGGTGACTGGTGGAAATACAGGCCTAGGCAGTCCCCTCGTGTGGTCAGGGGACTGTGTGGGGCTTGGTCAGGGGAGCTGGCAGGTCTAAGAACAACACCTTTTCTGTTGGGTCAGGTAACCTCGGTTCTCAGCTGGTGGAGTACAAAGAGGAAATGTACATCACGTCTGACTGCGGGCACACCTGGCGGCAGGTAAGGTGATGGAGTACCTGGCGCTCCTCAGCCTCCCTGGGCTCTGTCTGTTCTACCACCCTGCCCTTCACAGGGGCTCTGCAGGAGCCTGGACCAGATGTCTGCAGCTGCCTGTCAGCCTCACCGCTCTGAAGCAGTTGAGGCCTCTGCTGAAGGCCAGCCAGGGCAGGGCCATCTAGCCAGTGCTCTGTAGCCGTTGGTGGGCGTTATAGATCCTAGAAGCAGTTTACAGCCAGATGTGTAACTGAGGACATCTGAAGAAGGGAACTAAAGGCCAGCCACATGGCCACTTCCTGCCTGACTTTGAGCTCCTTCAGGGCCCAAGAGGTCAAGAAGGTGGAGCCACAATTTCCCCAAGTTCCTGCAGGGCAGTGCTGGTGGCCACTGGACACATGGAGGGAAAGGGGCAATGTGACAGGGGCACATTTAGGATCATGGGGGCCTGGGCTGGGTGTCTGGGGCTTGTTAAACATGTTACTGCGATGGAGGGATGTGGCCCAAGATGGAAGAAGAGAAGGTGAGAAAGCCTGCCTGTGGGTGCCGTCCCCTCATCAGCAGCCCCTATGGAACCACCACACACAGCCCTACATGGAGGTCAGAGCCGCCAGCAAGAGGGACACTGGCCACCATCAGCCTTCGCTCAGGAACAGCAAGGAAGGAGCAAGAGAGGCGGACTGGCGGGTCCCACGGAGCCTGTGCCGTGTAGCAGCTCCAGGCGTCAACCCACGTGTCCTCGGGAAGGCCTTGCCTTGTGTGACAGACATTTGCTGCTTTCTTTGTAAACTTTGCTAAGAGGCTATTTGAACTTTAAGCACTTGGGATGATCAAGTATCAGTATTTGGGATGACCCAGTATCAATGGGCATTCTGCTTGGGGACAGTCCTGTTCTCAGGTCATCTCCTGTGCCTGGTCATGCAGGGCCACATCCCCTGGGACTTAAAGACAAACACACTCATTGCTGTGCACAGAGCTCACCTGCCACCAGAGTCTGAGGCCAGGGCTGTTTTTAATAATATGCAAGAAGCAAGGCATTTTGAAAAGGGCAGAAGCGATTTATTGCATTATGACTTTTCTATTTCACCAAAGCCAGTGAAGCAGGTCGAAGGTTCTTAAAGGTCGCCATCTGTCCACTTACGCACGCTGATGGCAAATGCAGAAGGACTTCCTTGTTTTATAGATATCTGTGGTGGCCACTTTTGCAGACAGTTTGCTTAGGCTTAAACTTGGAGCCATCTATCTCCCTAGTGGGGAGAACATCTATTACAGTGCAGGTTCCCCTGCCCAGGGGACAGCAGGTGCGTGGGTAGAGCAGAGGTCTGGAGATGGTGTAGGATACCCAGTGGGTAGCACCTGTGTGCAAGAGTGTGTATGCACGCACATGTATGTGTATGTTGGAGTAGGAACATGTGTGCATAATGGTCATAGGCAATTATGGCAGGGGAGGAAGACTGGCTTTGCTGTGTGAGGACGGGTGAGGAAACGCACCAGTCCATGGAGTGTTCATAGCTGCCCTGGCATTTCCACCTGGGCCAGAGAGGCCATGACGGAGGAGATGGGCCAGACAGCATGCATATTTAATCTTTAAGCCATGAGAGCACCAAGCCAGCCTTGATGGTGTGAGCCTATAATCCCAGCATCCAGTAGGCAGAGAAAGGAGCACCTTACGCAGAGTTAAGGCCAGCCTGGTTTACAGAGAAAGACCTCAAAAACTAGAAGAACAAAACCCCACAAGTTTGCTAAGAACCACGCCAACAGAAGACATCCCAGGATCCTGGCTGGGATTCTGAGGGGGACAGAGAAAGGTTGAGCCAGGGGTGGGTCTGTGTCCCCGCCCCCCAGCCCTGCACCCCAGGGGCTGCTGGAGGCAGAGAAGCACATGGGCACCGGCCCAACCTGCTGCAAGACTGGGAAATCCAGCTGTGAGAGAGATACTCTTCATCAGCGTCCCCCAAAGGCTCAGAGGCTCCCTCCCATTCCAACTGGGAGGCCCCCATACCCCTGCCTCCAGCACTAGATCTAGAAGGCACTAGCCAGGCCCCTGTGGAGCAAAGAATGGGGTCCAGTCACGAGGCCTGGTAGAGTCCCCGCAGGGCATATACCTGCAGAGGAGGAAACAGAACACAGTCAGTGCTGTTGCAGCTGGCCTCCCAAGTCACTTCTAGAGGTCAGCACACATTCTTGATGAAGGAGCCCAGCCTCTAGAATATTCTGCAATGGGGAGCTGGCTGTTTCTGAGAGGAAAAGTCCTTGCTTGGGAACTTGCCATGCCCTGACTCACCATGGGCTCCGTTGCACAGTTTAATGCAGAATGGGAGAGACTTGGGTGGGGCACAAAGACACGAGGACAACAGTGACAAGACCCTGGTCCTCCACACTGTGTTAGTACGATGAGATCCCTCCACACTGTGTTAGCACGATGAGATCCCTCCACACTGTGTTAGCACGATGAGATCCCCAGGCAGGTAACTTTATAAAGAAAGGGGTTTGCTCAGCTTAGCATTCTGGAGGTGCAAGGGCTCAACCCAGTGTTGGAGCAGTGCTAGCTGACGCCTGGTGACAGATGGCAGGAATGAGTATGAGGGACCCCTCGTAGTGTGAGGTACTCCTCTATACCTTGTTCTCAGAGCTCCAGGACCCCACAGAACCATCTTTATTCCTCCTGAGAGAGGTACCCTGGTAACCTAATGCCCACGAGGCTGCTGTTCTATTTCCTAGCTATCGGGGAAGAGCTCTGTGGGCAGGAACACAGCATGTGTAAAGGTCCTGTGGTGTGTTCACTTCTGGCAAGCATTGGAAAGGTGGAGAACCGTGAACAAGGGCTCTTCTACATAGTCCTGAGGCCATGGGGCTGGGGGGAGGTCTGGGCTTGTCACAGGGGCCTCTAGAAGGGATATGCAGTAAGGGCTTGGCCTGGAGGCACCCGTCCAGTCTGTGGAAGCTGTCTGTTCTGAGATGTGAGCTCTGCTCTGAGGTTTCTGCTCACTTAGGAAGCCAGCGTTCAAAGCCAGAGACTGACAGGGCCAAGGAGATGCTGGCTGAGGCTATCTAAGCAACTTTCCTGATGGGGTCTCTGACCGGCTATGAGCTTGGGACCCTCTCTGCTCCTGACAGAGCCAGTATGGGCCACACCCATCTGGGGGCAACAGCTAGGTCCCCTCATTCACCTTACCCAGCTCATGGCAATGCCCTCACCTCCAGTGTATTCGACTGTGGCCCTCCCTCCTTCCCTGGCCCAGGCTGGCTGAACGTAGGTGGAAACATTCAAAGGGGTCAAGCCTGCTAAGGTGTAGGGGGGCGGCAGAGGATTGGGCCTGTCTGCTGTTCTCTGACCTCTTGAGTCCCAGGCACCCCTTGCACTGCACCCATACAGGATGTGCGGCCCCTCCATGGAGGACAGGGAGGGCATTGGGCCCAGGCCACAGAGCTTTCACTTGCTGTGTCTGGGGACATGCCCTGTAACCCAAGTGTACGAGTCACTGAGGAGGCAGAAGGTTCAGCATCCTGGAGTGACTGAGGGCCACACCTGGTTCTGCCACTCCTGAGTGTGAGGCCTGAGTATGTCCTCACTGCTGTGAGAGCAGGACTGCAAGAAACCAGGGCTGTCTGCACCTGCCTGGGGTCAGAGGTGTCCCAGAGGTGTCTCTGCTGGCCACACCCTGTCCGCCTGGGGTTCACCCTAAATGCAGCTCTGAGTGCACCTTGCTTCCCTGCTTGCTGGGCCATTCGCTGAGCCAGGTTCCCCGTGACAGGATGACGGGGATGCCACCGCAGGCCCTCTCTCCCTCGGGGTGGAGAAGTTGCCGCTGCCACACAGGCCCTGCTCATTCCTCGTATGCTGAGTCAAGAGTAGATGTGGCGTGCTAAAGATCAGGCAACCTGCCTGGCCAGGCTCTGCCCTCTGCCCTTAGGCATCGCCAAGCCTTGCCCTGAGTGTGTGTCTTTCCACCCCAGGCCTCACCCTGAGTGTATCCCTCCCACAGGTGTTCGAGGAGGAACACCATGTTCTCTACCTGGACCATGGTGGCGTCATTGTGGCCATCAAGGACACCTCCATCCCCCTGAAGATCCTCAAGTGAGGTGGTGGGCTGGTGGGGCAAGGTGGGATGGGCACATAGGCAGAGGGCCCAGAGCATCCCAGACAGTCCCCCTGAGTCCTAATTCTGGGGTGTCCTACACCTCCCACCCCTCCTAGGGTGTCCCAGAGATGGACTGCCCTGCCCGCAGGATGAACAAAGGGCACACAGCACAGATGGGGTGATTGGGAGTGGGCTGTGGGGTCCATGGAGGCAGGACTCTGTGAGGGAGGAGTGGGGCGGCGGGGGGTGGTATCCAGGTAGGCTAAACAGCAGCTTCAGATCGCTCACTGAAGGGCTCATTGACACACTGAGGACAAGGTGAACTTGGGACCCAAGAGGCAGAACTGGGAACCTGCCGGGCAGCCACAGTCACGTTAGTCTGAAAGAGCTCTATAGCTTGGGAGATGATGACATTATAATGTTGGTCCTGTCACTGACCCCAAACCCTGAGCTGAGCTCAAGCCTCTAGTGCTATTTCTGGATGTTCCAAGACTCAGATGCCCCCAAAGTTTGTGGAGAGCAGTGCCTGTATGGGACCCACACAGTATGTCTAGGGCACTGTGCCATGACCACGCTAAGTAGTGAGGGATACTACCTGGTGGTGGCAGATAGTCAGTGGCTTTCCCCTGAGTGGGGGAATCTAGCTGTGGCCTTTGTGCTGGCTGGCCCCAGAGCTGGCCTCCATTGGGATAAAGAATCATGGATGCCCATGTGATCATGCCACCCAGTGGACACTGATGGCCTTTCACAGGTTCAGCGTGGACGAGGGCCACACTTGGAGCACACACAACTTCACCAGTACCTCGGTGTTCGTGGACGGGCTGCTGAGCGAGCCAGGGGATGAGACGCTGGTCATGACGTGAGTGCGAGGCAGGGTGCAGGGAAAACAGGCGATTGGGAGGATACAGGTCAGAGCCACCCCCAGGCATGGCATGTCAGGCCTCTGAGCTCTGAGGTGGGTTCAGGCTGGGGCCTTGCCTCCCTGTCTTAGGCCGACATCTCCCGCTCTCATCCTGGCCACTGTGTGAAGCACTCTGTCCCTGCCCATGGCACTGACTGGCCAGAAGTAGAATGGAGGTTCACAGGCTGGCCCCAAGACCCAACAGGACTGTGCAGTGGAAGTCTTTTTGCTGCTGGTCCCTCAGGAACAGACAAGCCATTCCCTGATCCTTACTCTTCACAGACTAGCCAGGCAGAGCAACCTCGCCCTCAACCTAGAGTGGTCTCCAGTATCGTGGCAGGCATGGGCTTGCTGCCCATGAGTGACCCCTGGCATGGTGTGGGCATGAAGGGTCAGCTGGGCTCTTAGTGGTTCATACCCTACTTTTGCCCTTCTGAGAGTCCACCCAGCTCTTTCACAGAGGCCACATGGAAAAGCCCTGAGATGGCCTGACACACCACATCCCTTTTGTGAGCCTACTGTGGGTCTCCCCAGAGGTACAGTGGGACCAGTTGTGAGGTTGATTCTGCTCAGATGGACACTCCTGCTGGACCAGCTCTGTGGTGCAGCCTTGGGAGCTGCACCAGCCTTGGGTAGCACTGAGCACCGCAGAGATGTGAGTCCAGGCTACTAGAGCTCCTCTGCCCTGCCCGGTGTGTAAAGAGCATTTATTGAGCACATACTGTGTGTTAGCACTGTTTGAGGTCCCAGGAGAACTGGCCATAGGACTCACCACAGGCTGGTTTTAGGGGTCTCTGAGGGTAGAGAAAAGACGTTTACCCTTGCATTTGGGGATGGCCAGTGTGTCTCCTAGTTTCCAGACAGGATGGATGGGGACCACACAGGCCATTAAGTTGAGTGGTGAGAGGCCTTCAGGAAACCTGAAGGTCATTTCTACTCAGGCCAGGGGCTGGAGCAGCCTCCAGGGAAGAATAAGATCAAAGAGGATGGGAGGAATGAAAGAACAGGGCCGGAGGACCCGATGCAAACCTGGTACCTCTCAGGCCTGTAAGGTAAGAGGGTCACAGAGTACTAGATTCCTTCCACCTCCAAGACACTGGCCTTTCCCTCATCCCTTCAAGAGTCATGTCCCTGTTTGGGCTCTGCCTAGAGTGTGACCTTACTGGCCCGACCCTCCTGAGACTCTCAGAGAGGGGTCCTTCATCCTGTTCCATTAATGTGCTTGGCTGGACAGCACCTGGTGTGTGATCAGAGCTCAGTAAACAAGGGGTCAGTGAAAGGGCAGACTCCAAGGATGGCTGTCAGGATGGCCAGGCTACGTGACCCCCACCAGGGACTAGGGCCTGTGAGCCTATGTGCATCTGCTGCCCTAACTGGCCAGTGACTGCCAGGAAGGAGACTAGGGAGGGGATGCCTGCATTCCTTCCCCAGTGTCCTGGGCTGCTGCTCTACCCTGCACCCTGGCTCCCTCCCTGTCTGCATAGTGGGGAAGGGAGGCTGTTGAAGATGGAGTGTCTTAGAAAATGGAGTGGTGGTGCTCAGGAAAGGCTGCTTCCCCTGCTGCTGGAGGCTTGGCTTACCCTCTGTAGTGTGATGGTAAACCTCACAGATCCCCTAGCAACATGTCTTAACCAAAGAGGCTACATGTAGCATCCACAGAACCCCAACATACACAGCCCATGGAGCCCCACAGAGTCCCTGAAAGTTCCCATGGAGCCCATGAAGTCTATAGAGCCCCACAGAGGATTCATGACCCCCACAGAAACACACAGAGTGTCCACATTCCCCCATGGAACATCTCAAGAATGTCCACAGCACCCCCTCCCCGAGCCCCAGGGAGTATCTATGGAGCCTCATAGAAGCTCATAGAACATCCATCATCCTCACAGAGACTCCACAGAGCTCACAAAGCTTCCGTGGAGCCTTGGGACCCCCATGGAGCCTCACAGAGTGTGCATATATGTCTATGGAGCACCATGGGAGGTTCAGGGAATGTCCATGGAGCCTCCACAGCGACTACAGACCCCATGAAGTGCCCATGGCCCTCATGGAAGCCTACAGAGCTCTGCGGAATGTCCATAGCCCCATGGAGTCTCCACAGAATGTCTGTGGACACCCCCACCCCCCACTGAAGCCGTGATCAGGCTTCCGTGGAGGAGTCCATGGTAGCACTGGCTTTGCAGCCTCCTTGCTGGGTGACCAGCAGGAAACTGGGGCCGACTGGATTCTGGGACAGAGGCAGCTGAGCACATGGCCCTTAGCTGGCTTGTGGGAAGCTGGTGCTGGTCCAGCTCTGCTTCCACTTGGACGCCTGGGAGGTGAGCATGTTGTTCCTGGAGGCGGAGCTCTGCCCATCCTGATAGTCAGGTGGTCCAAACTATCCACGCATTGCTTGTGCGTCCTCCATGATGCTGTGACCATCAAGGCCCTGGGGAGTCCTGTACTCTCACAGTCTGTGGATGGTCTTCCCCCCTGGATACTATAGTCTGAGGCAGGAGGGATACCCTCACATTTCCTGAGGTCAGGGAGGCGGTGTTGGGTATTTGTCAAGAGAACCCGGGGAGGAAGGATGGCTTCCCTTGCTCTGACGGCAGCTTGGGCTGGGGCAGACTCAGCCCTGTCCCTTGGTCCCTTTATAAGGGAGCTGAGCAGTTTGTGGGGCTGGAGCCCTCAGATCAGGAGGAATAGCTGGCAACTCTGGAAACAGCCCTGACCAGGGTCTCAGGCCTCAGATCTCCAGCCAGGCCACTGGGGCACTCTCCACCCTGAATACCTTACCTTACTGTGGGGCTCACATTCTTCAGGTACTTCAGGACATTAGCCCTTTGTGTGACTGAGGTCCTCAGAGTCAGATCTGGGCCCCAAATTCTACTTTCATCCTGCCGGTACCATTTCAATCAGGGGAGAGCGGTAGAGTTGACAGGCAGGAGCTTTCATGCCTCAAGTTTTTAAAAAGCATTGGAATGCTTCCTACAGAGCCTTTCACAGAGCTGAGTCTTCAAACAGCTTCCAATTCCAGTGGACATGGACATCCTTCACACTGCAGAGGGGACACACTGCCTGACACACAGGAAGCTTTTCCATTCGAGCCTACCACAGGGTCCTGCCCACACGGCATCTCTGTCTCAAGGTTACATCTAAGGTGACCACAGTCATCTAGTCAGGACACTGTAACACTGTCCACAGTTGCCTCTCCAAGCACAGTGCAGGACGGATGGTGCCAGCCAGGCTTCCCCCAGGGTGGAGCAATCAGGCTAGGGCAATGGCTGTGTAGCCCACATTTCCCATTCTCCACTAATCAATCAGTGGCCCTTTGGCCTCTTCTGGTAAGTTCTTTCATCTAGATGAGAGATGCTGACAGCTGGAACAGAGGTTTGGGGTTTTGTCACAGGCAGAACCCGAGGCAGAGATGTCATAGAGGCCCATGCCCATTCCCTACACAGCTTAGAATGCATAGTAGCAAAAGTCAGATGCAGAAACTTGCTGGGCTGCCCCTCCCAGGCCCCATTTCACAGCTGTTGCAAGCTTCTGGCCCTGAGTTCCAACTCTAGCTCCTCAGGGTGGGCTGTGGCACTGCCATCCCCAATGGGTCCCTTCCTCAGCCTCAGTTTCCTCTCTGAAATCTGCGATGATCAGCACACATTCCTCACAGGGTGTGGTGAACCCAAGGGAGAGGGCCTTGGCCACATATCAGACATGTAGTAAGTTCTAGGGTACACCTAACTCAGGCTGTGTGTGTACACATTCACTCAGGAAAGTGTTCCCTTAGGCTGGGTGCTTTGAGATATGAGGGGCATGGGAACCCCCTTCCCATATGGCTCTTCAGCAGAGAGCTGTTGGGCAAGGTGACAAAGGGGCCATGACAAGGCCACCTGAGATCTGTAGAGTGATTGGATGGGAAGCGTAGAAGCCTGCGCGGGCCACTGTGGTCTCAGCTTGCCGAGCTGAGTGTGCGTAGCCTTCACACATTACCATGCTTCCCGCAGGGCTGGAGTCCCGGTGGGATGCATTGAACAGTCACGCTGACCCTTCTCATCCTGCTGCCCAAGTCACAGCGTGACAGCTTTTTTCTCTGGAGTATCAGATCTGCCTGGGGTGAGCCCAGAGCCTCATTCCACATGGCTGGGCAGAGAAGACACCAAACAACACTGGACATGGCTCCCCACACAAAGCACAATGCAAGGCTTGATGTGGGGGAGGGCAGCGTGGTTGCCCAGCCGGCTCCTGTCCAGGAAGGAGGCCATGTAGGGTCAGATGGACAGCCTGTGCTGGTGTGGTCAGCAAGCCATACACTGATTGCCCTGGGGGTGCCAACACCAGGCCAAGTGCAGCAGGAGGGCATGTCGCATTACTGACTCCAGCACGGCAGGCGTGGCACCGTGGGTGGCGGTACACGGGACCAGAGGATGCGTCTGCACAGCAGGGAAGGATCAGTCTAAAGTGGCTTTCCTCTCCTCTCAGGGTCTTTGGCCACATCAGCTTCCGCTCTGATTGGGAGCTGGTCAAGGTGGACTTCCGGCCGTCCTTCCCACGGCAGTGTGTTGAGGATGACTACAGCTCCTGGGACCTCACTGACCTCCAGGTGGGCCAGGACACCCATAGCCAGAAGCCCTTTCCACCACCAGGGAGCCTCACAAATGCCCTCCTCCCCCAGCCTTCCCAGCATCCTCCCTCCCAGGGATTTTCTGGACTGTCCTTGCCTGTAGTTGCTCTGAGCTGTGGTTCTCTATGACCCTAGGGGCTGCGGGGTTCCACCCTCACCCCAGGGCCTGCATGGTAGGATTTAGGGCTTTTCTGCTCCTAGAGATACATCATGGGCACAGACTTTATCTTGTCTGGGCCAGGCCTGACTTGAAATCCATTGTCAATGTCTAACTCTCACATCCAGGAGCCAACAGGACATGAGACCCCATGTTAGCTCCTGGCACTTGAGTGTGGGGCTGGGACTGCGGGTGTGACTTCCTGGCACCTGCTCGCATCCTAGTCAGCCTGGAGAACTTCATTCAGGACCAGGGCAAGGGGCAGCAGAATTCCAAGCTGGGCTTTGTAGCCAAAGAGGATTTGAGGCTAGAAAATTCCTAAGAGGAGACGGACGCCTGGGGCTGGGAACTGTGACTGACCACAGGCAGGACAGTAGCTGAAGGCATCCTGGGGACCAGATATGTCTGGGGGTGGAGATCATCAAGGGGTCAGATGTGGAGGGTGGGGGTCTGGCTAGAGACTTGATAGGCCTTTATGACGAAATTGGTTTACCAGCAAGTGCTCAGACGAGTCTAGGGAAGGTTCCAGAACCTGACTCGTACTGAGCAGCATGCCTGCCAGCCCTGCCCCTACCACAGCCAGTTGCAGTGAGCAGGGTGGTACTGAGAACCTACTCTGTGTTCATATGAGCCCTCAAGACAGGGCTCCATCCCCAGCTCCTCACCTGGCACCCTGTGGCCAACTGATCCAGCAGTTCTACGATCACCCAGGGCCAATCAGGGCTTACACAAGGTAGATGTGCAAAGCAAGTAGCCGCGTGAGGCTGGACCAGTTGACCTCAGACATGTCAAGTTCCCTTCTGGGCCTCAGTTTCCCTGCTTGTCAAAGGGGATCCCTCCCCCACCCTGGCTGCTGCCAGAGCAGGATCAACAGAAGCCGATGGACAGGTGTCAACAACCTCAGCCAGTTCCTCATCCTGGTGTTCCCACTACAGGGTGACCGCTGCATCATGGGCCAGCAGAGAAGTTTCCGGAAGAGGAAGTCCACGTCCTGGTGTGTCAAGGGGAAGAGCTTCACATCGGCACTCACGTCACGTGTGTGCAAGTGCCGAGACTCTGACTTCCTCTGGTAAGCACTGCTCAACTCTAGCCACCTGCCCCTCCCTCCAAGCTGCTCCAATATCTTTGCATGGTGGTGACCAGGTGCTCAGAGCCAAGGCAGAGGAAGCTATGGTGTCCTTCAAGGCCCTGTGTGCAGTCACATGCTACCACCTTCACCTTAGGGCATCATGGGAGCAAGCCACGCTCACACAGTCCCTCTTCTCCCTCCACGCAGAAGCCCACTGCCCTGTGACAATATGGTTTCCACAGCCTCCACCCTGCCCCAGCCGCCTCACTTCACTCTCCCCAACCTGCCCCTCCTCACCTCCCTCTGTCTTGCAGCCTTTGAGAGTCATTCGTCTCCCCCCAGGAAGCCCACCGGTTCCCAGAATCCCTTTCACACTCCTTGCGCTAGAATGTAGCTGGTGTGTTCCATTTGTCCTCTGGGACAGACGTGTGCTCACCCATGTCCCCACCAATGTGGATGCATGCATCTAGGCCCTCCGTGTGAGGTTCTCCACCCTGGTTCTGATCTAATGTTTACTTTTCCTTTCCAGTGACTATGGGTTTGAGCGCTCGCCCTCTTCGGAGTCCACTGCCAGCAAGTGCTCCGCCAACTTCTGGTTCAACCCCTTATCCCCTCCTGATGACTGTGCGCTGGGCAAGACCTATACCAGCAGCCTTGGGTGAGTGCACCCACCCATAACTCTATTCATCTACACACCATCTACCAACCAACTCCAGGGGCAGAGCCAGGAGCACCCCATGCCATGCTTCCTGACAGTCCACGGCTTAGAGGAGAGGTCATGGTCTGGGTGCTGGGCTCATAGGTGTGTGTGGCTCAGCAAGTCACCAGACTGGCACAGCGACCCACGGGTCTCATTGAGCTTCGGAGGGGTGCATTGTCAGGAGAGAGCTGACTCAATGGGGAATGAGGGGCGAGACAGGTCTATCTGAGGCTTACATCTGCTGTAGGACTGAGACCCCCAGGACAGCCCTGCCCTACCCTGGTCCTCCTGAGCCTCTCACACACCCATGTTCAAGAGCCAGCCCTTGGTGGTATCAGAGGTGCTCCTGAAACGTGGGGGACTCCGCTTAAACCCAACTTCCAACAGGAGGCCTTGGTGGACACCCCTGGCCATTCCTCCAAATTTGCCTCTGCTGTAGCTGAAATCTCAGTCACTGGCATGCTTACCTGATTATCCTCCATGCTGGATCTAGGTCTGTGACACAGCGGCTATTCCTACAGTTTGTGCTATTCTGGGTACATGCTCTGCAGGAGGGGAAAGTGTGGCAGGTAGGCCCTGTCTCCCTGGACGGATCCCGCTGTTTGTGAAGTATTAACTTCAGATATATAGCAGCCGTGAGCCTTCAGCTGCAGGAAAGCTCAGCATGCCGACCTGAAGGCGCCATTTCCTCATGCTCTGTGAGGAGCTCCTCATCACTTCCCCTGGAGAACTAGAAGAATCAGTGGCAGGGCCAGGAGCGAAAGGCTTTAGCTTCAGCAGCAGATAGCTCAGCATGTATCATTCACCCATTCACCTATCCATCCCCCATCCATCCATCCTTCCATCTATCTACCCATCTATCCATTCCCTGTCCATCCACCCATTCACCCACCCATCTATCCATCCATCCATCAACCCATCTTCCTACCCATCCATCCATCCACCCATCTATCCCCTGTCCATCTTCCCATCTCCTATCCACCCATCCATCCCTTATTCATTCACCCATTCACTTATCCATCCATCCACCATCCATCCATCTCCTGTCCATCTGCCCATCCCCTCTCCATTCATACATCCATCCATCGATCCCTGTCCGTCCACCCATCTACCTATCTATTCATTCTATCCATCTATCATTCACCTACCCTTTCATTCACCTATCAATCCACCTAACCAGCTATCTATCTACCCCCAACACCCCATTCACTCCTATCTACCCACCCACACATTCATCTGTCCATCCACCCATCTATCTATCCATCCATTGATCCACCCATTCATCTACCCACACAACCACCTACCCATCATCTGTCATCCATCTCTCCATCTACACATCTACCCACCTACCCATCCATCTCTCTACCCATCCATTTCATCATCCTCTGTGCACACCCATCCTTCCATATTCATCTGCCCTTGATAGAGGTCCTGACTGACACTTCAGATAAGAGTCTGTTTGCCACGGCCTGGTAGGCTGCTGAAGAGGCCACTGTTCTGTTGCTTGATAGGGTGGGGGTGGGGCAGATAGATGAGCGGTGGGTGCAGCCATCCCAAGAGAAGTGGTGTGTTTGCTCCTGGCCACCCAGGGAGCCAGGCCAAGGCCAGCCCCTCTCAGCCTCTCTGCCTTGGATTCAGACCACCTCCTTCCATCACCCCTCAGCAACAAAAATAGCAGTTGTTATTACTTGGGGCAATACGATCACCCTAAGTATGTTTTGGCTTTCTGAAGCAGAAAGTGCTCTCAGCTTTAAATGGGCAGAAGCAGCCATGAGGTGACATGGGGAGCTTGCAGCATATGGGGTCTTAGAGGTTGGAGCCGTGAGCTACCTCAGGAAAGGAGAGCATCCTGCCCAGCTTGAACCGATGTTACCTGTGGCTCTGACCCTCCCTCATCCACCCAGGTACCGGAAGGTGGTATCCAATGTGTGCGAGGGTGGTGTGGATCTGCAGCAGAGCCCAGTGCAGCTACAGTGCCCCCTAACACCACCCCGGGGTCTTCAGGTGAGCATCCGTGGAGAGGCAGTGGCCGTGCAGCCTGGAGAGGATGTGCTGTTTGTGGTGCGGCAGGAACAGGTGAGCAGCTGCCCTGAGCTGTCATTGGAAGGACTACTCCAGTCAGATACCCAGGGATGGGGCACTAGGCAGCTTGGAGCATGGCACAGAGGCCAGCCTGCTCCCAAGGGTGGGATGGTCAGGGCTGGAAGTTGGCTCTGAATTGAGACCAGTGTTTGAAATGAAACAAACACAAAAGCAAATGCGTCAGAATGTCAGTGGGAAACATGGGCTCCGTATTGTCTGTGAACGTACAAGGGTATGCGTATATTCATGTATATGTACCAAACATTGATACAAAATTGATTCCACTCCAGAGAGGGCACTAAATTTAAAAACAACTACTGGGGCTGAAGAAATGGCTCAGTGGTTACGAGCACTGGCTACTCTTGCAGAGAACCCAGGTTCAGTTTCCAGCACCCACATGGCAGCTAACAACCATCTGTAACTCCAGTTCCAAGGAATCTGACACCCTCTTCTGTCCTCTTCAGGCACTGCACAACATGGGTGCACCTACATACATGCAGGCAATACATTCATACACATGAAATAAAAATAATAAATATAACAAAAATCATTTACTTATTTTCTAGTGCTGGGGCTGGAACCCAGGGCCTTCTGCAACCCAGGGCCTTGTGCATGCTAGAGACGTGTTACTGAACCACGTGCCCAGCCCAACACAAAAAAACATTTTAAAACCTCTAAGTATATTGATTTAGTTGATTTAGAATCCCAACAAAAGCATAAAGTTAAAAAAACTGTTACTTATAATCACACAGCCAGAGAAAACTCCTCTGGGCATGTATATATGGATGGATATAAATATAGGTTTATATATATATATACACACAAATATATATAAATATATACATATGAATCTCCGCCCAGTCTCCCACTCTTTCTATTTTTATTTTAGAACAAATGTTACATTTTCTTCTGATTTTAAAAATAATATATGTACATCGTAGAATATTTAGGAAATGCATAAAAAAACCATCAAAGATATAAATATCACCCAAAATCCTGTTCCCAGAGGGAACTGTTAATTTTTTGCATTTTCTTTTGGTCTTTTAAAATTAATAGTTAGCAGTCCTGTGTTTCTATTTATATATATTCCACTAATGATCCGTGTAGGAAACAAAAAAATGACAGTTGGTAAAATTTACAAACACTCAAAAAATGCAGAAGAATGCAGGAGCAGCCCCGCCCCCTTCCCCGGGGTCCGGGCCAGTCCCACTCAGCTCACAAGTCCACAGGAATCCAGATCTTCAGCTTGCAGTACACGGGGCTATGGGAATCTTATGCATGCATGATTAGGCCTTCTTCAGTCAAATGCCCTGTAGAACCGGGTGCCATGTGGGGTGGGGCTGTGGCGATGTCTCTGACTCTGGGAGCAGGGATCTGGCCTCCTAGAAACAGGAAACTAAGCTGAGGAGGACACGGACCAGCCACACCCAAGCACCTGTGCATCCGGGCACTGTACACAGCCTCCTCCTGCACTCCCAAGCACAACCTCACGCTGTGTGCTCTGTCCAACCTACTTCATAGGTGGGGGGAACTGAGGCTTGGACAATGAAGTTGAATCTCTCAAAGCTCATGGTAACAAGTGGCAGAGATGGTGTTTGGTCCCAAGCCTGAGACTCCAAGTGAACAGAGCCCAAAACTGTGGCTCCCAGACCCAAGCCAACCCCTCCCTCCTCACTCTGACCCCCCGCCTCCAGTCCTCTGCTCACTGAGAGGGCCCTGAGGTTCACTGGAGCCGGTAGGCAGCTCTGGGGCAGAGCTGGGTGTCTTCGTTCATGACAGTGTGTCGGGGTGGTAAAAGGACAAAGCCCTGACCGGCTTGGGGCCCCCTGGATCCTCAGAGCAGACTCAGCAGGGGGCTCCCAAATTCCAGGTCAGACATCCTGTAAATACGGCCATCTTCTGCCCCCTAGAGCCTGGAACTAGTAACTGCATCACATTGGCAATTACCCAGCCTGGTGAAGCTTGGTAGCCCCAAAGGCCAGTTGTCCCTGGTAGCCCAGGGACGAGTAGGAAACCTATGCTCTGGACCCAGACCCTGGCTGGACTGCTTATCTGGCACTGGCTAAGGTGGGCAGAGATGAGAAGGGGTGTGACAACATGGGACTAGGGTGAGCACACACTGGTACACTAGTATGTACACTTACACCATGACATATGTTCACACACATGTTCACACACTCTCACATATTCATACACACTTGAGGACACACACTTAAACATAGCTAGATGTGAAAAGCAGGGCAGAGTATGGGGAGCCCAGGTTTGGTTAAGTATCTAAGAATTTCCAGTATGGTGGGATAGAGGCCAGAAACAGACCAACAGACAAGCTCTTGACAGATTTAGAACAGGTTGGGGGGACAGTCTCTCCAGCCAGCAACAGCATCTCCCCTAGACCTCACAGTCAAGACAGACATGAACCCAAACAAATCACAGATACAACAGGACGTGGGAAGGTACACAACTTTTAGGATCCATGTTAAAGCCAACCTCAGAGACTCGGGCTGGGGGGTCCTTCAAGTGGATGGGGCTCCAGGCCCACACAGGGAAACCTTGGTATGTCAGTTCCATCAAGGAGACACTGGTTTCAAGAAAGATCCTGTCCAGGAGATAAAGGCAGCTGCCGTCAGAGGATGAACCAGACATCCCAAAAATGGGCGAAAAACCCACGAGGAGACAGTTGGCCCAGCAGGCTGTGCGGGTGGTGAGCAAGCACGTGGAGAGAGGCACTGTGAAGGACACAGATGTCAAAACCACAGCAGATACACACTTCCCAGATGGCATGCAGAAAACCACCCCTCACAGGAACAAGTGGGACCTCACTACACCCTGCCAGAGAACAGTGGGCAGGGAGCCCACCTCTAGAACCGGAGAGCCTCAGCCTTGCAACCTATAGAATGGGCACATGAAGCACCAACCATGCTGGGATGCCCTAACAAATGGCAAACAACATGAGGTCCTAGAGAAGGGCCTGCCCCTCCTCAGCCAGCTTCTGGGGGTCTGGGAGCCCCTTGGATTGTGGCTTCAGTGCTCCAGGGCCTGCCTCTGTCTCCACACAGCTCCCTCCTGGTGCCTAAATCTGCTTTCTTTTCAAAGACTCCACCCATGGGTGTTGGGCACTTAGCACCCCAGTGTGACCTCCTCTTAATGATTTATAACCACAAAGACTTAGTCCAAATATTTCATTTGGAGGGCCCCAGTAGATGTAAATTTTGGTGACATCATCTAACCAGCACAGAAGCACTCATGGAGAAAGTTAAAGGAACATAATTTACCTAGAAGTGTCTGATTGGCTTTTGAGGTCTGGCAGGTGTGAGCTAGGAAGAGTGCTGATAGCTGACGGCATGTTGTGTGGGTCTGCTGAGGGCTGAAGAAAAGACAGCAGAAGGGGGAGGAGGGAAGGAAGGAGAGAGGGAGAGGGAGAGGGAGGGAAGGAAGGAGAGAGGGAGGAAGGGAGGTGAGGCAGGCAAAGAGAGGGAGGGAAAGTGGGAGGGAGGGATGAAGGGAGGGAAGGAGGGAGAAAGGCAGGAAGGCAGGGAGGGAGGGAAAGAGGGAGAGAGGAAGAGTGGTAGGCAGGGAAGGAGGAAGGGAGGGATGAAGGGAGGGAGGGAGAACTTGTATGTGAACACAGGAACTCCATCTTACCATGGGCTGGGAAGTTGGGGTTGGCCAGCACTTAGAAACGTGGCTTTGGGGAGGATAGCACCCAGTGGCTGGAGCTCGCATGGGTGGTTCAGTGTCACCATGAGACAGTTTGGGGAACCCCTCCCTCTGCGTCACACAGCAGAGCCTCATTCCTGGCACTGCCTGGGATGAGATGAGAAAATGGGAGCCACAGCCCCATCGGAGGACAGTCGAGTTTCATCTGCTGTGGTCCCCTGGAGACCTGGTAGAATCTGCAAAGCCCTGCACCTCCACATGAGAGGTCCCCACTTTCTCTCCTAGCCCCATGGCCTGGCTCAGGTTCAGGATTCCAGCTGGGCACCATCTAGCCCTCAAACTGCCTCCCTAAGATCATCCACAGGTGTCCCCTGTACAGCACCTGGGTGAGTGTCCTTTTAAAGAAGAGCCTAGCCATGATCCCCTGGGCTGCCTCTCTGCCCAGCCTGCTATAGGCTACAGGCCCAAAGGTAGAGCCAACCTACTCCCCACGGACCCCCACGGTGCCTACATGTAAGTGAAGGAGGGAGAGGAAGAGAGGGTGCCTGGTGCTAGAACCCCCACTTTGAGGCCATCCTGAGTAGCCCTGTGCTGTTTCCTTGCAGGGTGATGTCCAGACCACGAAGTACCAGGTGGATCTCGGGGATGGCTTCAAGGCCATGTATGTGAACCTCACCCTGACAGGCGAGCCTATCCGACACCGATATGAGAGTCCTGGGGTCTACCGTGTGTCTGTCAGGGCAGAAAACGTGGCAGGCCATGACGAGGCTGTGCTCTTTGTCCAAGTCAACTGTAAGTCCCCTGCTACTTTGAGGCTTTCCTGCAACACAGAGAGCCTGGGCCTGGGGAGTCCCAAGGAACTGCCTGCAGGTCCTCAGCCCTCAGGACATTGAGGCCAAGGGAGGGGGACACAGGCAGGCTGGGCTCAGACTTGGCCCGCTGTGATTTTCACAGCGGAGGGTAGCAATGGTGGTGGTGATGGTGGTGGTGGTGATCGGGGGATGATGGTGATACTGATGTTGGGGTTGATGGCAGTGATGCTATAGGTGTTGATGGTTACAGTGGTGGTGATGAGATGATGATGGTGGTGGTGGTGCTGCTGCTGCTAATGCTAATGTTGGTGCTGATGATGACAGTTATGATGGTGATGGAGATGATGGTGATGGCAATGATTGTGATGATGATGGTGGTGGTGGTGGTGGTGATGGTGGTGATGGTGACGATAGTGATGATGGTGATGATTACTTTAGTTATTTTGCATAGCTGTGACTACAGTATCTGACAGAAACACTTTAAGAGGGGAAAAGATTTACTTTGGCTCATGGTTTCATAGGGTTTCAGTCTATCACAACAAGAAAGGCATGACATCATTCATGGCAACAGGAACATGTGGCAGATAGGGTATCCTCACATCACAGTGGGCCAGGAAGCAGAATGAGGTTAGATGATGGGCTGGACTGTAACCTCTAAAGACTCCCTCTAGTGATCTAGTTCCACCAGTTAGACCCCACCTCCTGACGGCTCCACAGCCTCCCTAAATAGTGCCTCCAGATGGGAAATATGCACTAAAAACATAAACTGAAGGGAAACACTTCAGATTCAATCCATAATTCTTTTCCCTAAAGCTTGCAGCCATCTCGTAATGCAAAATGTATTCATTCCAACTTCAGTAGTCCCCGTGGTCTTAAAGTTGAAGAGACTATTCAGACTCAAAGAAATTTCTTAGCAATGAGTCCCTGTAAAAGCAAAAAGCAATTATACACTTTCAATCTACAGTAAACATTCCCGCTGCAAAACAGAACAGGAGGATAGAAAAGGTTTGACCAAAACTAGACTGAAGCCCAGCACAGAAAGCATTAAACCCTGTGCAGCAGCATCTGGGGCATGTTGTGTCGCCCTGCGGGGTTGGGCATCCTGCCCCTGTGGCCTTCCCATTCCACTACACATGCCCCCTCTCTTGGACAAGCTCCACTCACTGCCTGCAGCTTTCCTACATAGCTGTCACGTCCATGGCCTCGCAAACATCCTGGGATCTCCAGTGGATCCTGGGTCTCACCCTCGCAGCTTGATGCATTACCCCACAGGAAAATTTGACCCTGCTATGTACATAGTGCCTTGTCTTACAAACTTTCCTTTAAAAAAGTCTATGTGCCAGCCTCCATAACCCTGGAACATTTGCCTTCTGCATGCCTGAAAACGCAGCAATAGTTGGGCCTCCTTGGACCATGACTGCAATAACCTCCTAGTGCCTTGACTCCTGATCCCTAAGGCAACCTTCTTGAACAGGGAACCCCTGTGTCCTGTTTTTAAAATATTTTGTTATTTTATGTGTATGAGTGTATTGCCTGTATGTATGTAAATGTACTCTTGTTATGCAATGTATGTGGAGGTTAGAAGAAGGCATCAGATCCCCTGGAACTAGAGATAAGGATGGTTGTTAGCCACCATGTGGGTACCGAGAACCAAACCTGGGTCTTCTGCAAGAGCAGCCAGTGCTCTTAACCACTGAACCATCTGTCTAGCCCCCATATCTGGTTTTTAAAGGAAGGTTTCAAATGTGCTTACAATTTCACACGCCGCAGACTGTGGTGAGTGGAATCTTCCATTCCTGAACTTGCCTCAAGGCCCCTTTCTATGGTTCTAATCAAATAACTCAGCTTCGTTCAAATTTTTCTTTACATTTTTTAGTTGATTTTGTGCAGTTGGGGGAGGTGGCATGCTACAAGGCACACACGAAGGTCAGATGACAATGTGTGGGAACTGGCTCTCTCCTTCCATCATGTGGGTCCTGGGATCAAACTCAGGCCATCAGACTTCATAGCAGGCCTATTTTGTTTTTGGTTTGGGGGGGATTTTTTTTGGTCTTTTTGACAGGGTCTCTCTATAATCCCAACTGGCCTGGAACTTGCTATATAGACCAGGCTGGACTTGAACTCACAGAGCTCTGCTTGCCTCTGCCTCCTGAGTGCTGGGACTAAAGGCATGCGCCACCATGCCCGGCTTGATGGCAGGCATATTTACCCTCTAAGCCATCTTGCTTAAAAGGCACTGAATATCTTTGACAGTTAAGGATTTTTTTGTCCAGTGTCCCCCTTTCTGGCCAAACTAAACATTGTTCATGCCCCTCTTTTCTGCTCTTTGCTGCTTATGCTCATTATAAACTTGGCGAAAAGCAGCCAGCAGTAACCATCCCACAGCGTGAATGCTGTGCTGTCTTGAAATTTCTTCTGCAAAATTAGTCTATTACTTTAGAAAAGGCGTTCATTGCGGGTATGGATGGCATGTTAAGTGTATGTCCCAGCCCTCTGTTCCCTTAGTTCCCTTTTAATTCAGCCTCACGGGGTGGCACAATGGCTCAGCAGATAAAAGCACTTGCTGCCAAGCCTGATGACATGAGTTCACTCACCAGTTCCCACACTGTAAAGGACAGAACTGACTGACCCTTACAAGTTGTCCTCTGGCTGCCACACTGAGACACATCACACCCATACACAAAAACACACAAAATATGTGTGTTGATTGATTCAGAATGAATTGTTGATTCAGCCTCACATTTTCAGGACATGGGAAAATTAGACTTTTCCAGAATTACAACATGATGGTTTCTGGTCAGTCTGTACTGAGTCCTTGTTCCCATGAGGCCTCACAAGCCTGGCCTAGGGTCCCTGTCTGCATTTCCACTAACATTCTATCTTCTAAATGGTCCATTAAGCTCTTCCTGGAACATTCTAGGGCTTCTCTAACCTGCAGCTCCTAACTTCCCTCTCAGAAAAAAAGTTCCAAGTGCTTAAGATCCACAGGGGTAGGTTTAGTCCAAGCAACAATTCCCCTTGTCTATACCATGTTTCCGTATTAGTTACTTTTGTACTATTATACCATAATCCTGACAGAAACTCAAGGGAGGGAACAATTAATTTTGGCTCCTGATTTCAGAGGATTTCAGTCCATCGTGGTGGCGAGGCATAGTGGCGTACATTGCAGCCCAAATCTCCTCACATCATAGCGGACTGGGAAGCAGAGTGAGGTTTAGACCAGGCACCAGGCTCTAGCATTCAAAGGCCTGTGACGATCGACTTCCACAAGCTGAGCCCCACCTTCTAAAGGTTCTATAGCCTTCCACCTAGCACCACCAACCTGGGAACAAACGTTCAAAACACAAGCCTATGAGGGACACTTCAGATTCAAACCACAACAGTGACGGTGCTGATGGTGTGGTGATGATGGTGGCCATAGTGGGGTTGGCAGTGGTGATGATGGTAACAGTGACTAATAATCAGCCTCTAAAATATTTTGCCTCACTGTCCCCTAATCGTGGGCTTCGGGGAACTTTGCAGCCCCCCTGCAGGCCCTCTCCCTCGAGGTAGTCCCTGCCATTGGTACCAACCAGGAGGTGAACCTAACCGCCGTATTGCTGCCCCCGAATCCCAACCTCACCGTCTTCTACTGGTGGATTGGCCACAGCTTACAGGTTCGTCTGCCTAACCCTTCTCTGCTCTCCCACAGACTGACACTTGTGAAGTGGGCAAGTGGGGCGCACTCCCCACTGCAAGGCCCCTCCGGGGGCCATTGGAAAGGCCCAGTCCTGGCCCTCCACTCCACATACACCCTGAGCATCCGTGCGAGGTTCAACTGCTCAGGGGATGCAGGACGGATAAGACAAGCTCCTGGGTATTCTTGTGAAAGACATGGAACATAGTGCTTGACCAAAGTTCAGTATGACATGTCACAGGACTGTGTGGGGAAGCTGTCTTTAATAGAGGGGCCAAGGACTGTGTGGGGAAGCTGTCTTTAATAGAGGGGCCAGGGAAGTAATTACTGAGGTGGTTAGAATGTGGCCTCACACAGAAGCTTAGGTGATACACACTGTGATACTTGTGGCCAGGAAGAAGAGATTGTCTATCCTGGAGGCTAGAGAGGGGCACTGTTCCTCAACCAGGAGGTAGTAGCCCTGCATCCCAACAGCAACACTGACACAGGGCTGAAAGAAGGGAGGGGCTTCAGTACAGAATCATGCTTCTTGGGATGGGGGGCTCCCAGAAGGAGCAGAGGCTCCGAGTTCTAGTCTCAGCTTGGCCCAGCCAGCTGAAGGTTCCAAGTCCTTTATTCACTTCCCCGAGGCTCTGCCCCTGCTTTTATAAGGGTCTGGCCTGGCCTGTCACTGAGGTGACATCACCACCATCTGTGCTGAGTATGGCTGATCTTTGCCACAGGCTGCAGCCTGGGCTGCTGTTGGCCCACACCTCGGAAGATGAGCCAGGCTGGGGCACAAGGCTGTACCTGCTCTCAACAGCCAATAAAAGCTCTACAGGAAGGCACTGCCCCCTCGGGATGAATGTGTCCATGCTGTGGAGGCAGAGGACACTCCCTATCCAGCTTAGAACTGGGGTGCTCTAGGGTACCCCACACCTCCCAGATACTGCCACTGTGGAAACTACCAGCAGGTCCCTAGCTGATGAGAGCTGGAATCAGCATAGTCCCAGTGTGGCCCTGACAGCAAACGGGGCCAGTGTCCCCACAGCCCTGTACTCCGTCAGGTGGACCTGACCCCACTTGTGCCCACAGCCCCTGCTCTCTTTGGAGAACTTGGTGACAACCCGTTTTACAAACGCGGGGGACGTTCGTGTGACAGTGCAGGCTGCCTGTGGGAACTCGGTGCTGCAGGATTCCAAGGTCATCCGTGTTCTGGGTGAGTTGTCGCCACCCACCCACCCCATGCAGGGCAGCACAGGTGCACAGCTACAGAGAGCCTGGTTGCCCCCAGGGTGCCCTAAGTTGGAGTGAAGAGTCGAGGTAGATTTGGTCTCTGACTATGTGGCCTTGTTTGAGGTATTCTGGCCTCTTGGGCCTCAGCTTTCCTCTCTGTAAGATGAATATTGTCTCCTAATACTTATGGAGCACATCATACACAGGAGGCTGTGTAGTAACTCAGCAGCAAGAACAGTTGGGCACCATGTCACCACCTCCACAGGCCTGTCCGCTCACCCCCACCATTCTAAGGATGTGTTTCACAGGGAAACACATACAGTAGAGAACCCTGTCCTGGGAAGGAGTCGTCCCCGGCACACATTACCTCATCAGCATGCCCGAAGCTCATTTGGCTTAATAACAGTCCGCCATGGATGGCAGCCATCAGTTTCATTAGAGACCTTCAGATAGAGGGATGAGGGCTGCCCTAAGCCCATCCTCCCTTCACTGTGGAGTGAGAGGCAGATGTTGAGTCACAGTTTACAGAGAACACTGTCTCCTGAGCCCTCTGCAATAGAGAAAAGGGGCAGCTTAGAAGCCAGTGGGGTAGTGACAGTGAGTCCTGAGCTGTGGGCCCTGAGAAATGTGCGCAACACGGGGCCCCTAACCTCAGGGTGCTGGTGATCTGGCGGGTTGAGCAGGGAATTGAGGTTCATGGGTCCCTGAGGAAGGAGATGCCAACATCAGAGGTGTGTAAACCCTGGGAGTTAGGGAGCAGGTCTTGTGGAGCAGACCAAGCAGCGCCGTGCCTTCCTTCCACGTTGGCAGCCACTGTCATCGTCGTCACATGGCAGGCACTGAGGTACATGTAGGGAGAGCTCTTCCAAATCTTCTGACCTCAAAAGACCATGGGAATGGGCTGGGACTGTCTGGCCCACCCCACACATGCTGTCCTCTGCAGGGCCTGACCTGCTGGCTCTGCTCTCTGCCTCTTCCAGATCAGTTCCAGGTGGTGCCACTGCAGTTCCCCAGAGACCTGGACGCCTTCAACCCCAACACCCCCGAATGGAGGGAGGACGTGGGCCTGGTGGTCACTCGGCTGCTCGCCAAGGTGTGTGACAGCTTGGTTCGCGCTCCTGGTGTGGCCTGCAAGGGCTGGGGCACGAGAGCAGGACGAGGCCGGGATGCTTGGAAAGCAGCAGGCTGCTGCTCCAGCTTGAGTTCACAGCTGGACATCTAGAAGAAAGGGACTGGACTGTATCATCAGGCACAGCAGGAGACTGGCCTGCTAAACTCTTGTCCTCCACTGGTCCAGAGCTCTTAAAACCACTCCCAGTTCCCGTCTGAATTCTTTCTGAGCTGGACTGGAGACAGAGAAAGAACCGCAGTGGGTCACTCCTCTCAGGCAGTTCACAGCAGCGTATTGGAGAGGCAGTGGGCTATCTAAATCCCTGGGGCCCAGGAAAAGAGAGGCCAGGCCCACTAGAGCCATCCAAGACTTTCATAGACAGAGACTACCCCCTGATTACCCCATGCTGGTGAAATTGCTGAGGCCACTGAATTATGAGCAATTAAGCACATTATTATACTACATGGAGCCAGATGCCCAGGAGCTGAGCCTGGTGACCTTGGGGTTATGTGGGTTTGCAGCTAAGGGCTTGGAAGTAGGAAGGGGCAGGAGTCAGCAGGGCCAGGTGTCACAGCCTCATACCACTTCGATGGTGGGGGACACTCACCTGCTCCAGACTCAGGATGATTGCAAGGCAGGCACCGGTGTTCCTGGGAGCTGGCTTGTGGCAAAGAATGAGGAAAAGAGGAGGCTTCAGGGGCTAGAGAGATGGCTTGGTGGTTAAGAACACTGGCTACGCTTGCAGAGGACCCAGGTTCAGTTCCCAGCATGCACGTGGTGACTAACAACCATTGAATTCCAGGCAGTCCAACATCATCTTCTGGCTTCCATGGGCACTGCACACATGTGGTGCACTTACACACATGCAGGAAAAACACTCATACACATAAAATAAATTTAAAAAATGAAGGGGATCCAAGTAGTCTGCTGTCCCCACAGGAAACCAGCATCCCCGAGGAACTGTTGGTGACCGTGGTGAAGCCAGGGCTGCCCACCGTGGCTGACCTGTATGTGCTCCTCCCTCCCCCCAGGCCCACAAGGAAGAGGAGTCTCACTAGTGATAAGGTACGTCTGTGGCCATCTGTACCCAGGTCCTCCCTGCATAGCAGGGCTGGGTGGCTGGATGCCCAGGTGGGGCATCACTTAAAGGCTGATGTTTGACCATATTGCACTGTGACCCGAGTATCTACCCTCTGGAGGTCTCCGGACCTCCAAAGCCAAGGGGAGAGGCTGGGCTAACTAGGTCTCCACTTTGCCTCATGTCATTGACTGGAGCTGGTCCCGGGGCTTCAGCTCCTTTGCAAGGAGTACATGTGAGACACTGTGGGGGAATCTGTGCCACAGAACACAGAACAGACCACACACACACACACACACACACACTCCGTAACTTTCCACAGTATAGCTACCAAGTAGTAGCCCTCGTGGATGGGACAAGGACAGGCCAAGAGACAGGTGTGTGAGGGGACTCAAAGATCAGTAGGGATCCTTCCAGGTAGCTAAATCTAAAAGCAGACAATATGAAAAACCAAGTGTTGTCCAGGGGAAAACAGAACCTAGCACACTCTGGTGGGGGTGGACAGCCATGTGGAGAATGGACTAGCAACTAACTCCACCAATGACACAGACTGGACCTGTGGCCTGGTGAGTCCCTTCCTAGAAAATATGTGCCTTCCCCCAAACAGGTTGGGGAAGATGGCTCAGTGGATAAAAGCACTTGCCAGGCAAGCATGAGGACCTGAGTTTGAATCCCCAGAACCCACATAAAAGCTGGATGTGTAGTGTGAGTGTCTGTGTCTATAATCCCTGCATTCCTGCAGCCAAACAGGAAACAGGAAGGACAGTGCAAAGGTTCCTGTGCAGGTGACAAAGGTCAGGAGGTGAACTGTAGATGTGTATGACTGTGAGGACATACCAAAGCCACCCATACTTGAGCACACAAAACTGATACACGCACTAGGTGACCTGGACAGGGGGCCAGCCCCAAGGACGAGGCTGGGGCAGCACAGACCTAGCATTTTGCAGATACAGGCCCCACTGTTCAGATGATGGGGATCTGGGCTCATCTGGGGCCATGGGGAGGCCAGATGCCCAACGAGGTCAGCAGCACTTTGTATATTGTAAGCCATTAGGAAAAGAAACCAGGAACCACTCAGGAGTGAACAGAGAGGCCCAGGTGGCAAATACACCAACAGCCAATGAAAGACCGTCTGGGCTCATGATTCAAAAGATGCCTAACATCCGTGCCACCTACTGATTTGTGTGTCCCAGTGGAAGAAGAGGGCATTTTCACAGCATAGAAAACTGACCTGAGCACACACGGAGCCAACTTAACCTTGACCACAAAGCTGGACATGGCACCCACCCTCCTCACACCATCCAAAGGTAGCATGAGGCACATGGCACAGTGTGGGCTGAGGCCCAGCAGCCAGTCCACCTGCCTGTCACCATGGTGCACACTGGGGAAAGGACAGCCCTTCAGTACACAGCATTAGGAAAATGGATACCCAGCCACCGGCAGCAGGATGAAATGGGAGCTTCGCCTACATGTCATACACAATAATCACACTCTACTGAAGACAGACAACACTGTAAAACGACTAGAAGACCAGGCAGGAGGCAATCACACAGAAGTCTGGGCAAGTTGGATGGTAATTGCGTGACCCAGAGACTCCAATCCTTGTGTGTAATTGAGAGAAACACACAGAGCACCATCACTCACTGCAGCCCCAAGTGGTAACAGCTCAGTAACGTGACTCCCAAGGCCAAGTGGACAAAGGGGATTTCATCACATGAGACATCTCTTCATGGCACGGGAAACCACCTGCAGAGTGGGCCCTGGCAGTCATACGTGCATCTGACAAGGGTTTCGTATGTCTCCATACATGAGGAAGTCGACTGACTCCACAGCGAGAGTACAATCCAAACAGGCTAGGGGTGAGGGGTCAGGACAGTTCTCAGAAGACACAAGGAGCAGGGAGGTTCAGGAATGCCTTGTGTTGCTGCTTACCAGGGGAATGCAAGTCCCTCCACAGAGAGGGGTTACCACAAGAAGGACTATTCTCAGAAAGGTGACAGAACAGCCTGAGGACAGTTTTCTTCAGAGCTACTCCCCACCCAGATGACAGCTAATTGCTCCCAGCCCAGGACACATCACTGGACAGGACAGGGACCTGGTCTGGCAACTCTCAGGTGCTCACCTGCCTCCTGTTGAGCAGCCAGGGCAATCCCAGTACAGCTGCCAAGAGGTGGCTTGGCACGGGGTGCCCTGGAGATGGTCATCCTGAGGGGTCCCTTTCCCACACCTTGTGCAGAGAGCCAGTCCCTGAGTAGCCTTTGGGCCATCTGGCTCCATTCTGAAGGGGAGGACAAGTTCCCAGCCCCATAAGTGGTAGGTAGGAGTGTGTGAAGGTGGCCTGTGAGGAGATTCCAGGGTATGAATGGAGTCAAAACCTTCTCTCCCCCAAAGGCTGGGGAATCTGTACCCCTAAGTCTGTCCAGTGGACTCAGTTGACGTCAGTCCTAGAGACACAGACAGCACTATGGGAATGAGTGTCATCACCAGGTCACAGCTGGGTCTCCATACTGGGCCCTAAACAGTAAGCACTACCTAGGGACAGAGGACAGGGAGATGTGGGAGAGTCCTATGTGCTGGATACCGCAGCTGTTTTCCGTGTTACGGGGCTCTTAAAGACAGCACCGTGGTCCCAGCACACCCTCCAGACTCCCCCTCAGATGGGATGTTCTGCCTGGTCTGGTCTTTTCATGGTCTATTACTTTAGAGAAGCCTCATCACAGTGGGGGCAGGGCCTCCTGAGCATCCAACACCACCCCACCCCCAGCCCCCTCACCCCTGGGCCTACACACTGCAAACTGAGAGCTTGCTGAGGGCAGGGCCAAGGTGTGTCATCAGTGGCGCTGGCGCCTCATGAAGGTTTCCTGCTATCATCTGACAAGGACTGAGGCACCAAGTGGCACCTTCCCCAGCTCGGAGGAACGCTCCAGCACTCCAGGCCCCAGGATCTCCCACCCCCTCTTGCTTTCAGAGACTGGCAGCTGTGCGGCAGGCACTGCGCACACACAGGATCAGCTTCATCCTTCGAGGCGGGCTTCGCATCCTGGTGGCCTTGAGGGACACAGAGGCAGGTGAGATGCCTGGCTTGTCCCCTGTGCAGGAGGCCCAGACCCAGAGGGCCCCACCCACAGGGCACAGCAGGACTCTGCCAGGAGCGGAGGTCAGCCGGGTCCTCTAAGGCCACACAGCATGTCCATCTTTCATAACCTGGACCGGGGCAGGTAGAGGACAACATCCAGCCTGCTCATTGCTGCTGTTCTCGCTGTTTTGTTAACAGGTTCTCAGAGGCCAGGTGGCAGTGGCGGCTACTGGGCCGTGGTGGTCCTCTTTGTCATTGGGCTCTTTGCAGTGGGAGCATTCATTCTCTACAAGTTCAAAAGGTAAGACCTCCTGGTGGCTTTGACATGTATCAGGCAGCTCTAGATGGTCCCAGAGGTGGGAGCTTCCAGCAGATCATGGAGGCTGAGTAAGTCTTCCCTTGAGCAGGCTGCAGGGCCAGGACCTATCGAGTGTTGAACCATCCTGCAGGTGGCCTAGTACTAGGTCCATTTCAGAGGCCTGGCCACACCCTGCCCTGCCCTCAGACTTGCCAAGGATTTTCCCTCTTGGAGGGAGGAGGAGGGAAAGTGGGCCCTGTAGCACAGCGTGCCTGACCCAGCATCACTGAGGCCAGCTGAAAGGCCTAGCAGGGAGCCGGGTCCAGGACTTCAGGCCAGGAGCCCTGGATGGAGGGGAGAACGGGGGGACCAAGCTGTGTGAGGGCAGTCAGGTGCTCCGGACGTCTGTGTGGGTGGACATCTCTTAGTGGACATTGATGTGGATAGACATTTGTGTGGGTCAGGATGTGTGAATGGCTGTGGGTGTAGATGCTCTTCTGGACTTTAGTCTCATGTGAGACATGCAGGACCATGGATGGTCATTCAGAGGGTGGCATGCTGCCCTTGGGTGAAGGCAGGTGCCAGGGACAGAATTTTGTTCCTTGTGGGTGAAGTGTCAGCCCCACTCTCCAGACCTCCTGAGGGCTAGATGGTATTGCCGCAAACTGCCAGTGGCCCACACCAGGTGCATGCAGCCAGGACAGGATGCTACCTGCCACACACAGAGAGGGGGAGGGTCTAGGCATGCCCAGAAAAAGGCTGGTGCAGTGTTCCCAGGGCCGGCTTAGGCTTTGAGGGTGGAGGGGAGGGACATGTGGCCACAGAAACAGAACTCGGGCAAGGGGCGAGTGCCCTTCCCCACCACCTCCAGGCTACCCCAGGTGAAGAGGGCAGGGAAGGTGAGAGGAGAGAGAAGTGACATAGCACCTGCCTTCTGTCCCTCCAACCATTCATCTACCTGGGCTTTCAACTCTGCCTAGGTCTGCTAGGCTGTGATGTCTGGGAGCTGGTTCTGTATGCTGTCCTCAGCACTGAACTGGCAGATAAGTCACCCAGTGTCGAGTCTCCCTGGCTCTGTGCCCCTTGGGGGCTGACAGGGCTGTACTGTCACTCAGGAGTCTACAACAGCAGGTAGAGCCACCTGCAGCACCACGTGCAGCATCTCTTCCTGGCGGGCACATGCCCACTTCCACCCTGTAGGCACACCTTATTTTCTCCTACTCAAAGGTCCCAAATATTCTTTTTGCCTCCACAAGCCTCTAGGGAGCACTCACCACCAGGATTGGGGACACCTTTCTCTCCCTAGGCCTCAGTTTCCTTATCTCTGAAATGGGCCTGTGACCTTTCTAGGTCTGGGTAGAATAAAGTGATTATCACATACAAGGGGCTTGGCCTGTGACCCTAGCAGGGCGGAGGGTGTCATACGTCCTCTGTTTCCTCTGGTGCCTGGACTAGAAGTGGACAGTGGAGTCCCAGGAAGCCTGGATGGACAGGGCTCAGCAGGTGTCCACTCAGGGTTGGGTCAGCACTGTGTGTTTGTCTGTAGAGCGTGTGTGTTCACTGTCCTGGCTGTCAGGTGGTGGGAGATACAGAGGATGGCTGGTTCTATAGTGGTAACATTCGGCTACAGAATGAGCAAGCAGCAGTGGGCAGGAAGACACGGGTGGAGGGTGGGCTGTCTGGGGAACAGCCCTGTGTAGCACTGTCTACACACACCCTCACAAAGGGCTTATTGAGAGCTGAGCTGCACCTCTGGCCAGCAGGAAACGCCCCGGCAGGACGGTGTACGCCCAGATGCACAATGAGAAGGAGCAGGAGATGACAAGCCCCGTGAGCCACAGTGAGGATGCCCAGAGCGCCATGCAGGGTAGGACCTGGGGCATGCTGACCCACCTACCCCCACCCCCACCGAGCGGCCTGGCAAAGCCCAGGGGACATGAGCCAGGCTGGCCACAATTGGAGGGGCTTTCTGGGCTGTGTCTTGACACAGTGAAGGTGGGCCCTGGGGCTGCACAGGATGAAGTCAGAGGCTGGAAGCTGAGGGCACCGTGCCCAACAGTTGTTCAGCGGCCTGCACAGTCCCAAGGGCAGAAAGCTGCCCCACAGGACCTTGGAGCTTTCCATCTGCTGTTCACTACGACTGCAGAGTCCATGAGCGTCGTGCATACACATGGACCTCAGTCCAGCATTTCAGAATTTGCGTTGTCTCCAAGGTGACATTCATTCCTGCTGCGTGTACGGCTACGGTGCCCTGTCCCACCCAAAAGCAACAACGTCCACATGCCATTTCCTCTGAGTTGTGCCTGTTCAGCTGGAATTATCTTCTAGGCCTCCTGGCCTGTGGTTCTGCTCCACACAGGCCTGCCCATGCCCCTTTTATGGTGGTGGGCACTGCTGCCTGCCCACCCTAAGTGGCTGTGGGGTATCCAGAAAAAATATGGCACGCAAGGCTTCATTGAGGCCAGCTGTCATGGCACATAAAGATGACAGTGTCCTGGTCTGTTGGTCCTCAGAGCTGTGTAGGACAGAAGTGACATCCCTCACCTTGGGAATTATTGAGAGTGAGCCTCAGCAAGGTCTACAGTCACCCAGAGCCACACAGCTCTCAGTGACTGACCTTGGATCCTGACCAGCTCAGACCCCAAAGTCTGCATCCTCCGGGCCTCCAAATTCTAGGAACACTCTCCCCAGTCCTTCCAACCACTCAAAGTCCACTGTCGTTTCCTGCATCTGCCAGCCCAAGCGTTCTCTTCAGAGGACATACCTACAGCCTCAGGGATTGTAACGACACTGTGACTTAAGGGGTACATGGAAGGTCCTAGGCTCATCACTCCTGGTCACTGTCTAACCCCTGAAGCAGCTAGTGTTGCAATGTCTGCAGAGGGGCAGCCGAAACTCGGCCTCTGAGTCACTCATGTAATCAGGGGGAGTGTGTGCACAGCCCTGTGCCCTGATACCCCAAGCTCAGAAGATCTGTCCACTGCTCAGGTCCACACTGACCCTCTATAGCCAGACCTCTCCCCTCAGGCAGGCAGGTCACAGCCTCTGCCAGGAGGGTGTGGGGATCTCAGGAAGACAGGAATCTGTCTCCTCTGAGAAGCCCCTAGTGCAAGAATACTGTTAATAAGAGTTCCTTAGCATGGGGCCAGGCACTGCCCATGACAGTCCTGCCCAGGCCCTAGTGACCCTGATGTCAGGGTGACTAATCAGAGCCAGCGAAGCAGAGGTCCTGATGGAGTGTCACATCAATGGTTAGGCAGATCCCACATCCCGTCTCTGCAGCCTGGACCCACCCAGTGCCATCTGCTTTAGACACATGACAAGGCAGGGAGACAGGCTCTGTGGAGCAGCTCTGGCCCAGGCCCAGTTCCCTAGTCTCATACTGGAGACCCCACAGGACACCTGATTAAGCTATCTCTGATGGTCACTATGCCCCTTCTTTCCCATACACCACAGCGTTCTCTCTCAGGAGGGAGCGGAGCCTCAGTCCCTCCTGTGCCCCCTTAATGCCGATGCCTGGGGTGGCCCTCATACAGGTCAGTGGGCACCTCACCACACAGCCCTTGGGACACTGATTGTGTTGGCACCTGGTACACCCTCCTGTTATCGCTTAGGACACTGGAGACCCCACTCCTACCCTGAACCAAGCACAGGCAAAGGGAACTTCATGGTAGCCACTGCATGTTGGTTCCATGTGCTGCTGAGGCCACCTGTGTCCCTGTGTGACCTGTTTCCCACTGTCCTCACCAGTGAGCGGTGCTCTTCTGTTCCCTAGGCAACCACTCAGGCGTGGTCCTGAGCATCAACTCTCGGGAGATGCATAGCTACCTGGTGAGCTGATCGTGCCGGCTGGCCAGGACACTCTTCTCCTGTTTCCCCCGGGGAGGGCACAGGACCATGTGTGGCTGGAACGACAACCCCTGAGACCTGCGGAAAGGCCGCCTCCTCTAGCTGTCCCCACTCAGAGGATAGACACTTCTCCCTGTCAGCCCCGGCTGGCCCCTGGGATGTTGGGGCAGCCGACTTCTGACCAGCCTGGACACAGGCCTGTGGTGCCACACAAAGTCCCCACGCCTGACTTGGGCATCAGTGTCGTGGCCCCACACATGCTGCCTGCCCTGGTCGCTCCAACTTCTCATTGCAGCTCAGGCTGACTTCTCCCAACTGGGGCTGGTCCAGCCCAAGCCTGGGATGCGCCTCCAAGGCCCGCCTGCTCCAGAGTGGCAGATCTGCTCGGCCCCACCCTAGAGCCCCTGCCCTGAAGCCCCCGCCCCTGCCTAGAACCCCAAAGCCAGGAAGCCTGTGGGCCAGACCTGCCCTGTACCACCCTCCAGGTAGCCACCCTTTCCAATGCAGATGGTGTAAATACCTGCCCAGGTAGACATTTGAGTTTGGGGGCACTTTCCTTTAACTTTGTTTTCAAGACCAGACAGTAGCTTTCTAAGTTCTGTCAGAGCACCACTCTGAGAACCCCTTTTTCAAGATGCCCAAGGCAGGGTACAGAGGAACAAAGATCTCTGGGGGGACAGGAAGGGAAGGGAACTATACATGTAGTTCCTGTTCCCGCCAGCAGGCGATGCCCTCCTACAGCCCCTAGGCTGTAAGTTTCTGCCTCCAACCAGGTCTGGGCCCTGGGAGAGGCCAGAGGCCCCAGAAAGGCACCACAGCCCAGTACATCAGGCTCTCTGGGTTTCCTTACGGCCTGAGAAACCCACATCGAGCCAAGCAGATGTGTAAGAACACAGCTGAAGGGCCGTCACAATGGTTCCTCCTGGGGAAGGGAACCCAGGGAAGGGTGGCCTTTTCAAGGTTGCAGAAAGACAGCAGCAGAGGTGGCCCCGGAGCCAGCGCTCTGCCTTTCCCATGCCCAGAGTCAGGGACCCAGAGCAGGTCGACTGCTGTGAGCAACACAGTTCACCTTTTGCCTTGAAACTGAAGTCAGTACCCTCCGATCCCCCCCACCTCTTTCCTCCATCCACTCTCCATATCTAGCCCTCTGCTGGCCTACCAGAGCCCAGGCTGGCCCAGGGTAAGGTCTGAGTGTGCCCATCATGCTGGTTGGTGCACCCACCAGTTTTCCCTGGGGAAGAAATGTGGCCTGCATAGTCCATGTCTTCACACAGGGCTGCTCCAGTCCTCCCTCTGTCAGGGTATCCAGACAGTCATGTTCTGGATAGGACAACAGAGCAAGGCTGCTGTGTGTGGCACAAGGCTGGCCTGTGGGGTATCCCAGTCACAACCCATTCTTCTTGCTGTTACCCACTGGGGCTCAGGATTCCTTCAGAAGTGGTCCTGTAGGCCATCGTCCTTCCAGAGGCTGGAAACAGGAGCCTACAGTACAGGCTGGGACACCCCGAGCCTTCTGCCACTGCCCCACCTGCCTCCTTACATTCTCAGAAGACACCAAGGCAGAGACCTGTGTCCCCAAACCCCTGCACTCAGTGTCACACACCGTGATGCTCACACACCACACAGTCCCCGCCAGGTCCATGGCCGGCACAGACCCCCACTTCCACTCACCAGTGCCCGGGGCACCGTGTGTAGCTCTCTGCCTTCTGTGTTAACTCGGCGTGATTTCTGCAGACGTTCAGGTAGCTTTTCCCTAGTTATCTGTGCTCCCCTGGTATTTTATGTTATTTCTATTAAGAACATTTGGGGCATATAGACCCAAGAGCCTCCCCCACGCTCCTCTCCATAATCGCAGATGGCGATAGCAGGCGTGTGGTTTGCCTGGTTATCAGCTAAGGCGCCCTGCATTGCACAGCCAGGGACAAAGGCCACCATGGAGAGGCCAGATGCCACCTGCTTGGGGTCTTACATGTCACTTCACTGGGCCGTGTGCATACCTGGAAAACGGGCAGAGCAGAAACGATGTATTCTTTCTATTTTTCCTTTTTAAAAACCAATAAATCATTTGTGATGCTTTTAACAAAGATTAAATATGATTAGCTTTTGCCTTATTATATAGTTTTTGATGTTTACTTAAACCACACACACCATACATGGCAAAAACCACACACTACATAGACACCCACACATCAGCATACTACACCAAATACATCACACACCAAGAACATCATACTACACACCCAAAGTCTCTCACACACTACATAAGCACATATGTGTTATCACATACGTGCCACACAGTTGCCCCTAACAGTGTGGCTGCAGAACTGTGTCGCTGATGCTGGGAAGGTTCAGGACATTGAGCTTTGAAGTGATACTGTCCCCATCAGTCCATCCCCGTGAGCCCATCTGTCTCACAGCAGCATTTAGGGAACCAGAAGCCTCAACCAACGTGTTGAGAGCTGGGTACACCATGCCTGGCACCTCACCTCCCAAGCCCGGCAGACCTGACTGTGGCCTCTGAATAGATAGGTGAGGCCCATCCTCATTTCCCACAGTGCTGCCTGCTGTGGACAGCGCATTTCCCAAGGCAGAGGGCCCTCGATTGTGTGAAACACAATCATTTCCTGACTGGAGAGATGGCTCAGCAGTTAGGAGCACTGCCTGTTGTGGCAGAGGACCTGGGTTCGAGTACCAGCACCCATATGGTGGCTAACAGTCCATAACTCCAGTTCCAGGGGATCTGACGCACTCTTCTGACCTCCCTCCTGGGTACAGCAGTGCCCCCATCCTCCAGGCATTGCATGACACAGGTGTACTTATACACATGAAGACAATACGCTCATACACATTAAAACAACAAACTTCCTACTCTCCCCTTAGGTAAGAGACAGGGAAAGAGGGGGACAGAGGAAGAGAGAAGAGAGCTAATGAGATATGAACAGGGAAGAGAGAGGGATGGGGGGGCAAGAGGGAGGGTGGCTTCCCAAGGCATTTGTGGAGGAAGTGGAGTTGGACTTGCCCCCAGAGCTCCAGAGTGAGCAGCCCTGATGCCAGTGCTGGCCAGGAGGCCCCTCAAACAGCCCTTACCACTGTATCGCAGGACTTTCTATGAAACCAACTTGCTTTCCCAGGCATGGAAGACGGCAGCTCTGTGTCCCACTCCCAGTGCCGTGTCTGAGCAGTGCCCCCCATCCTCCAGGCTGAGTCCCAAGTGTCAGCAAGGATGGTGCCTGGGTGGGAATAAAATAGGTCAAGGGAGGCGTGGCAGGCACACACAGTTGCCTTACTTTGCTGGGCCTCAAGACTCTTCAGTCTGAAGAGTACAGACTGGTTTTCCAGATCAGTCTTTCAAAACTCTCTCCAAGCCTCAAGTGACTTTGACCTTGAGTCACCTCCCTGCCAGGCTAGAGTGGGACCAGGATGAGACCAAAGTCCTGACCTTGAAGGTGACTCCAGGCTGGGAGAGGGGGAGATGACCGCAGTTAACAGGGAGGTCAGAGGACATTGGTACACTTAGCAGATCCCCAAGAAGGGGCCGGCTTCAGTCCTAGAGCCGTTATTTCTACAGCTCATGCTGTGAGCCCTTTGAAAGATGCTCAGAGTCAGTTCTCAGGAGCCTGGTAATACCAGCAACCGCCTCCACGGGTACATGTAGAAAGTCAGGCACAGGGTCCCTGCTAGAGGATGAGAAAAGCATCTCTAGACACCTGGGCTACAATGCTTACGGTCACCATTCGCCGGCACAGGGCAAAGCCTCTGTATCACTGTGACAGGTGGAGACTAGACCAGAGCTGATCATTATTCAGACCCCACTGGCCAGCCCTGCCCTGTCTGACAGGAGGAGCTGACGCTTGTCTACTGTGCCACCTTCTGCCGCTGTCCCTCCTCCTGGGTACAACTGATGGAAATGTTACAGGTAATCACAGCCTGCCAGCACACACCCCAGGACCACACTGCCTTCCTTAGCCCTGTCCACTCCCTCCTGATCACTTCACAGGCCCTCTCATCTCCACCCCAGGTGCCCAGGGTTCAGGCACCACAAACCCTCCTGCCCAGCTCTAGTTGTGCTCCCGAGTCCTGGCTAGGGTCACCAGCAGTGCATGGTGATTGTAGAGGGGCAAGATGTGAAGAAAGGGACTCTGGGGGGGGGAAGCCCCTCTGGGGGGGCCTTCATCGTGGTGGCACGTGGACCCCTGTGCCAGTCAAGCTCCTATGAGAATTAAGAGGTGCTCATCCCCTCTGTGGATGTCTGCCATCCCCCGGCCCCTCACCAGGTTTGCTAGTCATAGAGGGACTTTGGCTGCAGGAACAGCCACTAAGCTTGGCCACGTCCAGTGATATTCAGTGGTGATGTTACCTTTTCATGGTACTGATGTGTGCCCTCATCTCCTGGAGCCAGGTGGACACTGATGAGATTATTGTTCATCACAGACAACCCAGCCATGGCAGGCCCAGACCCGGCATGCCCACGGCACTTGGCACAGTCCAGGACTTGCTGGCTCAGCACCCAGGCCAACAGCACTGTTGACAGCCTGCAGCTGGTGTCATTATGGCCCAAATGTTCAGCTCCACTAATGACCCACCCAGGATTTTGGCTCAAGAGATGGTATTGAGCTACACTGACAGTTGCGTAGTGACAGGGGTGATAGTGATCCATCCACCATGACAGCCCAGCGTCAGTCATGTGCCAAGTCCAGTGCTGGACATGTCCCATGGTCTGGCAACAGCTCTGAAGCAGATGCAAAAGCTCAGTGGAGGGGGACCCTGAGTCAAGACGCTAGGTGGGTCTCAGAATGCTCAGCTGCCCGTGGCCACAGTGACACCTCTGCCTGGCCACAGTAGTAAGGATCAGTGTGACACACAATGATTCTCATTCTCTCAACAGAGCACCGAACACTCAAAGTGAAGCAGTTTAATTTACAATCTTGTAAAGTCAGCTTAGAGAAAAGGCAAAAATGTCTGGCGTGCCAATTTGGTGCAAAATAGTGGTTTTGAAATTCCTAATCCCATTTCCCTGGCCCCCGAATCCCTCATAGGCTGAGTTCTCCAGCAGGTACAATCTTTACTAGCTGTCCTAGCTTGCATTCTTTTTTAAAATTTTATTTATTTGCTTAACATTTTAGTGTGTATGTGTGTGTATGAGTGTATTGCCTGCATATATGTAAGTGTACCTGTGCTGTGCAATGCCCAAGGAGGTCAGAAGAAAGCATCAAATTCCCCTGCAACTGGAATTAAGTATAGTTGTTAGCTACCATGTGGGTGCTGGGAATCGAACCTGGATCCTCTGCAAGAGCAGTCAATGCTCTTAACCACTGAGCCATCTCTCTACCCCACCCGCCTCCCACTTCTTTGCTTTCTATTGCTGTGATAAAAACACTGCCCAAAACCAACTTGGGGAGGAAAGGGTTATTTTATCTTACATCTTCCAGGTTCATCACAGAGGGAAGTCAGGGCAGGAGCACAGAGCAGGAGCTAGAGCACAGGCCATGGAGGAACGCTGCTTACTGGCTTGCTCCCCTGGCCCCTGCTCAGCCTGCTTTCTTAAATAACATGGTACAACCGGCCTAGGGGTGGCACGTGCTGGGCCCTCCCACATCACTTAAGAAAATGCCCCACAGATGTGACCACAGGCCAATTCAATGGAGGAAATTCCTCAGTTGAGGGTCCCTCCACCCAGGTGTGTCAAGTTGACAACTGAAACTCTCCAGCACAATTGGCCCCTTGTCAACATGACACAAACACATCACTATTAAACCACCAGCTTTCCTTTTTTAGTCCCAAGATCTAATTTATATTAATATTACAACACAAAACAGTACAAATTCAAAAGTCTCACAGTCCTTAAAATTTCACTTTAAAAGTTCAAGTCTTTTAAAAGTCTTTTAACTATGGGTTCCTGTAAAATCCAAAACAAGTTAAATACTGTCTATTTCAAAAGGGAAGAATCAGGCACACTTAAAACCCAAGACCAGCCAAGTAGCTCAAGGCTGGACATCTGGGATTCACTCACGATCTTCTGGGCTCCAAAGGGCTTGGGCAGCTCCACCTCTCCGACTCTGCCGTCCACAGCACACGCAGCTTGTCTGGTAGGCTCAGGTTGGCTCCATTGCCCTTGCTGGTCGTCCCATGGTCCTGGCCATCTCCAATATGCTGGGATCTCTATTGCAACTGAGGTTGCACATTCACCAATGGCCTCTTCTGGCCTGACATGATGATGCCAAGCCTCAGATCCTCTCCATGACCCCTTCATGCCTTCAAAACCAGTAACATGCAGAAGACTCTTACATATCACCAAGTCCTGCTTCCAGCTTGAGATAGCCTTGGGTGCCCTCTGGACCAGTTTCAGTGTGCTGACCCATGCTTTCCAGAAGATTTTCCCTTGATGGATGATGCTGGTCTCTTATTACTCATAGCTGATTTTCAGTCCCAGCTAACCAGCATCAGTTGTCCAAGTAAAGCACAAAAGGTTTCACTTCAAAAAATTCTTAATTCAACACAAACAGCCTTGAAGGGTTTTTTGCTTCCCTTTGAAGGCTCACAAGCCAGGCCTCTATCATCTACATCTCTTTCAGCATTTCTAAGCTTTACAGCAGCAGCTCACTAACTCTGAGCACTTTTCCAGCCCCAAGCTCCAAAAACTTCCACAATCTTCCTAAACACATATTGTCAGGTCCAACACAGCAGTACCCCGTGATCCTGGTATCGACTTTTGTCCAAGTTTGCTTTCTATTGCTGTGATAAAAACACTGCCCAAAACCAACATCACCCAGGTCACTGAGAGAAGTCACGGCAGGAGCTCAGGAAGGAACCTGGAGCACAGACCACGGAAGAACTCTGCTTACTGGTTTGCTCCCCTGGCCGGTGCTCAGTCTGCTTTCTTATACAACCAAGGATCACCTGCCCTCGGATGGCACTGCCCACAGTGGGATGGACCCTCCCGTATCACTCAGCAATCAGGAAAATGCCCCACAGACATGGCCACAGGTCAATTCAATGATGGAAATTCCTTTATTGAGGGTCCCTCCACCCAGGTGTGTCAAGTTGACAACTGAATCCAGCACACTGGTCTAGCACAGCCCCACCCCAAATTCCCCATTCCCCTGTGGCTCAAGAGTCCTTCCTTTTCTGATACGTGGGCTTAGTCACACAGCAGACCCTCCACAACTTTTCAACCCTGGGATGAACTGAGCATGCCTTGACATTAGGTGCCAGCTGCCACTAGGGAAGACAGGAGTCTCTGGCTTGTCTGTGGCTCCCTAATGAACTCCAAATGCACCTCACACTGAAAAATGGACCATAGTGATTTTACTTCTTACATCTGTGAGACTGGGAGAGATCAGAGCGCCCAGGCTGAGGACAAGGTCAGAGAGGGACATGGTACCACAGATCCTCGTGTCACTCAGGGTCAAGAGGAGAAGCTGGATGACAGGAAAGGAAGCCACCAGTCACCTGAGGAGCCTGAGCTACGTGGCTGGAATGAACGCAAGGACAGCCAGGCTGGGGGGTATGCTCTGAGGATGCGGGCACCAGGACTTAATGCTGGGTGAAGAGAGACGTCACTCAGTGCTGTTTGGGGTCTGAAACCATGACGGGAGGCATCTAGGCACTGAGCGGGGGCCAGGCAGAAGGAGCTCCAGAGGACATGAAGGTAGAGGTGGGATGCAAGTGCAGGAGCCCCAGAAGCATCTGTGGGCCTTATGGAGCTCCTGTAGAGAGGGCAGCATCCAGCTGAGTCAGGACATGGCATCCGGGAGAGACGAGAGGTGGCACCTGTGGAGAAGCTGCGTTGGCGAATGGGACAAAACAGGTCTTCAGGGGACTGTAAGGACAAACTGTCTAAAGCTGAGTGAAGAGCGCCAGGCCTAGGATTCACTTTCCAGAAGTTTCCTGAGGCCTAGGAGAGAACTGCACAGCAGCAGGGGCATGTGAGGCTGGGGGAGGGGAGGGGTCCCTTGAGGGCGGCAGGGAGCCAATCAGCAGCTGATGCAGGAGAGGGAGGCAGTGACAGGGACACAGCCCAGGGCATGAGTAGCATCCAAGCAGAGAAGCAAAACGCAGACGCCCAGCTCGGGCAGCAGTAGGCGGTGGCAGGCCGGTGCCATGTGTTCCCAGGAAAGTCAGAAGTGAGGCGGGGTGGGAATGAGGGGAAGGAGGCCATGGAGGAGGCTGTGAAAGGAGGAGGTGTGAGACTGTTAACGGAGGAGAAAACGAATCATAGAACAAGTAGGACAAAGTGAAACAGAGGGTCCCAGTGGAGACTTGGGCCACAGAGAGGAAGGACATTTGCACATAGCTGTTTCTTCTAACCGTAATCCACTGATTGGGTGCAGGGGTAGGTACATGTCTTCAGGTAAAAAGGCTGCAGCACCTCTTGACTCAGCATCTTCCTCTTCATAACATCTAGAGGCTTTGATCAGGTCACATGGCCAACCAATGGCCAACCAAGAAGGAAGCTCAGTGTTAAGGACCGTGTCCCATCCCAGCACCACCCCATCAGCTGGGACACAGGAACACAGCTTTGAACAGAGAAGAGGCCAGATGCCCAGAGCACCCACAGACGAATGCCACCAGGGTCATGGAATCTAGCACAGGTGACAAGCAGAGATGTGGCCTCAAGGAGTGTGCCCGCACCACACTGGGCCAGCACTGTTAGCACTGTTGCAGGCTGGGATGGCCTGGACCACAGAAGGCCAGTGCTAGCATGGGGCTCACATGACCGCACCTCAGTTCTCGGGTTCTGGAGGTGGACTGTGGTGTCCAGGCAGTTTACCTCCAGAGTAAACTGCCCTCTGCCAACCCTTTGGGTTATGGCATGACGACCAGACCTTGCTCCTTGGCAACCCAACGGGTGGTGTGCCATGAGTGTAACAGCATTATGTCTGCCAGAATGCTGAGATAAACATCCCCAGAGACTGTGAGAGCTGACCAGATTATCTAGACCTGGGGCCAGGCAAGAATGGCAGGGTCATAAAGGGATGACTCCTTCCAAGCCAAAACAACTTGCTCACAGCATCTTTATTGAAGTTGGATCATAGAAAGACAGTGCCAGATTATTGGTATACCCAGCTTGAAGAGCTGCTACGTTTATGTGCATGAGTGCAGTGTTTCACATCAGGGGTAAAGAGGTGTTTCTGAAGATGTGGCCACAGTCACCCTGCATCTGTCCTGTCTGGGGTGGTGACCCTAACCCCTACAATTCTATTACATTGCTTCCCTCCCCTCCCTCCGTCCCTCCGTCCCTCCCGCCCTCCATTCCTTTTTCTTGTGTATGGGCATAGGCCATGGCATGCATGTGGAGGTTGGGGGACGACCTTTGGGAGTTGTTTTCTCCTTCCACCTGGCTTAGACGGGGCATCTTCTCTTGCAGAAAAGCATGTAACTCACGGTCTTCAGTCCCCCACACCCTCTGTGCTGACCACCTCTTCCCATGCCACCGCATTCCTGCCCCAGGGCTACACACTGTGGTCCCCTCTGCCTGTGTTCCATGTAATGTCTGACCACAGCATAGCCTCTGGATGTCCATTTTTTGGCCATGTTGACCCCTGTCCCTAGAAGGCCATCTCCATGGGGAAGCAATAGCCCTGACCAACACTTGGAGATGCTCCAGGGCTAGAGCTGTGCTGCTGGGAAGGCGTTGGGATGTTTGCTGCAAAGTACACACAGGTCCCCGGTCCTCACTGTCATGTCTAATTCACTGTGTGTCCAGACACAATGATACCCAAACCAGTGCCCGGAACCTCCGGGGGGTAGAAGGACAAGGGAAGGGATGGGCCCCGTGACTTGGGATCAGTGAGGTGGTGCCCTCAACTCTTGTTTATGGATCTCACAGTCCTTTGCAGCAACCACCAAGGGATGCCCCACCCCACCCCCCAGCCCAGAACCACTGACTTCATGCCTGGGGCTTTTGAAAGACAGGAGGTCCCAGCTCTTCCACACCAGCTCGTTACAGTTCCCAGAAAGGGCAGGGTGGGGACTCGGGCCACCTGAAGAGGCCCAGATGGTCAGGAGCCAGGAGTGTGAGGGGCAAATGTCACTGCAGGGGAGGTGGGGTGGCAGGCTCAGGACTGGGTGGCTGAGACACTACTGTGGGCTCTGGTGTCTCCCTGTGTGGCGGCCACTGCCACTGCCCTGAGAATGACCAGGGTAGTGTCCTGGGAGGCAGTCAGGTGTGGGCTCTGGACTGGCCAGTCTGTACACGAAGGGTTACTAGCTGTTGCTAGCAACAGAATGGGCCTGGGGAAGGCCACCCTTCAGTCCAGCTAGACAGTTCGACCCTGGGAGCAGACCCCTAGAGGTGAGGTAGCCACCCCAGGAAGGAAGCATTCAGTTCTACTTTGCCGGGTGTCCCCACCTCTGGGGAGGCTTGTGGGGAGGCTCATGGGGAGCACCCTCCATGTTCCTGAACACCCCCCCGCCCACTCCAAGCTCATGAGAAGTGCACATCTGCCCCCCGCCACTGACTCCACTCCAGCAGTTTCCTACCTGTTTTTGACTACCTTCCCATGACGAGATGGCTGCTTTAACAGCCTCATAAGCTTGATGAAGTCTCTCTCATAAACTTTCTGAGTCACACATTTTTCCTGTTTCCCATGGAGGCCCCTGATGTACATCTGACAGGCTGTGTGTGAGTGGCCCATAGATCATTATTCAGAGGATGAGCATCCTGGGGGGCTCTGTGGCCTTAGAACACCCAGGCAGGTGCTCAGTTATTCTGTTTTAAATGACACTAAAGAGGTCCTTGTTTCTCTGAACACTAGGACTCAACCTGCATTCCAAACCCAGAGGCATCTCTTAAAATCTGAGCATCAGGATTCAGTGGCCAGCCCTGGAGGAAGGAAGGGCAGAGTGGGCTCTGCCTTCTCAGATCTGGGGAGACCTGGTTCAGATGACCCCACAAGCCAAGTGCCCGTGAAGAGACTCACAGCTGCTCTGGAGTCCTGGTCCCGCCTCTAGACCCAGTGCAGTGAGACGCTCCTTCACTGTGGTGACCTGTTGGGCTCCGTCCAGAACTGTAGCTAGCGGCTAGTGTGGGCCCCCAGGTTTACCCATGTCCCTGGGTGCCACAGACACACCCCTCACCACAGCCTCTGGGTGCTCAGACCTGGGGGCTCTTGATGCAGATGTCCTTGCACCCTCTAGGCCCAGTAGATCCCAACTCAGCTTCTCCTCAGTGTCACATCTGTCACCACCATGCTGCTCCTCATCTAGGGGTCTTGCTCCAGCTCCACTGTGTCAGCTGAGGTCGCTTACAAAGGTGAGGTCCTAAAGTGGCTGGAAACTGCGCCCACACCCTAGGATGGTTTGACTCTGCCCTGCTGCCTGCTGCCCAGGCAGTCAGCTGCCCTGCCCCTGTGGAAGCCCCATGCGCCTAGACAGAAGTCTTGAAGGCACCCACCCTTCTCTGCAGGATGAGCCCTCTCCAGCCTGTTCCGACTTACCGCACAGCTCCCTGTGCCCTGCTCAGTCACACTCAGATGCCCACGTTTGCCCCCACCCTCTTTACCTCTCCTCTTTACCTCAGACTGCCTTCCCGGCCTCTTTTCTTGTTGAACTATTTAAATACCATTGCCTAGCTCAAGTAAACCCGCATACCTCTCAAAACCCTACCAAATGGCCTCAAAGCTAGCCGCCCCTTCTAAGATTCCAGAAATCGCCATGTGGCCCTCCACTGGAGAAGTGCGTCTACTCTGTTGGTCTTGGTCTTGCTTTGTTAGCTTCAGAGCAGGCACCTGGGGTCTGTTCCTGTATCTAGCGCCTGGCAGAGCCTGGCGGTGGGGAGGCTGTGACCACATCCCTTGGGTAGAATGCTCAGTTCTTCACACCAAAAATCAACCAAGGGTCCTCCATGGCAGGGGGTCCCACAAGTACCCTGCCCTCCCCTCTTCACCTGTGATCTGCCCCTCCCCCCATCCAGTGACCTCTGCTTCCCTGGGAAGTGAGGACTCAGGCAAGTCTTGGTCTGCACTGTGAGCCAGGAGGATTTGAGGCCAGGCTGCACCGGACAGTTTTATTAATACACGAATGAGTCACGCCAAACGGCGCCAGTCGATGGACTACACAGTTACAACAGTAGAAAAATCAGTTTGTAAAGCAGAAGTCGGGTGAAGCTACTACAAAATGGGGTAAATGGGCTGAAACTAGGACTTTTTTCATTGCAAGTCTCTTTGCATAAAAATTTTTACTTTATGAATTAAATACATTAAGCAACACAGTCAAAATATATTTACAGTCATTTTCAATGGCCACTACCAACATAATTAATTAAAAAAATTGTCTTTTCTTTGCCTGCTTCTTTCAAAGAGAATTTAAATAGGACTTTAGTTTTTAAAAAATATAATAAGGAAATAATTACATTCATAACATGAAAACATCTTACAACTTAGAGCCACAGTCGATTAATTCTGAAAATCTAGGATATGAAAATTGGTGTTAAAATGTAAAGTGAACCCTTTTTGTTAGAAAATCAATTAAAAAGATGATCTTATTGAAAATACCTTTGGTCCCTAAGAATTATGAGCTGAAGATCCCACTTTGAAAGCACAATCTGATGTGCAGGGAAGCTGGTCTCCAGACTGAAATGGTGTTCCTTCCCTCCTCACAGACGGAGCACCAGCCAGTGAGGCCCTCAGGGCTGAGGCGCAGGCTTCTCTTTGCCAGCCACACACAGCTGCTCTGGGCCGCTTCCTCGGCCGAGCTGTGTGCACATGGCAGCAGAGTTTTATTTTCATTTTCAGTTTATTTCACAGTATGAACCCAGTCCTCTATGAGGTCAGAAATAAAACAGTTGGAAAAGGACCCAAACATTTAATTACCGCTTTAAAACTATGTCATGAATTTGAAACTGGCTTAATTATTTTAGAAGAAACAAAACAAAACAAGAAATTTAACAGTTAATGGACCCTGGGGGAGTTCGGTCTGCTGGTGGGGGTGGGTGGAGGGCTCACCTGGCTGGGTGTGTGCAGAGTATAGATGCAGTGTCTGCTGCAGGGGAGGCCTATCCCTTGTCTGTGGGAGGAGGGGCTGGGAACCCCCCTGCTGCTGCCTGCCCTGGGGCGCTGCCCTGAGAGCCTGCAGGGACAGAGGACAAATTCCTATCTCCCATTTGCTGAGGGCTCCAAAGCTGTGCTTCTGGGTAATGCTGTGGACATGGGTGCTCTGCCCTCAGTCCCAAACCCAGCCCTGGCCTCCAACCCGTGGGAACCTGCATGTGAACGCCAAAGGGGGCCTAGTGGAGTCCCCACATAGGGAAGTTTCTCCTCCAGTGGCCTCCAGGCCAGGCAGGGACGTTGCTTTTTGAAGCAGAGGTTGTAAAAGTGACAGCTCTTCAGCTGTCAGCATGGGTTTGGTGACACAGACACCGAAAAGCAACTCGGGGCCAGTGGGACAGATGAAAGGCCAGCACCAAAGTACACACAGGGGGTGAGAGCCTGACACACGAGGCCAGGGAGCAGTCACCTGTGAGTCTAAAGAAAGGATTCTGGAAGATTCTGTGTATGGTGAACCCACGTCCAGCTGACAGGCCATTCTGACGTCTGGGATGACCTGGGCCAACTATGCTGGTCACCTTGCAAGGACACTGGTACATGAGGCTGTGTGATAGTCACACCCGTGCCCAAGCTGGGGACCATGGTAGCAGCCTCCTGACCAGCACAACAATTTCTATGCAAAGGATTGGTTAGTGAACTAACAAAAATAGAAGGAATTGTGAAAATTGATGACATCTCACCAAATTATGGACAAAAGTGAACCCTGTAGAACACTGTGGCCTCAGAGATACATAGACCCAAAAAGGCAGGCTACCTCACCGGACACAAGCAAAGTCACCCTCTCCCTGGGGCCTCATCTCCATGTGGCCAGCAGCCACTGTTACAGTGAAGGGCAGCACTTCAAAAGGAAGCAGTGCTCTGCTGGTACTGGACCACAGTCAGGGCAAGGGACTGGTGTACCCAACCTGCAAGCTTGCAAGGGGGCTGGCCCAGCTCTTTACCCACTGGGTGCCATACAAAGCGAGACTGTGGTGCTGGCGGCTGGGGTCACACCTGTGATTCCGAGAGGGTCATGGAATGAGAAGGTCAGAATTCCGACAGGACGTCTTATGGGTGTCCGATATGTACAGATATAAATTAAAACCATATTTATTGAACATATACAAATAAATAACTTATTTTGAAGTAAATGCTTTAAACTGGCTTTCTGATCAAATCTAAAAACACCAAGGGGAACAGGACAGCGGAGCCCTGCGTCAGGAGCTTGCCTTCCCCGGGACACACTTTAAACGGCTTGGCAGGACTTACAGGCTCCAGAGCAGATGCGCCTCCTTAGAGACTTAACATGAGTGGATTCTTAACACAAATATGAATGCCAGAAGCCTGTGTCCTGGTGGGACAAGCTCCCCAAACTTTGGAGTCATCGTGTGCCAAATGCAGCTTATTCCACAATGACACCCCCTCTGATGAGCATGGCACTCTGCTAACACACTCCCTGCTCATTACAGACATCCCTCTACGCTGGCTGGGACTGGACCTCAGGTTGGGCATGTCCTCCTTTTGGGAGGAAAGCCTGGCTTGGTTCTGTGATCAGAAGAGCCAGGAGCCCTGCTCTGAGAGACCCTATCTAACCTGAAGGCAACAGAAACTACAGCAGGTCAAACTCTCCTCCCTTTTCAGAACATTAATGTCACGTGATATGATGTGGTCACAGCTCCCATGATGATGCAAGGGGCTCCTGCTGCTACACAAACAGGCTGCTGTGTGGGGAGGCTGCCTCCCTCCTCTGGGGCCTCTGCACATGGTTTCTTAGTGGAAAGGTAGAACACAGATGCTGGTCTGCAGCTGTCCGTTACTGCCCCCTGGAGGAAGACGCTGCAGGGTGAAGTGTCATCTGACAACTGGTAAGCCAGTCTCCCACAGGTGTTCTGCACTGGTCCAGTTTCGGGGGGGGGGGGGGCTCCAGTTGAGCAGCTTCTGACTACTGGTGTGACGTCCCTGTACACTGGTGATGACCTTGCTGGTAAACCCAAGCAGCCACTGCAGGGCTAGAACACAGAGCACCGACTCCAGCCGTGAGGGCTGCATGGGGAGACTTTCCTGCCCTCTCTTCCTATGTGTGCTGAGTTTCTGGCTGTCGTGGAAAGGCTTGCTCCAAACACAGCATCACCAGCTTCTATGTTTGAGGATGGAGCCCAGTGCCTGTCTTCAGAGATGGCTAATTCCCCCTCACTGCCTGCAGCTCCCCAAAGTGGAGAGGTCTGCATAGCATCCGAGAGCAGGAAGCCAGTCTGTCTGACAGATCCCCAGGGCAGAGGTTATCCCGAGCTGGGGCTGTTTCTTCATATCCTAAGCCTCTGAACTACCCAAGAAGCACTGCTGGGGCAAGTGGGAGAGATGGAAGGAAGCCCGCACGCAGGACAGGACCCATGGCTTCGTCTATACAGGGAGGGAGGTAAGAGATGCTCTGGAAGGCCGTCTCCATCCAAGATGCCCCAGGCCTTACTGTAGATTTAAAAACCTGCTTGTTTCCAAAGGAATTTCTGATCCTACTTGTTAGAGAGTATCCACAGGCAGATGATGACCCAAGTGTCATCCTGTGCATTGCCTGGGCTAAAGAGCTTCTGCCCTGCAAGTAGGGGGAACATTGGGATTTTTGGCCAAGACAGAAAGGGGTGCATGCTAGCCAGGGACTGAAAGCTGCCTCTCAAAAGCAAGACAAATAAGTCATAAAATGGGACTCAGGGCCGTTAAGAAGTCCCTAGATCTAAGCGTGACACATGATGAAAGGGACATTAAAAAAAAAAATGGAAACAAAAATGGTTAAAAAGAAAGGCAGCGTTTCACGTCCTGGTGACAAAAGCATCTGCCCAAAACACAAACCAAAGAAAACCTTAAAAACTGCTTCACAGCATGGTTTCCACACGGCTTCACCTCCGATGACAAGGGGACAGGGGTGGCTTCACCTCCGATGACAAGGGGACAGGGGTGGCTTCACCTCTGATGACAAGGGGACAGGGGTTGGGGGAGTTCATGCTGTGCACACCACCGCCGAAGGCAAAACCCTCTGACAGGGCAATGCTCGATGCCGACATGGGGTGCTGGTTGCACGTGGGGAGGGCGAGGCAGTGAGGCGCAAGCTGCCCTGTCTCCAGGCTTCCAGGGGCTCACAGTCTGTTGCCTGTAGGCTGGTATTGAGCTGAGGCAGTCAGAGATGTGATTGCCCCATTGGCCAGTGGGGACTTCACAACAACTTGTTACCCCTTTTTGTTTCTGCTTTTCAAGAAGTAAATTTAGAACTTAAGTCTTAAAGTAAACTTTTCTAAAGGGCACCATCATACAGTAGAAAGAGCACTCGAGCCAGCAAGGGGTCAGTATCAGACTCAGTCCGAACCTCTGAAGTCATGCTTGGGTCACTTTGGAAGGTATGCGTGTCGCACGTGAGGCTGGTGGTGGTGTGCGGTCTGTCTGGGCGCTGGCCTTCCTCTAGGTCCCATTCTTCAGCTCCCACTCCTGGAGAAAAGGAGAGTTATATCAACCCAGATGGACTGACCCTGGCTGGCACAAGCCGCCATGGCTCAGGAGCCTTTGGGACCCTGTATGGTGTGGGGTTCAGCATGCAGGGTCCCCCTCCAAACAAAAGAAGTATCAAGCACTTCCGCTTCTGACTATCCAGTCAAAGACAGGAACGCACAAGGACCTGGGGGAGAGGCAAGTGGGTAATATGGCCCCTGGGATGCTTATCACCCTGGATGAGGAGGGAACACTGACGATTGTGAGCCTCTAGGACAGTGTCTGAATCTATCTCCGTGGAAGCCCAGAGCAGTCAAGTTCATGGAGACAGAAAGTACCACAGGGGCGGGGGTACGGGGGGGGGGGGGGGGGAGGGAGGAAGGCAGAGCAGGTATTCAGGGACAGGGCCACAGCCTAGGAAGATGAATGAGTTCTGGAAGTGGGTGCAGGTGAGGGACAGCCCTGACCCAGCCAGCTGCCTCAGACATAGTCCCAGCGGCGCCCTGGTGTTCTCTGCTTTCATCAATAACTCCATTAGGGTTTTGTGTCCGCCATATTTGCTGCTGCTGTGCTCTTAGCCATTAATTACACTTGAACTTTTGATTCTAGAAAAGGCAAGAGACTCTTAAATCTAGTCACTATGTCACCAGCTCCATCTTCACTGGGGTCTCTTGGAGTTATTCAACCTGGGGACCCCCTGCTCAAGCCCACTCTGGTGTGGCTGTCAGATGCCAGTTGCAGCAACCTGGGCCATGTCTCTACTGCCAGGAACTGGAGCCAGGAGCAGCTGCTTCTGTCCTGAGCTGTCTAGGTACAGCTGTATCTCACACTGGCCACCCACAGATTTACCATGAAAAGGGGGCAGGGACTAAACACACAAAAGGGTGTCTTTGTCTTAAGGTAGGCCCAGCTTCTTGGCCAGCTTCTCTGGCGGTGAGGAAGCTGTGAGCAGATCCCTGCATAGCCTCCGCTGCCACAGATAAGTGCCTAAGTGTCAGCATCATGCAGTTCCGTTCTAACACAGCTCAGAAAACTACATCCTCTTCAAAGGAGAGGCCAGCTACGGACTAAGAGGGCCTGAGGGATGCAGAGAAAGCCATTAGAATGCCAATGACCTTCCTGAACTCACTCATGGAGCCTTCCATTCTATAACATGATCACTGGGGAGGCACAGACATGGAGAAGCTGGGCAGGCATAACCCTAGCACCCTAGCAGGACAACCTTGGAGTGCGGCACAGGGCTGGCACAGCCTTGTCCTGCACAAGACTAGCCCCCACAAAAGCAGCATGTTTCAAGCCAGTGGAGAAGGGGCTCGGGCTGGCACAGGACACAGCAGAGTCCGGACCACGAAGCCTGGAGATGGCACGGGCTTGGCCTCCAGAATGCAGGGACTCCATCTAGACTCACGTCCTGTCCCCAGGTGGGCACGGCTCCAGCTGCTTTTGTGAAAAGTTCTGACTCTGATAGGCTAGAAATCATGCTTTGAACATTCCTAGGATTTCCATGGCTACCCCCCGACCCAGAGGACCTGACTGCAGGTAGAGGAGGGACCTGGGCCTGTGGCAAGGGTGCTGGGGAGAGCCTAGAGAAAAGTGCCTTCCTGGCTTTTTATCTTTTTTCTATGGAGAATCACAACATTTAAGTGCTAAAAAGGACCTTGGGGTCACCCAGTCCAATCTGTATCCCCTAACAAGCCCAGGGAGGTGGGGTCCACCCACTTCTGAGGTGAACCCAGAGCTCTGGGGATTCAGGCTTCATGGCTATCTTTGAATCTCTGTTCCTGAGGGTGTGTGTGTGTGACCCTGAAAAGCCTTCTCTTGGCACCTCTGACAGGAGGCTGAGCACTAAGCACAGCAGAATTCAGTGTCGGCACCTGTCTCAAGCTGGAGGGACTCACCTTGGCCTTCCGCAGCACATGCCCGCGGCAGGGGGAGCTGCCTGAGGCTGGCTGGCTCTTCTTTAGGACAGCTGCACTGTTCACAGGGAGGGGCCCCTCAGCATCACTAGTGTCACAGCTGGAGATGGGCGAGTTCTCCAGAGTCCGATGCCGGAACACAGGAGACTGTTAATGAGAGGAGAGAAGAGCCCAGCATGAGGGGTGCTTTCTAGCCACTGGCATTTCAGATGGAAAATGGTTTGGTAGAGAAGAGATGGATTTTGGAAGTGGGCAAAACTATCAAGAACCACCACAGGCAGAGCTTGACCCTCAGAGTGCCTTGAGAAGACAGGAGGCGGGGGTGGTCACAGCAGCGGTGGATTCGGGCTCCCATTCCCACTCATCATCTCTTGCCTGTTCACCTACACAATGCTTCCTCAGTTTGCAGACGCTTCCCTAGGCTGTCTGCAGCACAGAGGTTGAGGTCTGGGGCAGAAGCTGCCATTGGACAGTATTATCTTGGTGTCCAGGGACAGCAAGCAGCCCCAGTGACACTGAGGGTTTGTGACCACAAATCCATGGACAAATGACATCAAAGGCCTGTGACCATAGATCCAGGGGCAGAGAGCAATCCCAAGTGACACTGAGGGTCTGTGATCACAGATCCAGGGATAAGCTACCCCAAGTAACACTGAGGATCTGTGACTATGAGCCCAGGGTCAGTGAGCAGCCTTAAGTGACCCTGAGAGTCTGTGACCACGGGTCCAGGGACAACAAGCAGTCACAAGTGTCACTGAGAGTCTGTGACCATGGGTCCAGGGACAGCAAGCAGTCACAAGTGGCACTGAGAGTCTGTGACCACAGGTCCAGGGACAGCAAGCAGTCACAAGTGGCACTGAGGGCCTGTGACCACGGACCCAGGGACAGCAAGCAGTCACAAGTGGCACTGAGGGCCTGTGACCACGGACCCAGGGACAGCAAGCAGTCACAAGTGGCACTGAGGGTCTGTGACCACGGGTCCAGGGACAGCAAGCAGTCACAAGTGGCACTGAGGGTCTGTGACCACGGGTCCGGGGACGGCAAGCAGTCCAAAGCGGCACTGAGGGTCTGTGACCACGGACCCGGGGACGGCAAGCAGTCCAAAGCAGCACTGAGGGTCTGTGACCACGGACCCGGGGACGGCAAGCAGTCCAAAGCGGCACTGAGGGTCTGTGACCACGGACCCGGGACGGCAAGCAGTCCAAAGTGGCACTGAGGGTCTGTAGCCACTTAGAGTACCTTTTCATATACTGGAGAGAGTATAAATGGAACGACTTATCTCTTCAGCTGCCTTGGGCCTGACTTTAGCTCTTCTGTGTAGGATCACAAACTGCTCTTTGAGAAAGCATGGCAGAGGTCTGCCCCCGACCCCCCACCATGGAGACCCCTATTTTAATCCCCATAGTACAAAACACTGAAAAGATGCTCAAGGGGGTGTAGGACGCTGTCTGAGCAGTGCTGGGCTCAGAGCCCCTGTGAGGGCTCCTGACTACAGGTCTCCAATCACAGTGTTTCAACCAGTATAGAGCTTTCTCCTGGAATCTTGAGAGGCAGGGGTGACTGTGGTGGGTGTGATGGCCAAAGCAAAGGCATAATAGGGAGCTGGTCTCTGGAGCAGCCAGGCAGCAGCTGTCTGCACTGGAAGCACCTGTCTAACAAGCTGCTCTTCTGAGGACAAGGTCCAGTCATAATTACAGACACCGCTGCCACTAATGCAGGTAGGTGATGACAACCGAAGTGTGTGAAGGGACCCTCAGGAGACACAGCAGGCGGTGGGCATGGCAGGTTGGGAAGGGAGGCACTAGCAGCCCAGGCCTGAGCCTCCACAGGCTGCGCCTGCTCCTGGCCAGAAGGCAGTTGGGGACAGCTGTAAGTCTCAGCAACTGAGTCAGGTGAGTGTGAAGTCATGGCTCAAGGTGAGAACACAGGGCCAGCAGGTGATTCCCTGTGTCAGTCAGTCAGATCAGGGAACACAGTCAGTGCTCCAGTGACTGCAGGTTCCACAGACCTTGAGTCCCACCGAATCCCAGTTCCTGCCTGGTGAGCAGCAATGTAGTCGGGACCTGGAGAAAAGGCAGAAGAGCTGGCCCGCCACCATCAGACCACGCAGAGGGAGAGTCTCACAACAGCACTGGCCTTAAGATACACTAGTGAATCCAAGAGAGCTCAATGTCACTGTGTCTGAGCCCTCCTCCCCGCAAGGTCATGAGCGAGCTGCCTGAAAGACCACCGAGCACTTTCTGTGCTGAGCTACCAGGGAGCCTACCTGTGGACTTGACGTCCCCGACTTGGGCTCGATGGCCAGCCCCAGGGTGACGCCACCAGCCAGTGCCTTCTTCAGGCTCTCCTTGACCTCGGTCAGCTCCAGCTCCAGGCTCACCCGCTCCGCCTCCCTCTGCTTGCATTCCTCTTCCAGCCGCTTCAGCTTGTCCTCCAGGGCCACCTGGGTCTTCCTGCCTGAAAGCCCAGAGTCACATGGTCATCTCACTGAGGGGCCAACCCCAGTCAGGCTTCCAGCTGACCTCTGCCAGGTCCTGCCCACAAGGATCCAGACCAGCTGCTCCCTGAGGAGTCAGGGCCCTTTCCTAATAGCCTGCTGTGCAGAGAACCCGGGAGTCTCTTTAGAGTCTCTGCAGCCATATTTGCCCCACTAACTTGACAGGGGCAGGTGGAAGCTCCCCTGCTCACTACACACCACCTCCCTCCAGGTCTGAGACTTGGCTGTCCATCCCTACACTGGATGCTCTGCCCAGCCCTTCCTATGGGCCATCCCAGTGGGCCAACCTGCATCTTTCCTCCTGTTCTCTGTCCCCACCCCCCCAAAAGCACTGCCCTGTGCAGCCATCCTACAGGCGCAGCCAGGAAAGGCTTGGGTTCTGGTTAACTGTGTCTTGCCTATGCACCAGCACCAGCGTGGGAGCAGGTCACCTGGAAGCCAGCCTCCCCTCTGGGTTTCCCTGTTCTCTGCACCTGCACCCTCTTCTTCCTCAGCTGCAGAACCCAAGTCTCCAGTGGAGGCTAGTCAGTGTCAGAGGCAAGTGTGAGCATTCCACCACATATCTGGAAGTAGGAAGACACAGCCTGTGTGCCATCAGTCTCCCTACATGGTTACCCTAACAGCCGTACCCTGCTCTTCATCCATCTTTGGGGTCCACTGACATGGCCTTCTCCTCTGGTATCCACACCCATATGCAGCCTGGCTCTCCCTTCTGAGAATGGAGGACTGCTTCTACCCAGACAGAACCCTGTAAAAGCTCAGCCCCACAGCTGCCTTCCTACAGAGAGGCCACTGAGTCATGCCAGGCAAGGACCAGGATCTGCCCAGACCCAGAATTACAGGATTTGCCTTCAGACCTTCTTGGCTCTCAGCACCTGAAGGAAGAATCACTGGAGTCTCACTGTGCAGCTGGGGTCAGGACACAAGCCCTGACAATGGTGGCATCACCCACCACATTGGTGCTACCCTGGGCTCCTCAGCAAGGCCAGCACCCCAGGACACAATGGTAAAATGGCAGCCCCATGGGTTACAGATCTGAGGGGCTGCTGAATGAAATCTAGAACTCCAGCAGACGTAGTCTTGTGGGTCAGTCAGAACCGAGTCTCCCCCACCTGCATTCACTTCGATGGCGGCCCTCAGGTCCTTCCTCTCCTTCCGGAGCTGGGCCAGCCGATTCCGAAGGGCCTCCTTCCTCTTCAGCAGCTCTTCCTCCTTTGACTGTAACCGCTTGGCATCCGCTTCCACCCGGTTCTTACCGTACTTGTACTGATCGGCACCTGAATAAGGAGCACAGAGACTTAGCTCAAGCAGAGGTGGCCGGCTGCCAAGACCTGTGTGCTCAGTTGGCTCCAAAAGTACCACAGAGTCGCTCACTGCTGGTTCAGCAGGGAGAGAAGGGCGTTTGGCGCTAGAGTTCCTGAATACCATGGTCTATACTTTGACAACCAGGGGGATTCTTTTCCTCAAGGAACTCAACTTTCAAATAATTAGTCAACAGGGCTCAAATGAACATTCTGGAACCGGAGGCGGTGTGCTAGTTATTTTGAACTATCAACTTGACAGAACCTAGAATTGCCTTGGAAGAGAGTCCTAATGAGGAATTATTTGGACCAGCTTGGCCTATGGCCATGACTTGAGTATTAATTGAGGTGGGAAGGACCCACCCTGAATGTGGGCAGCACTGGTTCATGGTGGGCCCTGGACTATACAAAAGCAGAGAAAGGTCCCTGAGTATTAGCAGCAAGCGAGCAATAATTCATTAGCTCTCGCTCCCTCTCCTCTCTCTCTCTCCCTCCCTCCCTCCCTCCCCTCAACTGTGGATGTAATAATGCTTTAAATTCCTGCCTTACTTCCCCACAATGGTGGACTGTAACCTGGAGTTGTAAGCCAAATAAACCCTTTCTTCCTAATTTGATTTTTGTCAGGGAACTTGTCTCAGAAATAACAGCAGAGCAGACAGCTGTCCACTCGTGCTAAGAACAACTTCTCAGGACGTGTACGCCTTTCTATTTCAAACCCTCCTCTCCTGCCTGTTCTGTTCTTTCACGCATGCTGCGATGATGGAAGAGTGAAGAGATAACACAGAGGCCTGGAGCCCCACTATGGAGCCCTGCTATGTACATTGGTGCTGCAGGACCTAGAGCAAGTTTCGGTTTCCTCTCCTGTGAATGGGGGTAAGAGCAGGTAATTTACAAGGTGATAGGTAAAAGTAGCCAATGGATGAATTCGGTTGATTGGGAGAAAGCTCCAGGACACAGATAAAACTCCAGCAGAATAGAGTTTATTAGCAAAGGAACACATGGGACAGATTCCCTTCTGGGTGGGGAAAATGTCTGCCCCAGGTCGTGAGCTGGGGTCTTTTATAGGGGGAGGCTTCTGGGGGGGTGCAGAAGGTGGGAAGGTATATGTTTTTTTGAAGTTAGGTGGGGGGAAGTGGGAGAGTGGGACTGTTAAAACCTGCCCTCTTTAGAGATCAAAGGGGAAGCCTTCTGTGTTGGCCAAACAGTAGAGAAAAAGTCTGCTTCTCTTGACTTCAAAGACCAGGGTGCTTATTAACTCAGTTCCCTTTTCTCAGGGGCTAGCAGGTCCTTGAGGCCCTGTTGGTGAGGGGGCAGGGCTATCTGAATCTTTACACAAGTCTGCTATGGAAATTAGGTCAATATTCATGAAGCACTTAAACAACAGCCCAAACGAGTCCTGGATAAATGCTTACTAAATTGAATGAATGAGTGAACAGTGAATGGGGAAGCTAGCTTTGTGGAAAACCCAGATGTCTGGCCACCAGCACACAGCAGTTCACACATATTAAACCCGCATGCCAAGGCCTTGTGTACACGAACCTAAGACATCTATCTGGTGACAAGGTGCCTTGGGCAGAGTGGACATTCTCAGGCAGCCCCACGATAGTCAGAGACCAGTTCCCTAGAGTCCTGCTCACCTGGCTGACAGCAGCTACATCTGGCGCCTGCCCTGAGCCTGGCTCACCACTTCTTGTGACCAACACCATCACCGTATTTGTGAAGGTGTGCACAGTTCCTTCATCCAATCAGCATCCCCTCCATCACCAAAAATATCCCAGGTAGAACATCACGGTTCAGCAGCCCCAGGATGAACAACCAGCCTTGTGAAATCAAAACAATTCCAGAAAAGTCCAGGCCATTCTGTGCAAACATCACTGTCTACATCAGTATGTCCCCCAACACACCTACAGAGGACACAGCCTATGAACTTCCAAACAGTTTGGTCCTCGTGCAATAAACCCCACACAACCTAAATGTGATCAGCTGAATTCAGCAATAACACAAAATGCAATTATCTTTCTCTTTTGTTACCATTAGATGCCACCAAAGTTAATAAAACACATACAGGAGGTCTCACAAGAGGCTTGGATAAACCAATCATTCAATAAAGTGACCCAAGGGCCAAGGAATGCCAGGCAAAAGAGACCCCGTGGGATTTAGATCTTGTTTAACAAGGCTTTTCAGTCCAACTCATCGCTCCACCTCCTGTTCCTCCTTGAATGAGCAGCACACAAATACACCAGGACCTCAGGGAGTGAAGTTACAGAGGGAGGGTCAGAGGAAGTCAGCAGACTCAGCAGTGGTGATGGGGAACCTGGCCTGACAGGCTCCCAGCATGCCCATTTGAAATGCAGGTTGAAAACAGGTATGGACAAGCTTCTGTCAAGAACACAAAGGTTCCAAGCAGCCAAGTGCTCCTGGGCAGTCCCAAGACTCATCCATGTGGTGGCCATGGGAAAAGCCAGCCTCTCTGTCCCCTTCTGCTTCTGACTCTAAAATGGAAACCAAGTCACGTGCAGGCCTGAAACCTTGTCTCTCCTGCACTTGGTAGACGCAGAGGTTCCCAGGTGATGGAAGTGGCTCACACCATAACTAACCTGGCTGCACACCGGAATGCCCAGGTAAGAATCCCAAGTGGCTCTGGCTTGTACTGGCACAGAAGCTTCCCTGTTGAGAATGACCCAGGAGATCTAGAACCTGTGGAGCCACATGCAGCCCCTACACCTGGTTTTCTCTCCATGCCCCCTGTGACTAGCAGAGTCACCTGAAAGAATAAATCCACTGCCTACCTAGCTGGCTGGCTGGTTGCCTAACACAATAAGGGAGGGGTAAACAAACCCAGAGGCAGCAAGTCCAGGCCCGCCTAACTGCAGAAGGAGGAGAGGCACTGAGCTCCTGAGCAAGCTGGTCTCCCTCTGCCTATGGCTTCTCTGCGTGGTCTACACAGCTGGCTCTGAGGTCTGAAGGCCCAGCTCTGTGACGCACCTGCTGAGACCTCAGGGCCTTCTTCTCTGCTTGGGGTTTCTTTCTCACTTCCGTAATGGGGTACTTGGCGCCTATTCTAAAGACATGGCTATGGGAGACCAGAAGGGCGGGAGGAGGGGTGCTTGCTGCAGACTGCCTGGGAGCAGTGAGTCCTCCTGTGCCCCTAAGTGTCTCCAGTGCTTTGTTCCCACGCCTGTCTCTACCCTTCCCATCAAAGCAACCTCAGCAGCAGCTGTCTGCACATCTGACGGATGAAGGGATTGCATTCAGAGCTTGTGTGACTTGTCCGTGGTGTACTGGAGATGCAAACTGAGGTCTCCTGGTCCAAAGTCCTAGGGCCTCATAGCGGAATGCCACACTGACAAGTCAGGCAAGAGTCACAGAGGCTGGGTTCGAGATCCTGGTCAGCGAACAAGGGAGGATGAGGATGCACAGCATCCCACCTCCAAACATACCCCTAAGCCTGGCCTTTGCTGCAGCAATGGCTCAGGCAGACTCAACTCTGCACAGTAACTTGAGCACAGAGCAAGGAACCAGAGGGGAAATAAACTCACTCGGTGCTGTCCGGTTCATGCCGCCTGCAGGTTCCACCCTCTTTTGCTGATTGCCTGGACTCTTCCCCTTTCCAGGAACCCCATTTGATGCTACTGGGGGCTTTTTGCCCTTGAACTGTTGACACAAACAGAGAAGATTAAAAACAACTAAACAAAACCCCTCCCCTTTTCCCTAAAGATATGTCTGTCTTTTAGTCCTTGACTCTTTAAGCAGAACCTAGCATGGTCAGAAGAGAAGGGAAAGGAAAGCAGTTTGGTTTCCAGTCACTGGGCTTCTTTAACACCTCTGTGATGGCTGGAAGGTTCTAGCATTAAGGCAGGGCACCCAGGAATACCAGGCACTCTGCAGTGGAAGGGCTGTGGAAGCTGTTTCTACCAGGGGCTTCAAGTGCTGAAAGAATGTAGCTGAGTGACCGCACACAGGTGTGCAGCAGCGATTGTCGAGAGCCTGAGAGCCCATGGCGCTAGGGATGAGTCACCTTTCCATCAACAGACTTCTTCTAGAAGGGCCTGACTCTGTAATGAAAATCTAGCTCTTAAATGAATAATATGCTAAAAGGATACAAGACCACCTTTCAGTTCGTTGATGGGTCTGAGGAAGGGGGCAATCAACCCGTAATAGACACAGCGCAAACAATATGAGAAATAAGTCTTGACCAACTAGAGGCTTGGACTTCAGGAGTCCCTGTTTCTCTGACTTCTGCAAACCAACAGCTTGTATCTGACAGGTGATTCTGCATGCCACGCAGCCAGCTCACTGCAGAGGGAACCTGACAGACAGGCCCCCTTCCTGTGTCCCACATCTCCTCCTGCTGGGGAATTGTTGGGGCAATGTACACAGATCTGGCTGCGATTCTGCCTCTCACTTAGAAGACGCCAAGCAAGCCACTGGAAACTTTCTTTTAAAAATATTTCATTTATGGAGATTTTTAAAGTTTAAAACCTCATTTAATTTTATGTCTTATAGGGTTTATACTGAGTACGATATTGTATAACTATATTAATTCAACTGTAAACCTAAAAATTTACAGCCAATTTTGAAAGTGGATAACAGTATGCATTGCTCTTGCCGAGGACCCAGGTTCAGTTCCCAACACTCATGTCAGGCAGCTCAAAACTACTTGTAATTCTAGCCTCAGGGGATCTGATGCCATCCTCTGACTTCCACAGGCACCTGTACTCATGTGGACATAGGTTATTAAATAAATAATTTTTAAAAATTTCATTTATTATTTTTATTTTATAAGTATTGCCTGTGTGTGTGTAAGTGAACCGGTATCATGCGATGCCCTTGGAGCTCAGAAGAGGGAGTTGAAGCCCCTGGAACTGGAGTTACATATGGACGGTCGTTAGCCGCCATGTGGGTACTGGGAGTCGAATCCAGGTTCTCTGCAGTTGGTGCTCTTGACCGCTGAGCCATCTCTCCAGCCCTCCTGAAAACATTCTAAACTTCTGTTTGCTCACTTAAAAATGTGACACTGACAGCTGGCGCAGGAGCGCTCAGTGAGGGCACAGTCTTACCACCAACAGGTTCCCCCAAAATGGACGCATGAAAACTGAATGTGGGAAAAGAAAGAATTCAACTTGTGAATGTCTTTACCATTTGAAACAAAAGCTAGAGTGAACAAGAGTAAACAGTCCACACCATGCATCACCTGATTCCCGACTAGCCTGGGGACAAGCCAAATGCACAGGTAGTAATTTAGTAAGTTTCCCAGACACAACTAGTCTATCAGCAAAAGGACAGATACACAGCAGGACACAACAGCCAGGTTTTGGAACAGGTCCTCATGAAAGTAGAAGGGGCCAGTGGTGGGCACACTGGTCATCTGCGGCCCATACCCCTCAGGCTGCTGGAGTCAGAATCTCCAGGGATGACGTCTGAAGGACCATCCTTAACACATCAAGCCTTCTGTGCCAGTCCTGACTAAGCAATGTCCAGAGGTGACAGAGCAGCAAACCACTGCTGTCCAGAGCCGCCGCTCTCCGAAACCTGGGGCCTTGCTGCTACTGCCCCAAGAACGCACACCGAAGGGAGGGAATGTGGACAGCCTGGCCCCTGGCTTTATGTTAGCCAAGTGCTCTTCAATGAGGCACGAAGGGCTCCAGGCAGAGCATACAAAATGCTTAGGTTAAAAATTCACAAAAACACAGTGTTTGCTTTGAGATGATACTGTGTGCTGCAAATAGAGGAGGTGGGCTGAATGAGAGTTCAACTCCAGGGTTATTTGCCACCCAGCATCAGAGCTCTCCTGTCACTGCAAGGTGTGGGACACACTGCATTTTCCCAGAAGCACCTCAGCTGTCTACATGGTGCTGACCTGTTAAAGGTCAGGAAACATCCACTCCCTGGAGTCAATCCTTGCTCATTTATACTCAAGGGGAGAACACTAAAGAAACCTGTTGTTCTAGACTCTTTGGAAACATTTGTAGACTCTCGTCTTTCCACAGTCTTTAACACAATTCACAAAATTCACCGGGGAACTTTACAGGAGCATAAGAAAGTCAGATGTACACAGACAAGCTGGTTGCTGCTTCCAAATGTTTTGTCTATCCCTTGGTGGCCAGCTGTGAATTAGGATGCAGTTGAGGACAGTGTGACACTTTGGTCTAGGCAAGGTGGTAAGGGCACAGTCACCACAGGTCAGCAGGTGATGTCAGGGAGTTTGGGAACACAATCTGTACCTGGGAGTGCAGCCCGAGACACGCCCTCCCAACAGAAGAGGTGTTAGTGACAGACAGGGAGCAGGGTGGGCCACAGGAGGCCGGGGATTTGTAGTGGTTAGAGGACAGCCTGTCGGCGGGCGGCCGAGAAGCCCTCCGGTCAGCAGGAGAGGAACGAGCAAAGATTGTCGGAGACGGCAAGTTATCGTAGAGGCCCGCGTTATCATAAAGCACCTCGTCTGCCAGGCCTCTGCTCCCGCAGCCAGGAAAGCCGTCGTCCACATCCCACTGCAACACACACAGCCTGCTTGTTAGTGACCCAGGGAGAAAATCAAAACAGCAAGATGTTAGCAGCTTCCCAACACACTGCATGCAGGAATCCCCCAGTTACCCATCACACACACACAGACACTCCCACACACACACACACACACACACACACACACACACACACACACATGCAAGACACATCCCCAACACCTATGGCCAATTCCAAAGGGCCCCTTTTACCTTTGGGGTCATAAGGAAGGTTTTTTTTTTTGTTGTTGTTGTTTTGTTTGTTTTAGTTATGGGATCATGATGTTTTTGTCTTATTCTGTTTTTTGAAGTAAAGAATACTGATCTGACATTGCTTGCTTTAGAGAACCAGAGTTCAGAAGTCACCAGATATGGGATGTAAAGGTGACAGGAAGTGAGGACAGGGGAGCTGGGCAGAGCCTGGGGTTCCCTTCCATGCTGTACAGGAAGGCAGTGAAGATCCTGATCAAGAGCTGTTCATGGTACCTGCTGCACTCTGGGCACACTGGTTTGCCTATCTCTGAGTTAGTTTAGCAAGCAGGGGAAACTGAGGCAAAAGCAGCACACATAGCCAGAGAGAGAGCTCATGGCCCCATGCCATGCTGCCACAGAGCCTCAGCCTCCAAGGGGCAGGGTTTGAAGCAATGCCACCCCAGGCTGGTACATGTGGCCCTGTGGCCAGCAAGTTCACTGTCAAGGTCAACATGAGACACATCCCACATTCTAGCATCTGAAAGGAGTACCAGGGCCAAAATAGTCTGCTGAAGAAAGAAACCAAATCCTCACAGAAAACAGAATGTGTCACTCTAATGGGAAACATGGCATTATGTTAGCAGAGAACATGAACAGAAAAGCCAGTACCTCACGGGACACAGGAATTCCAGAGAACAGACACTGAAGTCTAAACACAAGGCCCGGGCCATTAAGCACTGCCAGGTCCATTCAGGCTTTAAAGGTCTTTGTAAATTGCCTTGCATTAAAAAGGAATATTAATTCATATATTCCACTCATTTCACCTGTTTTTCACTTCCCCCCTTGGTGCCCCTCCCCGCCAGACTATAATTACAGCCTTTTGTTCTAAAAACAGGGAAGGTCTGAAATCCCACAGTCAGGGTGTCTTCCTGGGCAAGCACTTCAGCATCTGTTTTTGTGATGCTGGGGACCTATGTGTGACCTAAAAACAATGCAGATCGGCGGGGAGGGAGTACTGCGGTGACAGCCTCGGGTTTATCCCTCCAGATCTGCTACAATGGTCTACGGTCCACTCTCATTTTCCTAAAATACCAAGGATCAAGTCACACAGAAGACGTAGCAAACAGTGACAGGAATGCCACAGAAGTTTCTAGATTAAAAGTCAGTAAGTGCAGACTCCTTCCTTGTTAAGAGCCAGGGGACTGCTGGATGATTATGTATTTCTAAAGGTGAAACACTGCCAACATGCTGATATCTGGTCATAAAGTGTGAATCCTGTGAAACCTGGAAATGAGACCTCCAAAACACAGTCACCTGGTAACAGAGACCTGCAGGCAGGGAACAGGCTGAAGGGGGCAAGCAGAAAAACCTTGAGGGAGATGAACAGGACATACACAAACACACACACACACACACACACACACACAGAATGTTATATCTTAGCTCCTATTGAAGCCAGGTGTGGGCATATAGCATTCCTGTGCAAAGAGCCCTTTATTTCCAGAAGCAGATGGAGCCATAGGTGGCCTGGGCAAGAACCACCCAGTGGACCTGAGCCAGCATGATGTTTGGACTGAGCAAGTGGGTGGGCTGTCATGGCTCCATCAACTCTCTACCTCACCTCAGACTTGCATGTGTGTGTGATGCACATGGAAGGCCTTGTCAGGAAGGCCGGCAGACGGTGTGCGCTATCTTTCCAAACAACAGAAGGCTGCTGAGACCATAGGCTTAGAGGGGCAGCTCACCCTTGCGATGAGTCTGGATGCTGGAGCACAGGAGCAGAACCCAGGCTCTGTGAGGTGCTGGTGGCCTGCACAGATATAGGGAGACCACGAGGCCAGGTCCCACCTTGGAAATGGTAGAGGGACCAGAGAGGACAGAGGCTGGGCCAAGAGCCCTGCTCACAGTGCTCACCACACGCGGTCCCTAGAGCTGGCACGGGTCTGTCCACAGGGCTGTAGGTAAAAGACAGAGGGTGCCGGGAGCTCTTCCGAAGCACAGAGGAGTCTGGCAGGAGTCAGCTCCTAGAATGGGGCTCTACTGAGGAGGCTCTACAGCCAGTGGGAGGGACAGTGGCTCTGCTCACACCTATCCCTGCCTGAGGGAGGGCCAGGCACAGCCCATCGGCCTCCACTCCTTTTCCAACCTCAGATCTGCTCACTCCATTAGACTAGAGGCTACAGAACATGGACACTATCAACTCACTTCTTTTCAACTCCCAGGACAGTCTACCAACCAGAAGACACCCAGCAAGGAAGTCAAGCAGAGGGAAAGAGGGAGGGGAGGAGAAGGAGGAAAGAAGGAGGAAGAGTAGGAAAGGGAGAAGATCAGGGAATGGGGGCAGAGCTGAAAGGAGGGAGAGAGGGAGGGAGGTGAACTTCTGCCTGGTAAGCAGAAAGCACCTGTTCAGGGTCACTAGAGGCCTGTAGCAGACTCTGCCCCACAGGACCTGGGACAGGACTGGTGGCCATGCAGACGTTCTGTTAATGATACAGGAACACTAAATAAGTTAGAACATAAAAACTAAGGCCAGACAGACACTACAGACGTTAGTTTGACACCAATGCAGCCATGAAGTATCTCCAGATTCACACGTGGCTGTGTCTATGCAGCACCGGGCTGGGGGGTGGGGTATGCCATGCCAGTCATAGCAGGAGCCACCCTGAGTGTACAAGACAGTCATTTCACGGCACTGATTCTGTCTGATGGTGGCTGTCACAATTTTATCATATCTGCCATGACTATCCTTACACTGTATTGTTTGGCCCGAGGATCTAACACTCTTTCAGTTCTATTTATTTTATTCATCCTAATTTAATCTCACTGTCTTCTAGTCAGCATCTTGGAGTGTCGAGATGTCAGTAACAATACAGACCAGAGCAGACAAGCCATCTACTGGAATCTTTACATCAGAGGCAAGAGTTTGAAGGAGACATGGCATGATTATCAGTCTTGCCTCATTGAGAATGGAAATCTGGGTGCTCTGGGGCAGAATTATGTAGGCAATGTGTCTTCTAGGAAAACCAGCCATTGGCTCTCGAAGGACACTCACCGAGCCGTTGATGCAGGGGACATCATCGTAATGTAGTGCAGTCCCGCTGGGGTGGGCATAGCCATTGGAAGTGCTCCCCAGGTATGGGCTGGTGGACACTGCACGCCTGTTCATGAAGCTGAGAGAGGACACAGTTAACACCTCCATTAATCAGTAGGACCCCCGTGAACTCTTATGATCGCTCAAAGCTGTCAGGCTCAGAGACAGAAGCCTTAGGACCCCACTCAGACAGGAATGCCACGTGCAGGCATGGGGGCCAGCTCCTCACTCAGAGCAAACAGACCCCAACACAGACAAGGGATGCATGGGCGGGAACACACTGTAGCCCCTGCAGGTGGAGGGGGCTGGGCAGTCACTAACCACTTCTGCCACGGCTGGTGTCTAACAGGCTGTGAGCCAGTTGCATTGTGTGTGGAGATTCTGGTCACCGCCAAAGGCAGGGGATGCATGGCCTACATGGAGCCCGTTCCTAAGCTTGCAAACACTTGCTCAACAAGCACTTTCTGAGTTCTGGGAGTCCCACAGAGTTAGCACCTAAGCACAATGCATCTTCAACTGCTCCTTGACCTGAGGGCCCTGTTGGTAGCTGGGGGGACCCTTCAGAAACCCAGAACACTGATATAAGAGACACATATTTGTATGTACTTGTTCTTCTTCCTAGCCAGAGCCCCTAATGATAACAGAGGGCATCAAGCCCACCTCTGCCCATCATACTGAGCCGCTTCCCCCTGAGATGCTTAACAAGATGCTTCTAGAAAGTGTGAAGGATGGAGGCGATGCTCAGGGAAGCTCATCAGAGGCTGGAAGTTTCAGCCCCAAGAGGACACCATGGAAGAGCTTCTGGATTGGAGAGGCCAGGAAGGCAGTTTGCCCAGGGAAGGTGTGCACCCAGGGAGGGTGTGCATCCAGGCAAGGTGTGCACCCAGAAAGGGTGTACATCCAAGGAAAGTGTGCACCTAGGGAGGGTGTGCACCCAGGAAGGCAGTTCACCCAGGGAAGGTGTGCATTCAAGGAAAGTGTGCACCTAGGGAGGTTGTTTACCCAGGGAGGGTGTGCAGCCAGGCAAGGTGTGCACACAGGGAGGGTATGCACACAGGGAAGGTGTACATCCAGGAAGACTGTGCACTCAGGGAGGATGTGAACCCAGGGAGGGTGTGCAGCCAGGCAAAGTGTGTATCCAGGGGAGGTGAGCACACAGGGGAGGTGAGCACACAGGGGAGGTGTGCACACAGGGAGGGTGAGCACACAGGGGAGGTGAGCACACAGGGAGGGTGAGCACACAGGGGAGGTGTGCACACAGGGGGGGTGAGCACACAGGGAGGTGAGCACACAGGGGAGGGTGAGCACACAGGGAGGGTGAGCACACAGGGGAGGTGTGCACACAGGGAGGTGAGCACACAGGGGAGGTGAGCACACAGGGAGGGTGAGCACACGGGGAGGGTGAGCACACGGGGAGGGTGAGCACACGGGGAGGGTGAGCACACAGGGGAGGTGAGCACACAGGGGAGGTGTGCACACAGGGAGGGTGAGCACACAGGGGGGGTGAGCACACGGGGGAGGTGTGCACACAGGGAGGGTGAGCACACAGGGAGGTGAGCACACAGGGGAGGGTGAGCACACAGGGAGGTGAGCACACAGGGGAGGTGTGCACACAGGGGAGGTGTGCACACAGGGAGGGTGAGCCCTGAGGAGCTGCAGACGGAAGTAGCTCTATGGCAGCTCCCCAAGGCTTTGCTCACTGGCCTGAAAACTCAAGTGCACTGCTGCCCCCTGCTGGGAGAAGATAGCAAGCAGGGCCATATATCTTTCCTCATAATTTAACTGTTGTTCTCTGCTTAAACTACATCAAAGTGCAGTAAAATTAAGTTCATAAGAAGAGGAACTATAAAAAGGAAAGACACACTAGCCATTTAGGCGTTCTGCAATGATAAAATGCTTGTATGCTACAGCCCACTGAAGGCTTTGACTAAAGGCAGTGGTTGAGGGCTGCATGTTTTGTGAGGGAGATGCTGCACACCAGGCTCTGCACACGTGTGTGCACAGGTCTCTCCCCTCTGTGCAGCAGGGACCTCATACTCAGTTTGCTGCGTCAGCGTCTGGCAGTGTACCCAGTGCTCACACTGAGCACAGATGTCAGGAAGGAGGCAGAGACAGAGCACAGGCTCCTGCTGGGCATGCTTCTGCTTCCTCTAATGGAGACTGGCAGAATTCAGTGCGGCACTTAGAGGTCAAAGACACAGCCCGTCCTCATCGACAGAGGCCTTTTCCACTGGCCAGTGCACCCCCAAATTTAGAGAGAGCAGCACAAGCCAGTGAGAATTCCTGGGGCCCAGAGGAGCGTGTGGGGACAAGTGCGGGGTCTCCGTCTCCCTCCACTGTTCTTTCCACGGTGGTGTCGGCTGAGCGTGGAAATGGAAACGAGGTTAACTACAGCATAAGAACATCACAGAAGGGAAAAAAAATAATGCTGCAAGAAACTGCAGGGGCACAGCAAGGGCGACTGGGGTGGCTTCCTCCTGCTGTCCCTCTGTCAGACAGAAGAGTCATCGCCACCACATTCTAGTGGGTCTGCAGCGGGAGACACTAGGATAAAGGCCCAGGAGAAAACTCTAGGGCACCATCCTGGTCTGCATTCTGTGTCTTAGGCCGTGTGTCAGTGCCTGCCACCACCCTACACACACCACATTCACGGTGAGAATCCCACTAGTGTTTTCTTCATCTACTGTCCTGTCTTCAGAACACATTAGAATACTAACCCTTTGGGTAGACACACCACTGATGATTCTCATAATAACTTGGAAAAGATTCATCAGATGGCTGCCAAGTTATAAAAAAGCAGAAAATAATTAACTTAATCCTAGAATATTTATCGAACTGGCAAGCTACCATGTTGTCAAGGCTGTTCCTCTGTTAAATCTCATCTCTGTTTTTTATGGGAATGCTTGGCTAGACAAATAAAAAATGAAAATTAACGTTATTGTTAACTGACATTCTCTAAAAAGATTTTAATGAGGTAGAAAAGAGTATTACGGCCGTTAGTTTATGATACGCATCTTTTTAATGGAGTTTTTGATATGGCAATCTGCATTCCTTTCTCCAAGATGTGGCCACCCCACTGTTTGGTTTAGATGAGACTTCTCATTCATAAGGTCAAAGCTAAGCTGTGCTCTGAGGAGAACATTTTTATTTGGATCTCTCCCGAATGTGGTGATCCAATTGCTGGCTACAGCCAAAGTTCCTATGCCCTTAGGAGGGATTTGCTCAAGTTTTAGTAACTTCCACAAAAGCACAGCTAGCTGTTAAGCATCACAGAACGAGATTCCCTGATACTGGGCAGTACCTCGTGTTTAAGGGATCCACTGCAATTTACCTACATGTTGCTGACTATAGTGTCATTAATCAATGGCCATAAAGCCCAGCTAAGTATTCCATCCCCCTTAATTTTCACAAATAAGAGTGGTGGTGGGGATGGCTGGTACCCTGGACAGCTTCTGTATGGCTGGGGATGTCGTAGCAATTCACCCCTCCAGTCAGATCAGGCCTGGTGCTGCATTCCTGACACTTGCCAAAGTTGCCTTCACTTTGAGAAAACTTCGTTTACTCCAAAATGTGCTGGACCAGCACTGAACAAGTGGTACCTCTTCAATACCGCCCCAGGGAACAGTACTCAGTCCTCACATAAACACCACCGGTGGGGGTACTGAGACTGGGGTGCTCTGTTTGTTTGGTTTTGGTGGGCAGAGTCTTGCTACATAGCAAGCTAGCTTTGAACTCGCAGCCTCCGGCCTCTGCCTCCTGAGTGCCGGGTTTACAGCTGGGATCACAGCATGCCGCCATACCCTATTTCCAGAGGGCTGATAGTAACAGGCAGTTAACAGCCAGGATGTGAAGCTTACCTTTATGCTCAAAAGCCTCTGTGTCCTAGGAGCACCCCGTCTATGACAGGCGACGGTCATCACCATCACTTACCAATGATCTAATTACATCACTGGTTTCCTTTTGATCCTCCACCCTCAGCCCCAAATCCACACTGTCTGAGGATGGGGGAGACACATGCAGGAGCCAAGGGAGAAATGGGTTTGCAGCCAGAAGGGACCCCAGTCACTGCCTAATCTATTTCCTTCTGAGAAAAGAGAGGTGCTGCCACTGTGAATGGCTCATCTAGGTTCTTCTGATTGGCAAACACAGTCATGGGCCAAGGGACATTTTAGTCAATGACAAACCATGTGCATGATGGTACATGAACTAGCAACAAAGTGTTCTTGTGGCAGAGAAAACCTGCAGCACCACAGAGCACTGATTTCTCACGGTCTGCAGGGGTGCACGTGCAAAGCCAGCCACCGTGCAACAGGCTGTAGGGCTCTCTGTGCCAACACGGAGGCCACAGACAGACGCTGCCCTGGAGATGGGCCTCAGCCTGCCCACAATGCCACTGTGCACATCAGAACAGCCCCACTCCTTGATTCTGCAAATTCCCCATCAGAAGGGGCCCTGTGTACTGCGGAGCCATTGCACTCACAGTACAGGAACAGACATCAAAGCCACATGCTGAGTGAGGCACCCTGTGCTGGTCCAGACCTTACTAACTACTTTCCTATGGTGACAGGGGCAATAGGTTCCTTTCTAAGAACATGTCTGCAGGGCTGGAAATCTACACATGATAGTCTCTCAGTCTCTCTCAGTCTCTCTCTCTCTCTCTCTCTCTCTCTCTCTCTCTCAATCCTTTCCCTCCTTCCCTCCTTCCCTCCCTCCCTTCCCTCTCTCTGTCCCTTCCTTCCTTTCTGACTGGGTCCCATGTATTTCAGGCTGGCCTTGAACTCTCTATGAACCCAAGGACGACCTTGAACTTCTAATCTTCCTGCCACCACCTCCTAAATGTTTAGATTGCAAGTGTGTTCATCACATTCAGTTGATGTGGTGCTAAGGATTGAAAGTCAGGGCTTTGGACATGCCAGGCAGTCCATCAACTTAGCTACAGCCCTAGCCTATTGATTATATTTTTGAGGTAAAAATAAGAAAGTTTGTAAAGGCACCTAGTCCACTGGCAATCTACTGACTGGGGAAGGGCGGGGGGGTCTTCAATGTACCCACCATGTGGCTTTACACTGATGGGCCTCATGGGGCTCCCACCATGGCACTCAGTACAGTAGAGAGACTGGGGTTCTGTTCGCTCAAGGCCATCCCAAAAGAAGCCTGCATTCCCTTACTACCGCTGTGTATGTGAGTGGGGGTGGGGATCGCACACAAGGAGCACAGAGTGGCCTGTCCACCCACCACCGCCTGTGTGACACGGTTCAGGTGTAAAAATGACGACAGGAAAACACATCTCAGGCATCTGAAAAGAGCTTTGGCCTTGCAGATGCCTGACAGGGCGCTGGATGTCCGCAAGGTCTGTGGAGTACAAACGACCTGCTCTGCCAACCCCTTGTTACCATCGTGTTAAGGAAGCATTCTTTGTTCAAAAGAATGGTTTTGTACAGACTAGCATTACTTATCATAATTTAACTTTAAATACCGCAATGACCGCTATAAAATTTTTGTCCTCATTACAGCAGTATCTCTGCTGCCTAGAACTGTTCTTGTCTTACAGGGGCTGGTAAGCTGCAGCCCAGAGGACCACTGCCTGTGGGTGTAAGCAGTTTTATTGGAACATAGCCATGCTCACTTCTGTACTGCTTCTGGCTGCCTTGGCAGAGCTGAGCGGTTATACCAGGAACAGACTGGTGCCAGGCCTACTCTAACAGAAACCCCAGAGGGCTGAAATGGCAAACACCGCTCAGAAAACTTAGGTCTAACACCCTGTCAAAGGGAAAGTCTGCAGGTCTGTGTGCCGCAGGTCTGCGTGCCGCAGGTCTGTGTGCTCACTGACACCTGTGGACAAACCACGGAGGCAAGGCGCCACTCAGGTGCAGGGCCTTCCACAGGGCCACGAGTCTTACCAGAAGGTCTGCTTGGCCGTCTGGATGACATTTGCTGACATTTCCACATCTATGTAGTCATAGTGCAAGGCTCCTGGGTCTGTCGATGACCCCGTCTCAGCCAGTAAGATGCCAATCCACCTGCCCATGTCTTCAGAAGATGCCGCCTGCCATAGAGAAGAAGGTGTAATTCATTCAAATAAAGACACAGATGACACCAAGGAAAACGGGACTTCTGGCCCTGAGGCCCAGTGTGAACTCAAGGCCAGGCCCCTCTCTCAGACCCAAGCCTGACAGGCCAGAGAGTGATACCATTTCACCGGGCTCCTGCTTAGGGTGCCCACAAGAATTGGGTTAAGAAAGAGCAGGCAGGGCCCAGAGGAAGAGCCTTCTATATCACACACCAGTCTGTGCCCTCAGGAAGTGTCAGCAGCACAAACTGGATAGAGAGGCAGGGAGGCTTAACGGCTGAGTGCAATACAGGCACTGTGCATCCGGCTCGAGGGCCTTGTGTGTCTGGTGCAAGGGCCCTGCTGGGATAACTGGGGATGTTGGCCTAAGACCCAAAGCACAGCATAAGAATGATGTCAAGGCTAACTTCCACCTATGGTCATTATACGGAAGTTCTAGCAAGGCAACATCCTTGGTTTGGGTTTTTTTTTTTTTTTTCAAACAGCTGAATTATTTAGGGATAAAGCAAAAATATGTGCAAAAGCATGTGGAAAGCTGGGGGAGCTGGGGGTCAGGAAACACCAAAGGCGAAGGACATATGGGCTTTACTTGTACTGGTCCTGCAATTTTTCTACAATTCCAAAATGATCTCTAGATAAAAGTTAAAAATAGCTGGGAGGGAGCACAGAGGACAGCCTTCACACTGGCTCACTGAAGCATGTTACCAGCTAAGGCAGGGCTTTGTTCTTATCCGGGGAGGTTGTGGGTCTCTCTGTGGGTGTGCCTGTTTTTTTTTCTTGGTGGTACTAGGGATTGAACCCAGGGCCTTGCTAGGAAAGTGAGCTATATCCCCAGTCCTGTGTGTGTATGAGTGAAACAGTTGATAATGTGGGATGAAGTTAAACTGTAAACTCTTACTGCATTCAGGAGCACGAGCCCATTTCTCACCACACCAAAGGAATGAGACCCTGCTAGGGCTGAGAATATTCTAGAAGGTTGGGGCACTTGCTACTCTACAAGGACTTAATCGGCACTAAGCACTCCTACACAGGTGACTTCTACCCACCCCACCCTGGGCTCCTCTCTGTGTGGACACACAGCCCAACTTTTCATCCTCCTCAACAACCAGTTGTCAACTGCTGTGGAGACCTGCAACTGACACCACAGGGGCAGGACCCGCTAAGATTCCACATGTGGTATCCACGCAACAGTGCTCAGACCACACTAAGGTTTACAAAGGTCACATATTGTAACCTTGTGCTGATTTTTATAGGCGGTTAAGAAGTTAGGAGATGAAAACAGACCTGACTGCTGTCAGGGTCTGCTGAGAACCAAGGCTAGACACAGCTACCCTGCTCAGGACTAAGCTAGGCTTCCTGAGGCAGAGTGCAGCCACCAGGGGGCACAGTTGTCCTCCTGGGCCCAGAGACTAGGGGGCCAGTGAGCCCTCTAGGAAGAACATAGAGTTCCCAACAGAACAAAAAGCTACTATGGAAACGATTCCTGAAATAAATACCCACTTGGTAAGTTCAAGGTCTTGTCGACTGCTTGAGTGGACACCTTGACCCCAGTCACGGCCCTGTACCTCAGCCGTTTAGGATCTAGCTCTGCATCTGACTGACTGAACCTGTACATCAGACCACTGCTCTGGGTCGATCACAGCCTCACTTCTGTTAACTACAAGGCAGGATGTGTACCCTGAAAATTAAGCATCTATGAATATAGTGTGTGTGTCTTTGTCTGTATCCTAATCATAATAATAATAAAAGAGGAAAGGAAACCAGGGAAAAGAAGTCTGAATTAGACCGAGTGTGGTAGCACACATCTTTAATCCCAGCACTCAGGAGGCAGACGCAGATGGATCCCTGTGAGTAAGGCTAGTCTGGTCTACATAGAGAGTTCTGGGCCAACTGGGGCTACAGGGAGATGGTCTTAAAAAGAAAACAATAACAACAACAAAAAGTCTGAATTAATAGGCTCCTGGTAACATGGCTCATTGACCCTGCTGTGGGGTGTCAGGGGCCCCAAAAGGGTCTGTTCCTTCAGAAAGTAGGTGGAAAGGGCTTTCCAAAGGACAGTCTGAAGGAAACAGCCCCCACCATCCATAGGTGGTCAGAAGAGAAGTTGTAGTGGAAGTTATTTAATAAGCTATTTCCTGAGCACTTTGCAAAAGCATTTCACTATTTGGAGCTGGGTGCTTAAGTCTGGCAAATAAACTTGATGTTCAGGACTTGGCAAAAACTGGCACTGGGCTCTTCGTGTTATCCCGGACTCTCAGAAAGAGAAACTGAGAAGGCAAAGCCAAGTGAGGAAAAGGGGCAGGATCTAAACCAGGCCGTGCAGTGAGTCTGAGGAATTCTGTGGAGGACTCAGAATATGGCCAAACCTCGGGCATACCTCTGTGGACAGCGGAACCAGGGAATCCCATACCTCTAGCACAGCCACTTCCTGTCCATTGCGAAGCAGCCGGAAAGTCAATGGGTGCTTAGAATCCAATCCTGGAATCACCTCGCAGCCACGGAGAGGGATGGAGACGATGTGGGTCTTCAGGTCAGCCCTGTCCTTGTGGAGGATAAGCTTGCTGTCCTTCACTCTGCACCAGCGTTCCCGCCAGCGGCTGTTGGAGAGCACGTTCAGGTAGCCTGTGAGGAGATGATGCCATCGCTCAGCCTCTGAGGAAGCTAAAGGAGTCCAGACCCTGGTCTGTGGTCTCATTACAGACAGGGAAGAGCCAGGCATGAAACGCACGCGCACACCCCAGGCTTAAACTACAAATTCACAGAAAGGAGAAGAGCCATGTGGACAATGTAACTTGATTTCAACAAGACTTGGAGGCTTTTCACAGGGCCAAAGGCCCTGTTTCACTGTGTAAGAACCAGTTCCATGGCTGGAGAGATGGCTCAGTTGTTAAGAGCACTTGCTGCTTGCAGAGAACCTGGGTTCAGTTCCCAGCACCCACATGGCAGCTCATAATTGTCTATAATTCCAGTTCCTGGAAATTCAACACTCTCTCCGGCCTCCACATGGTGCACTTACATACATGCAGGCAAAACACTAACATAAGATAAAATGAACCAGATGCATGGTGTTTACTTGGGAAACTGGAAACTGCTTTGATACTATGACAGTGGTGTGGGACGGCTAGAGGAAAACAGGGACTGACAGCTGTCTTCACGAAATGGAAGGAAAATTGCATGCAAAAGGATTTAGTTGCAAATGTTGTGAGTAGAGCGAGAGCCACAGAAAGACAGAGAAGTAAAAGAATCTGAAAATGAAAACCCTCCAGCAGGAGGGAGGCCTGGGGAGCCATGAGTTCCCCAGGGCTGGAAGTGTTCCAGCAAGTGAGGGAAGGCCACTGGTATGAGCACCCCACCCTCAGGCCGGAGGCGTCCTGTGGTCTCTACATTCCATCCCAGCATGCTGACGCGAGGGTTCTGACTTGGGAGGCTCCCCGGATGAAACCTAAACGTCTGGTCTGTGTGGTGGTGCTGGGCCCTCTGGCACCACACAGTATCTTTCGCCTGTCACAGAGGTGGATTGCCAAATGGGATGGAATTACAGGGGGAATTGTTCCTGTTTGATTGAACGGGAAAAATCCTCAAGGAAAACGACAGTGTTGAGCCATCACAAACACAAGCACATCTTTCTAGAAATTCTAAGGCAGAAGATGAAGGTTCCATGGCAGCTGGGGGAACTGTGGTGGTTACAGCTGCTATGGCCTCTGGACATTCCATGCTGCAGACACAGACCCACAGAGATCAGAATGGGGATTAGACATACACACACACACACATACACACATACACACATACACACACATGCACATGCATGCACACACAGATATGCATACATGTACATACACATGCATGCACACATACACACATATGCATACACATATACACACATACACATGCATGCACACATACATACACGTACATACACATGCATGCATACACACATACATATACACACACATATGCATGCATACACATGTATGCACACACATACACACAAGCATGCACACATACACACATACACACATATGCATATACACACGCATATGCATGCATACACATGCAAGCATACACATACTCTTACACACATGCATGCACACACATATACACACATACATATACACATACACGCATACATATTCATGCACACATACACACATGCACACACACATACATGCACACACATGCACACATGCACATACAACGCATGCACACACACATACACATGCATGCACGCATGCATACATACACATGCATGCACACATACACACATGCACATGCACGCGCACACGCATGCATGCACATGCATGCAAACATACACACATGCGCACATGCACACACATACACACATACACGTGTGCACATATACACATGCATGCACACACATGCATGCACACACGCATACACATACACACGCATACACAAATACACATGCATACACACATACATATGCACATACATACACACACATGCATACACACATACATATGCATACACATGCACATACACACATACACATCTATACACATGCACATATGTATACACACATGCATGCACACATGCACACACACATACGTGCACACATACACATACACACATTACACACACATGCACACGTACACACACACCTACACATATATACACACATACACACACATGCGCACACACTGAATACCCAGAATGAATCTTTCTATCTCACTGATCAATATCTTCAGGACATTTGCTCAACAAAAGGCACCAATGAAAAGTTTACGTTCTCACTTGGCTAAAGGTCATCTGTAGCCACACCCCCTGGGGAAAGTGTGCCTCCTGCTAACAGAAACTGCCATTGGGGGTCACAGAGACACAGCCTCTGGCTCCAGTGCAGGGGTCTCCCCTCCTTGTGTTCAGGCAGCAACTTAAACTTATTCTCAGCACACACTGTATACGCAGGGGACAGCGATCTGGGAAAGAGCCTCAGAGAGCTAGTCTTCGCGAGGACTCACCTGCAGACATGGGGAGCCCTCCCTGAGGCCATGGACACAGATGTCCTGATGCCCACATGGAAATACAGGGGCAAATAAGGACGATTACTCCAAATACACCTGTGGGCCCCACCTCGTTCTCATACTGTCAATAATCTTGGTAAATGATAGTTTGGTTTTTGAGTCAGGGTCTCCGTGTCCCCAGCTGGCCTGGAACTCACAGAGTTCTGCCTGCCTCTGCCTCCCGAGCACTGGGATTAAAGGCATACACCACCATGCCCAGCTGCTAGTTCTTTGAACTAAAAAAAAAAAAAAAAAAAAAAAAAAAAAAAAAAAAAAAAGCTTAATGTATATTTATTTAATGTAAAGATGATGCAGTTCTGATACATTATTATTTGAAAAGAAAACAGAAAACCTTCTTTAAAATGCAGCCAACTAAACTTCTTACAGTCACTAGAACTGTTTGCTGTCCGTGCTTTGACAACATGCACAGCAATCAGTCGTGCTGAAAGCCAAACACTGGTCTTCCACGAGTGAATGTTGCCTGTGCCGATGGGTCCTAAGTGAGCATGAGTCCACAAACAGGATGGCAGGAATCCCCCCAAGAAACTTGCTATACTGTGTGTGCAAGGCTCACATACAAAAATCACTGTTAAAGCACAACCCAGGCTGGAAGCGGTGGCACATGCCTGTGACCCCAGCATGCAGCAGGGAGCAGGAAGGGATCATGAATTCCTGGCCAACCTGGGCTACATAGCAAGACTCTACCTCAATAAAACAAAACAAAAGCACTAACCAATGTGGTGGCATGTGCCTCAGGTAGTGGACAAAATAGAAGGTCATACTTTAAAAAAAGTAAAAGAACAAACCCAACACTAAACTCCAGGGCTTCACAGGCTTCGTGGAGCTGCTGGAAGAGACAGGACACATCCTCTGCAGGTCCACAGGGCCGGCAGCCGACGGAGTGGGTGGTATAATGACCACATGGCAGGTAGCCCCAGTCACCAGGCCAGACGGATAGCCCTGGACAGCAGGTTAGAAGGATATCCTTGGACACTAGGCTAGAGGGATATCCCTGGATACCAGCCCCAGACACCAGGCCAGATGGATAGCCCTGGACAGCAGACCGGATGGGCCTGGCCTTCTTGCAGAAGGTATCAGGGAATTTTGATCAGGTCAGGGCACTAAGAAATTAAATGTCTGCCTGAGAGTTTAGCGACAGGACTCCTGAATTCTCCGTGACTCCAATTTAGGGCCTGTTGCATGAACTGCGTCCCCACGTGGACAGTCCTGCAGGGCAGGGCCAACACAGGCACTGGAGACTGCCCACCAGCCAAATGAAGATCATGGAATCTGGCACTGTTTTCTCCTCAGACAGAATCTGGCCCATGGTCACCAGATGCTATGAATTTCCTGACATTTCAGCCACAGAAGAATGATTACATGGGACAGAGCCTCACTTAATTTAGAACATGACCTCACAGAGAGTGCCGCATTTTAACACATTCTTGGGATTTAAGTTTCAGAGAGAGAGAGAGAGAGAGACAGACAGACAGACAGACAGACAGACAGACAGACAGACAGAGACCCTAACAGGCCTGCTTCCATGAACATCAAGTTCTCAGGTAATGTACCCCCATGTCCATGTAATAACACAGACCTCGGTATCCCACTTTCTCAAAACGGGGGACCCCAAGCTCCCAGTTTCTAGGAAGGGAACGTAGGAACAGGAGAAGCCAGACAGGGAAATGGCACCCAAGGGAGGGATACGGAGTCAAATGGTGGGTCCCTGGACTCTCAGTGTCCTCTCAACCCAACACCCCTGCCTGAGTGATGAAATCAGTCAGATCCTCTAACTAGAGCAGAGATCTGCCACTAGGGGGTTGCCAGAGTGCAGCCAGGACCAGAAGGCCAGGACCCTGGGCTAGAGGCAGAGGCTGAGGGCCTCCTTACAAATCCCACTTACATCATGGCATGATGCCATGCATCTTAAAAATCAGATGATTTCAGTTCAATGTTTTTATATTCTTTCTGTTCAAAATTACAAAGAAAGAATGGAAAGAATAAATGTGGTTTCACGAGAACTATAAAATTAACTTTACAGGCCTAATGCTACTAATCCACAGGAATGAGTGTGGGAATGAGGCCTAACCTTCCGCAGTCAGCCATCTGGGCGTCCGGTGAGGACCAGGTGGCTCTTGAGTTCAGGCGGCCAAGGGGCAGATGGTGTGGGCTTTCAGAGGTGGGGCCACACTTTCCTCGTCTCTCCTCTGTGTGGAGGGGCAAGCAGCAGGTCCGTCTGAGCCCTCTGGGCTGTGGGACTCTAGAGAGCCACTCTACCACATGCTTCTGCTCCTTGCATTGGTGATTATCTCAGGTACTGAGAGCACGTGGGCAGCACGTGGCTGTGCCGAATGTCCAATGACTATGAGAGTAGGCCCAGTGTTGCCACCGCCAGCACTACCTTCCCTCTAACTTTAAAATGTGATGTCCACCAGGCCAGAGCTGAGGGCCTTGAAGGTAGACCCCCACTGGTTCCTGAGTGTGAATAGAGACACCCCCCCTGGTTCCTGAGTGTGAATGCAGATGCCCCCACAGGCTTCCCATCTGGTTTATCTGTGGGTGACCATGGAGCGAGGTGTGAAGTCTAACTTCCCTACTGTCCACTAAAAGCCCACTGCTGGCAGAGTCACGAGAGCACGGCACACTAGTGCTGGCAAAGACCCTGCAGGTATAGCGCAGGCCCTTCAGACTCATCTGGGGCTACAGACCCTAGCCAGCCCCTCCTCGTACCTTGAGCCTTTCCTTTGTCTGTTTCCCACATTCCCTGGCAGGGCTGGTGTGCTGTGGTGTTTACTTTGAAGTATGTCAAGTGACTGAACAGACAACAGTGATAGTGACACACTCAATAGAAGCACATCAAAGTAATCCCAGGACTTTACAAGCACAGAGAAGAGCAGAAGACAGACACCTTTTCATTAGAAATCTTGGTGCATCTCTTGGGCACGTTATCTAGAGGGGGCCCTGCTAACCACACCACTCAATGGGCCTCACAGGAGGAGTGAGAGGTGGCACCCTCACTGCAGGACCCTTGCTCCCCAACACATGAAAAAGTCCCCCACGAGGCCACAGAACCCCATTCATCATGACCACACTACACTGCAGACGGGCACTGAGCTCAGCTCCATGGCTCCAGGGAGTCTTTTCTGCCTACTCAGCTGCTCTGCCCTTCCGGCCCATCAGCTCGGCACTGTCTGTCCTCCCTGGAGTAGACAGCGGCAGCTGCAGAGGCTCCACTGGGCAGGCTGGTCCCTTGGGTGTGATCCAGCTCCCTTCCTCTGCCTGAAGCCCTGCAGCTGCACCAAAGGACTGAGAACGGTCATTGTTCCCTGTCCCCCCAGAGACGCTGCCCCTTGCCCACGGTCTGGTGAAGAGCTGGATGACAGGGGACGCCCTCTGGGCGGAGGCCAGAGCTGTGCCGAACACCGATGGCAATCTGTGTGTGCAGCTGAGGCCGCAGGAACACTTCTGCTCCCAAGGTCTGTGCTTGCCAGCTTAGAGCTGCACCACCATGTGTCGGCAACGACACCAGCAGAGCAGCTTATGGGAAGGCTGGGTGCGTGCTACTTTTCATAAGGAAGTGTGGAAAAGGGCGTAGGGAATAGGCCAATTGGGTCGGGGGCCGACTCTGCCTTCAACAAGCCATGCAACTCAGAGCAAGGCCTGCCCCTCTCTGTGTACCAGTCTCCTTTATAAGCAGAAGCTTAGACTGCAGTCTTGAACTGCCTTCCACATTAGTGTGCAACTGTTTTTCCTGAATGAATTTGTTTCCCCCATGGACCGAGAGTATTTTGAACAACAAAAGCAAAACTCACTTTAAAAACTGCTGTCAGGTTAAATGGCCAGGAGACAAGGCTGTGCTGTGTCCCCAAGTACTTCAGAAGGACGGAGGCCAGCAGAGGCAGTGTGGTAGTGTCCCCAGACCCTCTCCGTTCTGAACTGCAATCACATTCTCTCTTCGTGGAAGGGAAGGTGGTATGAAAACCACCATGATAACTGCCCTGTGTCTGTTCTCCAATACCTACTTGGCTAGGGATAGTCCAGGAGTCTAGGGTGCACTGAGCTCCTGGTTCCTGTAGGACTATGAGTCTGTCCAGACTCAGGCTCTCGGGCAGCATCATCAAAGGGACCTGGCTTCAATAACGCCTTCAATCCCAGAGGCCTTTGCTATGATCTGCCCAAATGACTTCACTGTGTCCACGAAAAACTGGCATCACACAATACAGTAGAGCCACTGATGTGAGGCCAGCAGGGGAAGGTGCGCCAGGCTGTCTTCCAGATCCAGTGTGACCTCTACCCCTCCAGCCCTTCCTCAGGCCAGCACCCCTCCCACCACAGGCTGCAACCCTGGCAGGAAGAGTCTTCCAGCAGATGCTTACGCAGCTGGGCAGGAAATCCACTGACAAATTCACTTTGATGCTTATGGCCCAGCTTAGGCCAGACTGAGCAGGACCCAAATGACATCACATCATGAGACCAGTAATGAGTGCTCACTGGGGCAGAAAGGGGGAAGAGAATGAAGCTGTGTGTTCTGATGGGCCACTGAGTGGACAACAGAGCTATACCAAGACCATCACAGTCCATTCCTGCATGTTTTGTTTGTTTTGAGAAAGGGTCTTGCCACATAGTCCAGGCTGGCACAGTACTACATAGCCCAGGCTGGCCCCATTGGCAGCAATTCTCTGGCTTCAGCCTTCCTAGTAGTAGGGTTGCAAGCATGCCCCACCATGCCTGGCTCTAATCTTTAATTTCTTTGGCGGGGGGGAATCTTTTATTTATTTTTATTGAATTTTTGTGTATTTCATACAGAACATCTCAAAAAACCTTAATCATCTTTACACCCCCATCCCCACTGGCACCCTCCCACAGCCTGGAGCCCATATACTCTGTCACCCTGTTAAGGCCCACTGTATCATCAGTGTCCCCAGTCGTTCTCCAGTACAAGCCCATCTGCTGAGGTCTAGTCAGCCTATCCACAGTCCCTTGTTTTAGGAAGATCAGCTCTTCACCCAGCAGTAATCAGTTGCCAATACTCCTTCAGATAAGACTGAGGCCTGCTGTTCATTTCCTATGCTGGGTTACTGTCTGCCTGAGTTTGCATGGGACTTGTGTCTGCTGACACCATTGCCGTAGACTCATATGAGCAGGTTCCCAGGAGCTTGTAGGACTCTGTTTCCATATGGTCACATATCTCCTCCCTGGCTCTTGCAATCTTTCCGCCCCCTCTTCTGCAATCGTCCCTGAGCCTTGGGTGGGTGACATTTAGTGAAGGGGTCCTGTCCAAGGACCAACACTCAGCAAAGCAAGGGCTCACCGGTGAAGCACAGTGCTCGCTGCCGCATGCTCATTTCTCTGGTTCCTTCTGGTTCCTCTCTTTGGCCCCTAGCCCAGGGATCGCGGAGGGCAGGGCTGTTTTGGTCATGACCAGACACCACATGCTTCACCCAATCCCTGTTATAACACCCCAAGGAACAAACAACAGACTGGGGGATGGACAGCCACTTCCACTGGATTTGCAACTTAAGCTTGAGAGGTATAATATGAAAGAGAACTCAGTGCTTCAGGCCCGTCCGTGTCCACATGCTTCTGCTCTGCCTGCCCCTGCCGTGGCCCAGCCTGTTTCTGTTCACTAATGGCACGTGGCTGTGTCCTAGTTTGGACAGACTGAAGAGGAACTTGGGAAAACTTCATTTAACAGAGAGAACATTGATTTTACCTGGAAAGAACCCTAGAGATCATCTCAAGCCCCTGCAAATTCTTCCATCACTAAGAAGTAAAAATAATTCCAATTCAGATGCATACTGGCCTAACGTTGACGGAAGAGCCACAGAGCCCAGAGCACCCAGGGACACCTGTCCCTGCTGCCGGCTTCTGTAGCAGGGCTCTTACCACAGGTGGGTACGTCCTCCTCGGCGGATGAAGTCTGCTCATCTGTAGAAGGCTTCTTCTTTCCCAAGCCGATGATCTTGGTGATTTTTTTCCCAGTGACCTTAGACACAGTTCCCTTGGTCTCTGATTTGGAACTTTTCTTCCTCTTCACTGTCAACAACACAAAGGCATGTTTTAACTCTAATGTTAAGTGAAAAAAGTCACAGCATACATCACCAGGCATTTCTACTTCCCCTACCTGTGATTCATGGGGCACATGAGCACCTGGAGATGTGTCAGCTGGGGGTGCAAATGCTGGGGTCACAGCAGAACATGGCTGCACTCAGGAAACCTGCACTCCACGGAGAAGGGCACACACACATACATGCACACACACACATGCAATGCATTACATGCACACGTGAAACACCCATGCACACAAAGAATGGCAAATGGTAGCAGGTCCATGTGGACATCACAGTCCCTGGGAGAATGGCCGGTGGTCAGACAGCACCTGCCCAGAGCTGCTGAGAGCTGACCATCTCAGAGAGAGTGACATCTATGCAGATCAGCTGAAGCAGGCTGTCAAGAAAGGGAACTAGAGGGACCCAGGGAACCAAGGGAGGCTTGTGGACCTACAGCCTGGTACACAAGGGGAGGGTTTTCAGGGAGGGAAGCAGAAACTGAGTCCTCCTTGGGGGCCTCCCTTGTTCATCAGTGGACACCACTCACTCTAGGATGTCTGATCCAGAGATCTTAGACCAGTGGCCAACTTTTCAGACCATCATCTCTCATTTAGCCAAACAATGTTCATAAACATTTCACACAAAAGGGATTTGGGCTTTCTCTGTAAAACCAGAAGACATGGCAAGCCCAGAACCCACATACACAGGCATCCTGGTGTAGGGTCCATGCAGACGATGACATGCTCTGACACAGGACGGTTCTTATCTGTGCACCATGCCTGCCATGGAGCAGGGACTGGCTGTCAGCTGGTCCTACATCTGCCTCCACTCAGCCACTTGCACCCCCTCTCCTACCCTCACGTTTTATCCATGAGTCCAGTGGAGTTACAGGGATGGGGATCAGGGAAGAAGTCAGAATGGGTGTATGAGGACAACCCAGAACTGAAAGGTGTGATCCTTCCACCCGAGAGCAACTCTAGGCAGAGTCAGCCCCTCTTGGGTCTCCTGAGGGTGGCATGTGCTAGAGCCAGGGTGGTGCAAAGCCCTTTTCCAAGGGTCCCTTCTACTGAAACAAAGGTTCATGGGTACGGCTCTGCATCAAGACCGAAATGGCATTGCCCCTCCCCGATCTAGCACAACCCCTCAGCCCTCTGTGGGCCCCCTCTAGGCAGCACAAACCTTTCACAATGTAAAGAGTATCAAGGCTCCGGAGTCCCTTCACCAGAAACCCCCAGAATATCACATGGAATCGCAAAGGGTGCAGGAACACGTGATAAGCTTTGGCCCAATTGCAGACCCTTCTTCTGCACACACGCGCACTCACTCACAAGCATCCTCCCCTTTTCTCCTTGGTGGGGAATGGGAAGTGACCCCCTTTTCTAATTCTGTGCCCACCCCAGCAGCATGGCCAAAGCAGCAGTGGGCAATCAGGACGAGTCCCTGTCTCATGCCACGAGCTCCCCTGCTCAGTATCTTCCCTGAGGGACTCAGTGAGCCCATGAGACCAGTCACTGCTGAGAACCCTCACCACCTCTGGAATGGACATCAAATAACAGTGTCTGAGGAAAGAGGTGCCGTGCTGTGGCTGAAATGAAGCCGTGCTGAGTTTCAGGGCAAATGCAGCATTCCACACAGAATGTTCATGCCCCAGTCCTACAATTTGGACCCCAAGAGTGGCTGAAGTTGGAGCCGGAGTCCTAAGGAGGAAGGGTAAACGTGGTCACATCACGTAAGGGATCAATCCAAATAGTACCCTCTTCAAAGAGAGACTGAGCACGCACAGGACACACAAGGACACAGACAGGACAAGCCTCCCAAAGCTCTGTCCTGCTGCCATCTAGATCTCGAGCCTCTAGAACTTTGAAAACCTTGTGCTGTTTAAGTCTGCGGTATTTGGCTGTGGCAGCTTTGTGTTATTTTAGATAAACCAGATTAAGGCCTCCTGGGATCTTAGGGAAAATGCCCATGGGAACATCCCTATGCCCCCTTCCATGCTTTTATACAGATGCCTGCTTTCTAAGCAAAGCACCAAGAACCCATCCGAGCCTCAGTGGGAAGACCCAGGTCCTCCACCGCTAGACAGCAGCCTGGACACTTGGGCCATTTCTGCTACAGGCAGTGTGCCTCATCGACATAACTGAGACAGGCTCCCGCCAGGAAAGCCTTGCTGGACGCTGAAGCACGGAACAGCGAACGCTCCAATTCCTTGAATATCCACTGGTTTTTTGTTGTTGTTTGTTTTTTGCACGTCAGGTCATCCTTTGAAGAAAAGTCCAACTGTATAAGGGCATGAGAAGAATCCACTAAGAACTCCGTGAGGCCATTTGAGGATGGGAAAGGCAGAATTTAGCACATTGCCAAACTGAGGACTGAGAACTCTCAACTCAATAAAGTTACATGGCAGACAAATGGACGGCTTCAAACAGCAGAGACAGTGGAAATCAGGCGCTTAAGCCTCAGTGACAACGGCCGAGAGCCAGTGCTGCACATCTTAGTTCTGCGAAGGCCACAGACCCAGGCCATTGCATGTCCTTCTACAGCAGTGGGAATTAAACGCTTTCTGTTTAGGCTGGGGGAGTAGGGACGGGAGACACAACACCATGGAGCTGTTGTTGTAACAGATCCACCCACAGACCTCCAGCAATGACTAAATCTCAAGGGCACATAGCACTGGCTGAGACAGACAGACACCATTCCCACAAGCACTGGTCCAGGACCTCTGGTCACCTTTTCCCACATCATCTACTGGATCAACAGGATGGTCACTGACCAACCAGAAATCACACTGTCTGCTGTCTACATAGCAGCTCCATATTAAAAGGAGGAATGGGCATCTCAATGGGCATCTCAGTGGCAAGCTGTGGTTTGAGCACTGTCTCTGCTGAGAACACAGTGTTGAGGCAGCACGCTGGAGCCCAGGCTTCCTCTCTGTGGCCAGGACAGAACAGTACAACAACTAAGGACAGCTCAGCTCGCATCTCTCCCTTAGGAAGTAGATCAAAGTGAGCAGCAGGTGAGGGTGCTGAACCACAACGTTCCTTTGTGATCTTCAAAGAGCAGCTACATTATGAAAAGCACAGGGCCAGAAGAAAGAAAAATGTGTAAGCAGGTCACCTGTGCACTCCAAAATGCACAAAGCTGCTCTCAGGCTATAGAGAGGTCTCAGTGGTTAAAAGTGAGTGCTGGTCTTCCAGAGGACCCAAGTTCAGTGCCCAGCACACACACTGGGCAGATCACAACTGCCTATAACTCCTACACCAAAGGATTTGACCTTTGGCCTCCACAAGCACTAACGCACACGTGCACATACACTCACAGACACATGAATAATTTAAAAATTAAATAAATTTCAAAAAGAGAAGAAGAGATTCCTAGGGACAGATATATAACCTACATACGCACCCAACAGACAGTACTGCACAGACCCTAGCCGCACAGGTTCACAGGTGAAGAGACATGAAACAAGGAGAAGCTACCAAGCTGTTGTCTACCGCACCTCAACAGTGAGTCGGGAGCCTGGGAGGGTGGTGCCTGTGGTGTTCCAGCTTGGGAAGCTGAGGCTAGAGGACCACCCGAGATCAGGAGGTTAAGATGACCCTAGACAACATAAAAAGACTCCATCTTACAACAGAAAGAACAAAACCCAAAATCAAAAAGAAAAAAACAATCAAAACAGAAAAGCAGGCGCGTAGAGATTGCAGGGTGCTGTGCCTCAGGGCGAGGTTAAAGACAGCCTCCCTGCTCTGAGGTTTTTGTTACAGACAACACACCTTCCACACAGATAATATACTACGCCAAGTGGCTTCCAACGGGCAGAACTAAAATTACACTCCACTCAGATGGAGTTAGAAAACCACAAGGAAGGGAGAGACAGTGCAACCTTTTGGAGTGAACCTTTCAGAGCAAAAGATTGGACTGTCTGGGCTACAGTGTCCTCAGACAATTCATTCCCTGGGGCAAGTGCTTGTCACATGTGAGCCACCTAGACCAGGACCCGCCTGAGCAGCCAAGCCTTGGGTCCACCAGCTCGGCTTCCCACAGCTTGCTGCGCTGCTCTCAACTCAAAACGCTCACTTTAGTGACCATTCAGGAAATTAAAGGCCGGGCCACAGATGGGGAGTGACCTGTATGGAACACGCATCTGGCAAAGGACTTGTACGCAGTGTTTGTACAGAGCCCGCAAAGCCCAATAGGAGCAAACAACCCCACAGAAACATGGGTGCAGGATCTAAGGAGCTATCCAGCCAAAGACGACACGGATGACCAGCAGGTTAAACTGTGAGCCACTGGGGAGGCCACAGCTGTACACCACCACACACCTGTGCAACACAGGTAAAGGCTGCAAGGCCAGACAGGAGAGGCCTTCCCTACAGACTATGTGACCCTGCTACACCACTGCGGGATAGTTCCCCAGGGGACCTGGGGACACATGTTCATACAAAGGTCTGCCTGGAGTCAGAATGGCTTCCAGGTCCCCACGTGTCAGTCAGAATGGGCCCTTGGTTCCTGTGGGTCTTGAGATTGGTCAGTGGGTAACTAGTAGGATTCATCTACATAGGGAATACTACCCCACAGCTTTGACACGGTGAATCTCACATACACTTAGTTATGAGAAGAAGCCCTTGAGAAATGTACACCCATGAAGCCAAGCACAGGCAGGAAACATCACCCGCTACCTGGGGAGAGATGGGGCAAAAGTGACAGAGCACATGAAGGACACTAGGGTGGCTGAGGTGTTTCTCTCCTGATTGTGGTCATTGTCACTCGCCTGGAGGTGTTTATCAATACTCACAGTGAGGGGGCTGGAGAGATAGCTCAGCAGTCAAGAGCACTGGCTGCTCTTGTAGAGGACCTGAGATGGTTCCCAGCACCCACATGGTGACTCACAACCATCTGTAATTCAAGACAGATTCAACACCCTCCTCTGGCCTCCTCCACACTATACACATGTGTGCATATGTGGTGTACTTACATACGTGCATGCAAAACACTCAAACACATAAAAATATAAATAAATAAAATTCTAAATAAAAACTCAAGAAGGACTATACTGAATGAAATCTGTATTGACAAAAGCCAAGTTTAAAACAGAGACTTCAATGTCTGCACAGCACGTTCAACTGGGTCAAGAGGCAGAAGCAACACAAACACACACGGACAGATGAATGGACAGCGAAATGAGCCTATACAACAGAATATTACTCAGTACTGAAAAGGAAAGAAAAGCCGATGCAAACCACAACACTGGAAAAACCGGGGAGACTAGGGCAGCTGAAAGTTGTTAGCACCGCAGACGTCCGTCTGCACGAGGACCCGTGTCAACCCACAGAGACAAAGTAGAACAGCGGTTGGGGAGGGGATGAGGGACTATTGTTCACGGAGGTGGTTTCATTTTGGGGAGATGGAAGGCTCTGGAGACAGATGCAGGTGATGGCAGCACAGCACCACACTCGTGTTGAAAGCCGACAGGACACTTAAAATGGTTGAAGACAGTAAATTCTGTAGTATGTGTATCTTCCATGATTTAACAATTATTTAAACACAGGTAAAATAAAAATGGCTCCAGAGAATCTGTAGCTAGATCAGAAGTCTGAATGCTCCTGGCCCCTGGTGGTCAAGGGGAGAACCCAAGGCTCGTCCTCAGGAAGTGTGGGCTCGTCACTGGAGGAACGCAGGCACAGCAGGTAGGAGGGGCCCCTGCTCATTGTCTGAGACTCTACACTGGGAAGCTGTCCTCTACGAATCACCTGCTAGTCGTATTCAGGGCGGAAGGAAGGTAGCACAGGCACCAGCCCTGGCCCAGGTCCAGCAGACAGGACGGGAGGCAAAGGTCTGGGGCTGGTGTGAGCCTTGAGGCCTTCCCTGTGCTCTCTCAGCAGGACAGAAAGGTGCCACCTGCACTGCTGATGCTTCTGGGTCCCTCACACTCCCCCTTCCCAGCGGCCACTGTTTCTTAAGTTCATACACTCACGGCATCCAGGGAGGAAACTCACCTTGCTCTTTTCCATTACACGTGGTGACTCCATTTTCCACAGTGCCCTCCCCATCTGAGCTGGGCCTCTCTGAAGACAGTTTCTGTAAGGACACAGCAGTGTTATTCTCTCAGCGGCCACGCAAGCCCCATGACGCTGCACCTATGAAAAGTTACCTCAAAAGCGAAAGGAAATGTGGGCAGGGTTCTCAACCCAACACTGACCAGCGGCCGGAGAGATCACTGTGAAGCTTTGAAATCATCAAAAACAAATGGAAATGACTCGCTGTGGCTGCACCACACAGCACAGATATGGTGCCAGGCTGATTTCGATAGGATTACCAAGCCATATTCCCCTTGCAGAAAAAAATTCCATCGTCCACTTAATTCCCTCCTGTCACTGACCAACAACTGGAACATCAAGTTCTTGCTTGTAACAAGTGGGTCTAATGGAAACGAGTGACTTATCAGCACTTTCAAAGGGGGCACTGCTCACTGCTTCTGCCTGGTTGTCTAGACTTTGGGGTGTAAGGGCCTCCATGTTAGTGTGAGCAATCTGCCATGCACACCTGGACCCTTTTCATCCCTACCCAGGAGGGTCTCAGCCCCCTAGATCAGGAAAGGAGATCCCCACTTCTGATGGGAGTGTGCGAAAGAACTCGGGGGCCCAGAGACAGGAAGTAAAGCAATTCGATCAGCAGCATGAGTCAAAACCGTCAAAGAACAAAGAAAGCCCAGGCCTGTCCACTGGTCTGGGAATTTAGCCCCCAGGAATCTCTCCTCAGATAACAGGCAGAGGAAAGCAACAAACCCTTGTGCAAAAGATGTCAGCTTTATTTACACAGCATCATGGAGGGACAGAACAGCTCTGTAAGTGACAAGAGCCAGACAGATCTGTTACCTAGCTGATCAAAGTACAAAACTGCAGATCCTTGTTATGCATTTTTAAAAACCTGTAAAATTGCCAATAATAGTAAAAGTATAAGAAATTTTACTGTGTAAGGTTAACCGAACTACAAAAGAAATAAATAACCAGAAATACCCTGGTTGACCGCATGGCGCCTTTAAGAAGGCTGCCTTCTTGCAGGACAGACTCATGGGTGACTTTAGTCCCTATTCATGTTTCTATGAACTTGCTGAATTTTATAAAATAAGTATGATTTCATTTTATACTCAGAGAACAGGGCTGTCCTGTCAAAATCTAAGATGGTTAATTTTATGTATGGCACGGAGGTGTTTCCAGAGGGCTTAAATATGAGCTCTGAGTAGGCAGATGGTCCCTCATGATGGCATGGGCCTCATCCCAGTCAGGTGAGAACTTGTGAGAGGCAACCTGGCTCTCTGGGTGAGAGTGGGTTCTCCATCAGACACTGCTCTGCCTGCTGCTGACGCAGCTGGGAGTGGACTTACATTGTGCGAGCAGCTCTTAAAACACACACACAAACCATTGGTTCAGCTTCTTTGGAGAATGAGGACAGACCGAAAAAAGGATCTACGTCCACTGGCTGGGGCTTGGAAAGTCATAGAGATACAGGCTGCCAAGAGAAGACTTCATGGTACAAAGCCAGGGGTCTCCAAAGAAACAGTATCAGTTATGTACAAAGTGCAAGAGGAGGCAGGCAGGGGAGGGGGCACAACAGTGCGGGGCCTGTACATCCGTGGCAAGCAGGAGGGTGCAGAACACAGGCTTCCCAACCCAGAGTGCTGCGTTCCGTTCCAGCACTAGGACTCACTGCTGGGATCCAGCAGAGGGACACAGAGCTGGACCCCAGCTGGTCATGAGCGAACCGTTGGAAGGTATGTTTGTGAAGTGCTTACTGTATTTTGCAAGTAGACACACTTGCATTCAGACCTCATTTACTAGTTTATGACTAAACCAGATCATTCCCACCTTTAAGTCTTCCCACATTGCTGGGAATAAAACAAAAGTATGAAGATGACTTCTGCGGAGATGACTCCCTGGGGCTTAGTTCAAAGCAGGCTCTGAAAATGGACAGGTGTGGGTGGAACGATGGCTCAGCAGTTAAGAACACTGGCTGCTCTTGCAGAGGACCTGGGTTCAGTTCCCAGTAACCCACAGCAGCTGAGGACCATCTATTCTTCAGTTCCCAGGGATCTAACACCCTCTTCTGGCCTCTTTGGGCATTGCATGAATGTGGTGCATGTCCATGGATGCAGACAAAACATTCATACACATACAGAAAACATCCTGCTGGGCATGGTGGCACACACGTCCTAGCACTCGAGAGGCAGAGACAGGTGGATCCCTGTGAGTTTGAGGCCAACCAGTGCTGCATAATGAGTCCTTGTCTCAAAAAAGAACAAAAGGGGCTGGGCGTGGTAGTGCACGCCTTTAAGTCCAGCACTTGGGAGGCAGAGGCAGGAGGATCTCTGTGAGGTCGAGGCCAGCCTGGTCTCCATAGCAAATCCAGGCCAGCTGGGGCTACAGGGGGACCCTGTCTCAAAAAGACAAAAAAATAATAATAATGCTTGTTAAAAGAAAATGGACAGAAGGCAGGACTGTCAGCATGTTCATCTGGAAGCAATGTAGTTTTCAGAGAATAAAATTAAAACTTTCAGCAATAATGGACAAAGCAATCAAGGGCTGAGGTGGCAGACGTGCAGGTCACCCTAACCTGACCACTGCGTTGCATACATGCTTGAAATGCTGCACTGTACCTCATAAATATGTGCAATTCATTTGTATCAACTGAAAATTAAAACCATTAACAGAACAAAAAGGGTTACATGCCAAATCTCCCACAAGGTCGCTGCTCCGAGACACACCCTTACCTTCTCCAGCTCTGCCTTGTTCACAGGAGCACTGCACAGGGGAACACACTCAGGATCCGCAGGGCCACTGCAGCCACTGTAGGCCTCCTTGATCACCTGTGGGAGTGGAAACACGCTCTGAGTCTGCTCAGAGGTAGAGATACTCAGGCAAGGGGTGAACTTTGTCTAGTCCCAGTACTGACAAAGATTATGGGGAAATGGCAGGAAAAAATGTACTCTGGTTCTCTAGAAAGTTCCATTCCACTTTAAGATGTCATCACAAGCAGTAAACATCATCAACAAGATGAAAGGGGCAGAAGAGATGGCTCAATGGTTAAAAGCATGCACTGCTCTTGCAGAGGACCTGCGTTCCTCCACACCCATGGAGGGCAGCTCACAACCACTCCAGGGAATTTAATGCCCTCTTCTGGCCTCTGCAGGCATTGCACTCCCACATATACACAGATACAAACACACACACACACACACACACACACACACACACACGCACACTTAAAAATAAAAATAAAGGTTAAAAAAATGAATGTGATGTCAGACATCCTGAAGAGCTACAAGAATAATATGTGCTCCTTTCATAAGAAGGTGGGCAGCTGCCTTAGGTCAAGGGTCTCACAGCCCTTCCCAGGGTGACAGGCAAGCTCTGAACCAAGCACCAGAAGGTTCTGGCCATGTGAACTGACAGAAAAGACCAAGTGTGCTCTGCTCTCTCTACCCCACACTTAAGGATAAAGAAGAGAATCTAGGGAAGGAGACAGAGGAACACAGGAAAAGAGGGGGGACCTCAAAGGAGCAGAACAGGGTTCAGGAAGGAGAGGAGCAGGGAGGCCACAGCAGCCAGGCAGCAAGGGCCTCTGTGAGGGAAGGAGAGAGGGTGGGAGGCCCTGGCTGGCGGGAGGAGCTCTGTAAAGGAAGGGTTCCGCTGTGATCCTTTTCTGAGCATAGCGTGAGTGGGAGCGCAGGAAAGCTGGTCACGCTGGGGTCTGAGAACACTCCCAACTGATTCCACTGCCCCAGAGAATTAGGAGGCCAGAACACCAGTCACCAGCTTTGCTGCTTTGATGGGAAGAAACTAATCATTCCAGGCCTCAGTTTCCTCATTAGCAAAGGATGGCATTGAGATGCCCAGTCTTGCAGGACTATAGCCAAGTGGAGAAAAGGGGAGTCCTGTGTGCAGGATGTCCGAGGCACAGACACCTGCACAGATGGCAGCTCTCTAGTTTGAACACCCTTCTGACTTATGCTGAGAGTTCAGAAAAGGACTCTGGGAACTGCCAGAGGACAGGTCACAATCCCGGAACATGTGACTTCTCAGACACTCCCTGCATGGTCACTGGGCTCATGCATCATCTACGTGAGGCCTGGCGTGGTAAAGCAGTGTGTTCCAGGCTTCCACCTTCACCTCTGCAGTTAGCACACCCTCCTCTAGTCTGGGAACTAAGCTGCAATGGGATTCAAACTCAGTTGCCCTTGTACCTTCCCCAGGCAGCAAGAAGAAAAGGCTCCCCTCACTACCATGCTAAATTTCCTGCCCCAAAGTAACAATTAAGTCTTCAAGTGACAGGCACATTGTCATTAGGTTTAAGGACAAGACTATCCTTTCTCTGTAGGATGGAAAGCCCCTGAACTTTGGGGGTTAAGCCCAGCTCCCACTCACCACCTGAGTGAGGCTGGGTCTCTTACTGAGCTTACTCTCCTTAGCAGAGTCACACGAAGTCACACCAATATGAACACTTCCACTTGGGGCTCCCCTCCAGACCAGGCCCTGCTCTCCAGAGGAAGATGGAACCACCTGGTCATCAGAGCTGACACAGGCCAACCCTCCTGAGAGGCGGCTACAGAGAGCCCAGCTCACACACCCTAAGTTCAGAATGCCACGAGTTGGCCTCTACATCCTGCTTCTCCAAAAATTCACTTCTCTCTCAAATTCCTTGTGGAGCGAAACCAGGTATCCCACAGTGCTCGGAAGGGGATGGGCACACAGCAGCCCAGAAAGACCCAGACATGCATGTGGGCCCCAGTCAAGAGCACAGAAGGCATGCAGCCTCATGAGACACTGGCCTTCCCAGTCTTAACTGTCAGCAGGTCCAGACCACAGAGAAAGCGCTCTGAGAGGGAAAGTGAGCACAGCCAGTCTTGTTCCCAGGGGGTTTCCACCAGTGGGGCAGACGGGGTGCTTCACGCAATGTCCTTCCCTGAATCTCCAGCTACTGCCCAAAGGCACCTGCAGGACCCACTCACAAAATGACAAATGAGCTGGGCATGGTTAGGAGGCAGGCAGATCTCTGTGAGATTGAAGCCAGTCTGGTCTACATAGTGAGTTCCAGGCGAGCTGGGGCGGCAGGGAGACCCTGTCTCAAAAATCAAAATAAAACAAACAAAAAGATAAATGAAGACTCCGCCACTCAGACTCTGAATAAACTCTTCAGTGCGTTTCTATTGAAAGAGTCATGTCCTATGACATAAACTCAACGTCTATTTAAGAGAATTGCATTGAATTCAAAATCAAAACTCCTCCAAACAACATTCTGTGTTTGTGGGATTTCCTCCCCAGAAACAATCTCTGCACATTCTTATGGAAACCCAAACACTCTGTTTCTGGGAATATTAGCTCTTGTCTTTCATTTGACCCTTCACAGAGGCCATGTGTGCAGCTTCTGCATACAATGTGAGCATATCGACAGGCACGCATGTGCATACAAACACACACACGCACACACACCACATACACACACACACAGAGTTGATCCTGACAAGGGCTGCTGGTGTTGGACGTGGCAAGACAGGACACACAGCTTGGATGGCGCCTTCCTGAAGGATGAGCAATGTCACGTGTTGGTTAGATGTCACCTTGTGTTTGCCATACCTGACAAAGTACGCTCTAGTTTAAAGGATTATTTATTTATTTTTATATGTATGAGTGTATTGCCTCCATACAGTGTGTAAGTGCACTTGTGTCATGCAATGCTTGCAGAGGACAGAAGTTATGGAACTTGAGTTATGGACAGTTGTTAGCCGCCATGTGGGTGCTGGGATTTGAATCTGGTTCTTCTGCAAGAGCAGCCAGTGCTCTTAACTTCTGAGTCATCTCTCCAACCACTAAAGAATTTTTTAAAGATTTATTTTTATTTATTTAGTAAGTGTGTGTGTGTGTGTGTGTGTGTGTGTGTGTGTGTGTGCGCGCACGCGCGCACGTGCACGTGACAGTCAGAAGACAACTTTATGGGGTCAAGTCTCTCTGTTTACCTTGACATGGGTTCCAGGGATCGAAGTCAGATTGCCAGACCTACACGGCAAGTGGCTTTGTCCCCTGAGCCATCTCACCACTCCCATAAAGGATTAAAAAACCATTTAATATTTTATTTTTAATCATATGTATGTGGGTATGTGCACATGAGTGCAGATGCTCTCAGAGGCTAGGCATTGGATCCTCGAAGCTGTAGTCCTCTGCAGGATTTTAGTTGTTACACTACAACTGTATTTCAAAATATCCAAGCCTGGGTCGTAAATTTTGAGCAACACGGGGTAACCTCAGCCTCTGCTGCTGAAGGCTCGTCTTTCTCATAAAACAATTCCTATTAGAGAGTCCACAGAGTTTCCGTAGGGACTCGCAGTGGTGAGGGACGGTATCACATCTTCATATTTTATTCCCTTACTGCAGTTCTAAAAGTGTGTTTAGATCATGTTTGCACTCTCCCCCCTGAAGTTTTGACCAACATTATCTTCACTCAAGAGGGAACTGGGAAGCTTCAACTGACCCAAGGCATCACAGATAAAGGCCCCAGGAAGTCTCTCAGCTCCCAGGTTCCTGTCTGGGCACTGAATGCAGGCTTCACACTTGCTGGGCAAGCACTCTACCACTGAGCTGCGTCTCCAACCCTCCTTTCACTTTTCATTTGGAACCAGGATCTCACAGAATTATCCGTGCTGGCCTTAAACTCATTCTGTAATTCCAGGCAGTTCTAGAATCTGCGACCCTTCTGGCTACTGGGATTATAGGCCTGGGCTACAAGGCCCAGCTGACAGGAGCTTTTATTTGAAAAGAAAAATCTACCTGAGTCATAGAGATGTGAACTTTTTTAATAGTTTGAAAAAGATAAATTAGTTAAGAATAAGATTCTAGCATGTCAGTTAGCCTGTGATCTTAGACATACACACATCAGTATACCAAGCAAACACTCAGTACACGGTTCAAGGAGACATGGAATTCTGAGGAACAAATCAAATATTCAATTTCTAAGATATGATATCACATACAGCTATATGTCTACAATAGAATTAAATTATCATTTTAACAAGCAGCTAAGATTTTAAAACTGCTAAATTAGCAAAACAGACAATATAGTGTCAAAAAACCATCGATTAAGAAGAAATCACAGGAGACATGATAAAACATTTCAAACAATAACAAAAGCACAAAATTTCAAACACACAGGAAGCAGCTGGAACTATGCTCAGAAGAAAGCTCTTTAAATGTGTCTACAAGAAAAAAGGATGGAAAACAGTATCTACACATATTCTCTAAGAGATCTGAAAGTTTACAAATCAAAAAGCAAAAGTAAAGTAATAGTTAAGAGGTGCCAGGCGGGTGGCATACACCTGTAATCCCAGCAGTTGGGAGGCTGAGGCAGGAGGATTACCTCCAGTCTGAAGTCAGCCTGGACTATACGGAGGTACCAGGCCAGCCAGGGTTACACGATAAGATACATCTCAAAAAATGAAAATAATACATAAGTAAATTAGAAAATAAAACCTATTACAGATGAAAATGAGCAGAGGCAAAAGTTAACTAGATAAACAATAAACTCATTAACTTCTAGCAAGACAATGAAGAAAGAGGGCGTACGTTATTTCAAGCTCACCACGCAGAACAGTGTGTGAGACCATCACCCTTACCCAGACCTTCACCCCCCCGCCCCAACAAACACTGTGTCACAGCACTTTCAAGGTTCCGGCCCTACGAGCAAAGGGAAGCAAAGGTCACAAGCTGAGGCAGAGCAGAGAATGTGACAGGCCCGACCATAACAGACCAACAGGAGCTCCAGATGAGTGTTGAAATGAGGTTTTCGAGCTATTTTACTGTGTATTGAGAGCATCAT